CCTTGTTATTTTTTTCCAAAAAAATACTTCAGTGAAGAAAGAAAAAAATCAAATCAAAACTAGAAAATTTTCCGATCAAAAAAAAAACAATGAATGTATGAATGAATTATTCTACAATCGATTATAATAGTTAGATATTGTTTGTATGCTAATTATGGTAATAATAATCATATATAATCCATTCATTCATTTTTTTTCATTGTTTGAAACAAATAATTATGATGGTAAATTATCATTTCAGATTGATCATTGATTATGATTACTTGATCAAAAAATAGCAAACATCATGATCAAGAAGAAGAAGCAGCATTTTTTCTTTCATCAATCAACTTCTAGGTTCGACTATATCACACACACACACAATTATATCGGGTACAATATTGCACTTTTTTGTTTTGTTTTATTTTATATTTTCATTCAACATACATTTTATTGGATGGATAGATTGTTTTTATGTTTTTTTCTATCCGTTTCTCTCTCTCTTTTTCTTCAATAATATTTGATGAATGAAACAGTAAAAACAAAACAAAAAGGCCAAAGAGCATTGATGCTTTTTTTTTCTTTTCTCCATTCACCAATATTATTTGTGTGAATGAATCTTCAAACGCATATTCTGATCCGCTTTTATCCGATTAGTTTCATTTCGATTTACAATTTACATTTACGAATAAAAATCATCATTGAATTATTGTTGTTTAAAAATTTATTCAAGGTTCTTTCTTTATTTGTTTATTGTCATCTTGTTGTTGTTGTTGTTGTTGTTGTTGTTGTTGTCGTTATTGTTTAATTGAATTTTTTTCACGTCAATAAACACAACTTACATAAACACAAAAAAATAGAAATAGAAAACCAAAGAGATTTTCAAAACTTATCATCAAATAGAGCATTAATGTTGTTGTTGACCGTAAAACACACACAGGAAAAAAATCAATTCAAGTGCAATAAAAAAAACAACAATATCCAAAATTATATAGAATGAATATTGCGTTTGTTTGTTTGTTTTCGGGTTTTTTCATTCATTTATTTCGGAACGATATTGTATAATAATGATTTGTTGTCTTTCTCCGTGTGTGTGTGTGTATGTGAGCATTAGGTTTATTATTGGGAAATCATCATCTCAAAATCTATAATAAGAATTTATATAAACAACATCCTAAAAAGAGAATGAGAATGTGGGGGTGTTCAATCAACAATAAGTGTTTCTATGCAACAAAAAAAAATTGTCTGTTGACTCAACAGGTAGTCAGATATTGATTGATCTAAAAATATTCCACACGCAATATTTAGTAAATTTTTTGTTTTGTGTGAATGAAAACAAAAATACTCAAAATTACAATTCCAATTCAAATATTCACGTATATATAGCGGAAAATAATGAATTGATGAATGTAATTCTTCAAAAAAAAAACATTTATACCCACAAAAAAAACGCTAAAAATTTCATCTTCCACATGACATTGACCTTTACACACTTACTTATACCTTTAAGGTGAAATGTTTTTTTTTTCGCTTTTTCCAAAATTTTCATTTTATGATTCAATGAATAAATTACGTTTTTATAAAAAAAGGTTTTGTTGTTGTTGGTGTTTTCTTTTTTTCTGACCTTTAGGTAAAAAAAAATAATTCTGTTCATGGATATTGAAATGGTCATAAAATGACATGACTTTTAACAGCAGACAAAAGCAAAATTTTCTAGATACGATAATTCAATCAATGAAAAAAGAAAATTGAAAATGTTTTCCATTTCATTTACACTTTATTATTTTTATATATACAACTTTGATACTAAATTTAACCATCGGAAAAGAATAAATTGTCGCCAACAACAACAATGACAATGACGACAAAATTTTATTGTAAGACAAACACACACACACACACAAACAAATAAAAGGTCAACAAATTACGATCGATTATTGACCCATTGATTATGGCGATGTTTGAACTTTTAACCACTGGTCAATAGCAATAATTTCACCATAGAACTAACTCGTTTACGGAACTTGGATGATAATTTTTGTTTGCTTTGTTTTTTTCTTTTGGAAATTTTATTCAATTGATTCTCGAATCTCGATTAATCTTATATATGTGTGTTCATCGTCAACATTATGATCGCGGTCAACGAAGCAATATCAGTTTCTTTTTTTGATGAAAAAAAGGTCGTTTTTATTACTTTCCTGACCATTTTTGACTGAAATGGCCGCCAAATCGAAAATCACCTCAATCACAAAACCCCATGCAAAAAAAAACGAAAAACCATGATGATCACCTGATGATTTTTGTTGTTGATATCTTTGTTAGGAGCCAAATGTTTTGAGTGAACAACAACAACAAAAAATCATGCTGAACATGGTGAACATGATGATAATGAATCACAAGAGAATGGAGAGAATTTCAATTTCGAAAATAAAAATAAAAAATCAATCAATATTTCTTCCATAAAAAAAACTATAGAAAACATTAAATTAAATTTGAATAGAGATAAAATCGGTAGATAAACCGATGATGATTGTAAAAAAAAGAAAGAGAAAAAAAAAAAAAAATTCTTGAACAAATAAGAAAAAGAAAACAGAAACGAACGATATTGACAATTTTTTTTATATAGCGAAAAGAAATTTGAAATTCTTATGAATAAAATTCAACAACAACATTTTGGCAAGTCAAGAAAAAAAATTTATCATTTAAAAGTCGAGTGAAACAAAAACAAAACAAAATTCGATTGATAGATTGATCGATGGGTTAATATTCATTGGAATTCTTTCCACAGCTACATCATTTATCATCATCATCATCATCATCATTATCAAAGTAATGAATATATTTTTTCAATGCAAAAAAAAAAAAATTCCATCAACATATGATTATCGATGGATGCTCGAATATAGCGAATTTTTCAACAAAAAAAATTCATATTTCATAATTTTCAAAATTTTAATCAAAACCCTTGTTTTTATTTTGGCCCTGGCCCTTTTTTCAAATATTATTGATTTACAAGATTACATGGATTATAATTATCCATTTGCGACAAATTATTATTATTTTTTCCTATATCTGTATCTATGCACACTGTTTGTTAATTAATTAATCTACGAAAAAAAAACGAAATCAAACGACTACGACGACGACGACGACAACGACAACGAAGAAATCTTTGATCAATTTTGTTATCATGAAAAAAAGAAACTCATATATATATATATATTGATGAAGATCAACAACATCGTACAATGTACAAAGAATGATTGATTTAATCATTATGCACATAGTGGGGAAGAAAAAGATAGTTTTATTCATGTGAACAACAACATGGAGAAGAAAAAAAAACCCAATTTTTCCAATGTTTCAGTAGATCGATCGATCAATTGATCATATTTGGTAGCCTTAATCCACTATATACACAAACACACACACACACATTGTGATTATATCCATATTATAATTAACCATTAACGCCAACAAAAAAAAAATTATATTTAAACACTAATAAGCATATATGCATACATATAAGAAGAAAAAAAATAACGATAACTACTGTTTTTTAATCAAGAAAAAAATGTTTTTTTTTCTTTTTTTTCTTTGATTCATTTCTGGACACAAGATATTTCTCTTAATAATAATAATAATAATAATGATCATCATCATAATAATGTAATACAAAAAGTTATTCGCAATAAACTTTTTTTTTATGGATCGATTCACATCATTATCAACATCAAATGTGAAACACATAATAATTAGAATATACATATTCAAAATATATGTTTTTTTTGCACGAGTAATAATTTTTGATACTGCTGCTGCTGATGATGATGATGATGATGATGCCAAGGATATCGATGAATATCGATTATTTGATTGAAGAAAAAAAAAGAAATTCAAGTAGCCTGTTTGTTTGTTTGGAAATAAATGAATGAATAAGTGATGGAAATGTGTATGATGATGATGATGATGATGAAGAGAGAAAGAAAAATTTAAATTAAAGCGTGGGAACTGGTCAAGCTTCAGGGCAATTCAATCAATAATATAATACATGCATTACCTATTTTGGAGAATCATTTTCTTTTTTTTTCATTTTTTTGATAATGAAATTGATCAATCGATTAATTTCGATCAATAACGCCCAATAAACCAAATGCAAGAATGTGTTATAAAGAATTTTTGTTTTAAATATTTTTTTTTATTCACTGAAACTTTGATTATTGCACATTATTTTTTGCAATCTAAATGATGATAAAAAGGTAAGAAAAACTTGCCCAAAGAAACAAAAAAAAAAAATTGGACACTTTTGACCTCGATGGTCATCATCGTCATATGATCATGTCGTTATGGCCGATGATTAGTCTCTCACCAAATGTATATTGGTGATCACAACAACCACCACCATTCACTGCCAATCACCATATGATTAAATTAATTGTTAGCCACTGGTTTTTTTCCCTTGTTTCATTTGATTCATTCATTTCAATGACCAATTTGAGAAATATTTTTTTTTTCAAAGGAAATCTAACAAATATGGTTCACATCAGAAATTTACAGAAAAGACAACAAATGTAATGGTGTCTTAACTGGCCTAAAAAGATCAAAAATAAAAAAAGTAAAAAAAAAACATTGATCCTGCGATCATCGAAGCTGCCGCCGTCTAGTCTAATTGTATGTGATGGCCATTGAATGATGATTATTATTGATATATAAAGGTAATTATAATGTGAAAATTGTCGACATCAGCTACAACGAACAAAAAAAAAGAGGAGGAGAAAAAAATTTCTTTCTTTGATTTGGTTCGATATCGAATGAAAAAAAAATGAATACATAAATTAGATGTGGATGAATTTATAATCGATGAAGCAAAAAAAAAAAAACGAATAATAATGATCATATCGAACTAATTATCATTCAGAAAAAAATGGTGAATGAACTGTATCATATTTTTTTTGGATTGATAATAATTATCCTCGAATTTTGAATTTCATTTGAAAATTCAAATCAAATTCGAATTCGAATTTTTTTTTACAATTTTCATGTAAACTATTGGTGCCATCTGATGGCCGAAGAAATTAAACCTTATTTATTATTCCACGGCTGATCGACTGATCGATGATTCCCGCTAAAAGTTGTTTATTTCATCTGTCATTGAGGCATTGAACATTTTCTCTGACCAAATCAAAAACAACAACAACAAAGATGTTCGATTTATCAGCATTTTTCCGAGATCCAAGTCAAATTCATCATCTAAACTCTGCCATTAAAACATGTCAAACATCTGGAGTAATTGTTGGTATCGATGAAGCTGGTCGTGGTCCTGTTTTAGGTGAATTATTAAAATAAATGAACGCTTTATGACAATCACATCAATCTAATTCTAGGTCCAATGATTTATGCTGCTGCATATTGTCCATTATCAATGCGTGCCGAAATTGAAAAGGAAAAATATCAGGGTAATAAATTTTTTAATTTATTAATATTTGTATAAAATTTATATAAAAATTTTTTAAATAACAAGATTCAAAAACATTGACCGAAAAACAACGAAGTGAAATGTTCGAAACAATCGATAATGACGTGAATATTGGCTGGTCATCGACAATTCTTTCACCCATTTATATTAGTAATTCAATGTTGAAACGTTCGAAATATAATTTGAATGCCATCTCACATGATTCGGCTATTAGCCTGATTCGTAGCATCCAAGCTAAAGGTATTGAAATTCGTGAAGTATATCTGGATACGGTTGGTCCACCGGAAAAATATGAACAAAAATTACGGCAAATATTTCCTGATATTGCAAAGATTAAAGTATCTAAAAAAGCTGATTCATTATATAAAATTGTATCGATTGCATCGATTTGTGCCAAAGTTTTACGTGATCATCTAATAAAACATTGGCAATTTCAAGAGAATCTTTCATATAATGAAAATGATTATGGTTCTGGTTATCCAAATGATCCAAAGACCAAAGAATTTCTTAACAAAGTTTTTGATCCCATTTTTGGATTTCCAACATTTGTTCGTTTTAGTTGGTCAACGATAACAAAAATTATGGATGATAAAGCCATTGTTTGTGATTGGTAAGTAGTAGTAATGTTTTTCATTACAACAATAAATATGATGCAAAAAAATAGGGACGACGATGATGATGATGATGATCAAGACGAAAATAATTATTCAAAACAATCGATAATGAATTTTTTGAAAGGGAAAAAAAATTTTGATGAACAAAAATCGAAAATTTTAAAATCAAGTAATTTTTTCACTGAACATGATTTGGAACAAATTAACGATTTAGATCGAATCTTTGGCTGATTGAATTTGATTTTTTTTATCGATTTTCACAAATATTTTCAATGACCTATGTGGTAAGTTAAAAACAAAAGATTTGAGATTCTGTATTCGAAATGAAATGAAAAACACTTACGCTTCGTTCCATACCAATAGGATCTAAACATCGTTTCTTACTGCTCGTTATGACTTCATCAATCAAATTTACTATGATTCTATAACACATCAATCAATAATCGATCAAGCATTATGGGAAAAAAATCAATTCCATACAAAAATTTTAGATTCATGATTGTTTTGAAAATTATTTCAAACAGCAACAAAAAAAATGACTTACTTTTCATCCGATGCAAAACGCCATAATCGTGTTTGTATGTAATAAGAATCGACTTGTATCTGTTGAAACCCATAACGGCTAAACGTACAAAGTCGTACACATTCGATTAATGTCTTTTGAAAAATCAATAGAATGAAGAATTATCGAAAAATTAAATTAAATTAAATCGAAAATAAAATTTTGAATTCTTCTTACCTTTAAACCAATTTTTATGATACCAGTTGCAACGGATAGTTTGGAAAATTCTACTTTACCGAAAATTTCAATTTTATCATTAAATAATTTCTGAATATTCGATATGATATTATTATCGAATGAACTGGATCCATATGACCAATTTGATTTTGAATAACAAGTTTTATTCACACTGAATGTTGAGAATGTACGACTTGAATCAGAACTACGTTCTATACGTTGACCTTCTTCATAGAGTTGGCCAACAAGAAAATCAATCAATGTAATATCTTCGATTATACGTTTCATAACCGATCGTACGGAACGTGGTTCAACCGTACTCATCCAATCACGTGTTTCAACACTTTTTCGTATCATATGCGATATTGATTGGCCTTCAATACAAACATATGCATTTAATAATTTTTCCCCATCATCACGTGCACGTTTCGTTAATGGTATGGCATATCTCTGACCAAATTTTGGTGCAGCAAAAATTTCTTCCGTATATTTAATTAAATATGATATGATTGAATCGCTTAGATCACGACAAATTTTCGATAAAATCAATATAAAACATGATGATATATGTGATGTTGTATATGATTGTTCAAATTCTTCCACAATAGTCAATATGTATTCAATGTATTTGATAATAATTGTTTCAAATATACAATCTTTGATGAATTTATCTTTAAAATCTTTGGTTATAAATGTAAGTTCACGATATAGAAATGGATTAAGATTTGATAGTACGGTTTTAAGATTTTCACAAATCGATGTCTCGAATGCAATAACCGTTTCGGATAATGTATTCTGATTTTGATGATCATCATGTTTATTATTTGTTGAACGTAGTATGCTAATATTTGTTGTTTTTGTCATATCCTGTACAATATCATGACGAACATTGGATAATTCTTCGTAAAATTTTGTCAATAAATCGTTAAGTAAATGGTCACATTGATCTTTGGTTGATTGGTAGATAATATCTAAACTTTTCCTAGAGAAATCAGAAAATCCAACAATATTGTTAAGCATTTGAATTCGTCGATAGAAACGATCCAATGCCCGCACAAACATGATAATATTGTTGGGAATTTTTTGCTCATTACGAATCTGTTCGACAATAATATCGAATAAATCTTCCATTCGTTGATCAACAAATATTTTCAATCGTGATTCCATATCTTCGTTGATTGTTTGAATGGCAAGATTTTTGTGGCCAACAACAAAACAGTCCGAATAGAATTGTATACATTCATTCAGTGTACCAATATAATTATTGCAGACATTATCGATAAATTCCAAAATGTCCGGTCTATCTGGCCCATCGGATTTTGTTTGCAATTTGATTTCATTCAAACTTGTATTCATTTTCTTTTCACACATTTCGAAATATTTTCCACATAGATTCGATGGACATTCATTTAGTTTGGCAAGATAGCTAATACTATCATTCAACTGAATTGTTGTCAAATTTTCATCGGCTAATTGTTCATAAAAATGACGTCGAATTTCGGCCAACATTTCATTACAATCGGTTTGAATATTTCGAAACGATGATAGATGAGCGAATTTATCCAATGAATATTTGGCATTCAGATAATCATCCACAGCTTTATTATATTCATTTCGATCGATTAATTGTTTCATTTTATTCGGTAATTCCAATATGAATTGAATCTTTTCTAACAATGTATTTTTTGCCGACATTTGTGTCAGCTGTTCACGTTTTCCATTCAAATTTTTTGCTATATCATTACTTCGACTAGTTATTTTATCCATATTCGTGGATAATAAATTCAATTCATGTTCCATTTTATCGAAATGTGATGTCATCTAATGTAATGTTCGAATAAATCGATAGTAAACGATAATTTTAAATTTTAGATTACTTACTTTTTTAACAGTTTCTGTTGCACTAATGAATTTATTATAATTTTCATAGATCAACGTTTGCATTTCACTATCAAGTGTTTGTATTTGTTTATACAACATTTGTTCGGTGTCCATCAATTCGGATAATCTGCTTTCTTTCAATATCTTGAAAATAATGCAAATCATAAATTTTAAAATTGAAAAAACAAACACACAATTTACCTTGATCATATAGATATCGGGATTAAAATCCGTACTATTCATATTACATGGATCACATACATGATCAACATCATCTTTCGATGATTTTGATTCCATTATTAACTGTAAATTATTATTATCGTCAACGATTTCCGAACAAAAACAATAATTGCCGAATGAAACAAAAAACCGATGATGCAAACAACATTAAATGAACCATCATTCCAGGGTGCTACCATCTATCGTCGGCAAAAGATTTGATGGTAAAAATTTTTCATTTTTGCTACAGAAAAACAAAATTTTAAAATTGCACAGATTCAAACTAATTCGATTCATTCATCCGATGAGTATAAATCCAATGATATAGATTATAGATTCAATTAGAAATTTCAATTTTTTTGATTCGATTTAAAATTCCATTGATCCATGGAGTAGTTTTTTTTTATTGTAATTATCATATATTTAAAGAATCACATCGATTGAAAACAATTCAATTGATTCAAACGTGTTATTGTCAGTGTGTGTATGTGTAAGTCGGTATATATGGTGAACAATGATAATTAAAATGTCGAATCATCATTATTTCGTGTTGTATTCGTGTTAGTTTGCAATTTGCATTCAAATAATAATAATTTTTGCATTGTTTATTGTGTTGTATATATATGATTGTTAAAATGAATGATTTTTTTTGTTGTTGTGAAAAATATTATCATCATCAATTTGTGGATGATGATAATGTTGATGATGATGGTGGTGAATTATTTGAACGTACCAAACGGAATAGATCATCGGCATATTTTTCCATTACATCACAACATTCACAATGTTTTAATAGAATTTTCGGCACAGATTCGATACCATTGATGGCACCGGATATGGAACATGCCATTGAACCAATTGTATCGGTATCACCACCGAATGATATTGAATGATATAATGTACGAACAATTGGTGATGGATGATCGAATGAATCGAATAATATGAATTGTCCTTTAAGGGCAGCATAAATGGCCGTCGGTACCGATTTGAATGCCGAAACATCATTACCAAGGCAAGCGACAATTTTATCGATTGGATATTTATTTCCTTTAATTTCATTATTAAGAATTTCTTTAACTTTTTTCAATTTATCACTGAATGGTGTATAGATTTTCTTTTCCTGATTATGATTATTGATAATAATATTTGTATGATTATTACTGTTACCATTATTACTGTTATTATTATTATTGATATTTGCCGTTGTTGTTGTATTATTATTCATCATTGAATATGCAGGTTGTGAATCCAATTCAATTTTCATCATTTTTTCAATTAGATTATTTAGATAGACATTTATATCGAATAATGTTCGTATGATTGAATGAACATGTAATGCTTGATGTATAGCTAAACATTGTAATATGGCACCATTATAGCCATATACATTTGAATGTGTTATTCGTGCACTATCACGTGTTAATTCCAATAATTTATTCAATTCCATATTATAGCCATACATTGCACATGGACCAACACGCATTGCAGCACCATTGCCTATTGAAATTTTTGAAATTATAATAAAAACAGAAACAGAAAAAAGAATTCATTAAAAACAAATTTGTTGTAGATGAAAAAAAATACATAGAATTTAAAAACACAAGGATAATTGCACAAATAAAATGAAAGTGGCAGAAAAAATCGATGGTAAAATCAGCTTACAACAAAAAAAAGAATTTGAAATGAATGAAAAACAAAAACGGAAAAAAAATTAAAATTTTCAAAACAATTTAACATACCATAGGAACCGAAACCACCAAATTGTCTTTTAGCCGGTTCATATGGTGATTCATAGTTGGCCAACATTAATGCAGCAAATACATCGACAACGTTTGCACCATAACCACGTTTAGGTTCTTTATTATATTCCAATGCAAAACGTTTGGCAATATCTTTTGGATCAAATTTTCTCATTTCAATTAATGATTGAGCTATCGATTTGGTCATGGCTGTATCATCAGTATATGATAATATCTGAAATCCGGCAGCTAAAATAGATTTTTTTTTTTTTTTTGGTTAGGAAAAAACAAAAAAAACATAATGATTATTCAGATCAAAAATTTTATTGATTTTGATAAAATAGATTTCTAATTCAGGTTTGTTTTTGTTTTCATTCATTATTCACTGAAAATCATCTATTTTTAACTATATGTAAAAGCATAAACACACACACACACACACACAGTAAATCGATAAATTTTTTTTATTATTTGGGTTGAAACAAAAAACAATTTTGTTTAAAAACGAAACTTCCGGTTTCAAAAAAATAAAAATACAAAACTTTTTTTTACGGAAGTGGCAAGAATGTGACAAAAATATTTAGACCGTGTCTTATTCATCGTCATCGTTTTTCATATAAATGGAAAATGAATCAAATCTAATATTTAAATTCATTCGAATGACGCACACACACACACACACATGAAAATCAATTCGAAGCCAATAATCGTATACGCAGAATGATTTTTTTTCGTAATATTTTCACATGGAAAAATATCGATTTTTATCGATTATAAATGTGAATCTACAACAACAACAACAACAATAATGGAGTGACGATAACGAATATATTTCATTCGTCAATAATTGTCTATGTGTGTCAAATAAAAATAGAAGCCAAATCAAGAAATAGAATGAATGCAAAAAAAACTACACTATCGAATTTCCATCATCAAAATTGTAGAAACAACTATAAGAAAATAAAGAAAAAAAAATTCGAGCCAATCAATAATAACCAGGAACATATGAGGGCGACCAAACACCAACAGAAAATTTTAACCGAATTTCATTTTCAATTTCAAAATGAGCGGGTTGGGAATGTGGAACAAAACGTAAAGCATTGAAGCATTGAATTTATGACAAATTTTATGTCATAATAATCAAAAATAGTGGTGAAAGTGAAATTAATTTTTCAGCAATTTTTTTTCTTTGATCACGTCTCGAGATGTTCATTCAGAATTCTTGGGAAAAATGATTCGAAAAAAACTCATTCGATCCGGTCCGATCCATGGCTGTTTGTTGTTGTTGTTGTTGTTGTTAATGTTGTCATAGTAAAGAAATAATTGTGTTTGCCAAGTTTTTTTTTACCGATTAGATTTCAATTCCTAAAATTTTATTTCATTTTTTCCGATTAAAACTAAATAAAAATTAACCAGATTGTGTAATAAATTGAGTGATCAAATTGAATCGAATATGTTGATTGTATAGAATGTACAATAGTCGAAACAAACAAAACAAAATTTACAGTCAAATTTCTGAGCCCACCCAGAATATCATGAATAACCACCATAAGAAAATCTAAACGTTGTTAATGTATTGAATTATATTGAATAAATATACATCCGGTGATAATAATAATAACAAAAGATTAAAAGAATACTACAACAAAGATGAGAGAAAAAAAATCTAAATCCACACATTTGGGCCACACACACACATAAACATTGAACATCTTGAAGGAATCTATCAAGATTTCCAAAAAAAAAACAAAAGAATCAATTTTATGCTTCGTAAAACACACACACACACACAAACAAAATGTCTAAAATAAACATATAGTCATCATTATCAAACACAAATGATGTCATCATTTTCGTTTGTTTTTTTTTTATTTATCGATGTTGTTGTTCATACGAAAGAAACCAAAGAAGCAAACTGCTTTAATAATAATAATAATAATTCCCCATTGGATTACAAGTGTTTACACTCTCTACACCTCATTCTGTATTTCAGCAACCTGGTTGTTTGTATTCGTATTAATAACAACAACAAAATTAACAGAAAAAAAGAGACAAAAACTAATAACCAAACAGAATGACTTGACTAACAAAAACAGAACAAAACAAGCAGCTACGATTAAAAAAAAAAACAACAGCAACGACAAAATACTTTTTATTCAGGAATGAAGAATGAACAAAAATTCATCTTTTTCTTTGATTGAATACAAACATGTAACTAATTAAAATGTAAAGAGACAAAAAAAAGGAAACGAATTTTTAATTACAAAAAAAATGGCGAATGACAAGATGGATAAATATTATTGTGGGTGTGTGAGTGTGCGTGGGTGGGTGGATAAATGTGTGTTTTTGCGAAAAAGACTTTGATTTTTTTATTAGTTTCAAAAAAAGTGTTTTTTTTATTAAGATGCAAGCAATAAAAAAAAATCGATCAACTTTTTTTTCATTTAGTGTTTCTAAAAAAAAAAATTCTTGCTGATTTGACAAAAAAAATCAAAATGATTGTCGTTGAGAAAGAGAGTGAGAAAGTGGGACGAAAATTCCATTTGAATTGATGATAAACATTTTATTGCATCCATCCATTCGTTCTATCATCATCATCATAAAATATTCGATTCTTCATAATGAATGAATCAAGAATCAGAAAAAAAAATTCATTTGAATCTTTTTTTTCGTATGTAAATTACAAGAACACACACACACTCGAAATTCGGTACAAATTTACATATTTATATGGAAATATAACAACAACAACAAGCAAACTTAACCATTAATAACAACAACAACAACAACAAAAACGATGTCCCAAGGTTTATAATGATGATATTATTATGAAAATAAAAATTTAAAATTTAAAATTGAAAAAAATTGATTATTAATTCACCTACACTCAAAGATAGTTTCAAAATTTTCCAAAAAAAAAAAACATAACATTATCAACACTCGACACATTTTTCCCTTTGAAAATATTCGCAGACACAGACACACCCAGAATAAACATTTTTTCATTTTTGATTTTCTCTAAAGGGACAATTCAAATGCAAAAAAAAATTTTCGCATTCGAAAATTGAATTTTTTTTTCAAGTAAAGGCAAATATCTCGTTCACAAACAAAACAAAAAAACATATTGGTCGAATCATTTCAAAAAGCTATCTCAAACATTATTGATTTGAAAATTTTAAATCGATGATTATAATCGAAGGGGAAGTATAGAAAAAATAATCGTTTTTAAATGAAATCTTTTTTCGACTTTTTTTTTGAAAAAAAAATCTTTAGGTCAAATAAATCTCACGTTTTCTTTACACAGAAAAAAGTTTCAAAATAGAATTTAACGGTAAAAAAAAGACAATGATGAGCCAAACCTCATTGCTTCGGGCGGATGTATTATATTACCATCATTATTACACTTGACAAACAAATTGACAACAAACAAACCTAGAAAAACCCTAGAAACATAATAATAATAATCAGCACATATATACAATACACATACGGTAACCACAAATTAATATTCGAGAAGAAAAAAAATGGAATATCGATCAAGTTGGCAAGAAACAACAAACACACACACACACACGAAGAAAGAATAAACAGAGTCAACGAATCTGTAATGGATTCGATGTATCTCATCGGTAGCTGATACAATGGAATGACAACTTGAACGAAAAAAAAATAAAAATAATGGACATCAAAAATGTCCACACACACACAAGTGTACCATTATCATTATATAACACAAAGAACCTAAATATACAAATACACACACACACACACAAACATCTCTCATGAGAGATTATACTTCACACTTGGGACCTTTATGTGTAAGTATTTTGGGTTTTTTTTTGTTGCTGTTGTTCTTGTTTTTTTTGGATGGTTGAAAGATACAACAAGGACGATGAAGAAAAAAAAACGCAAAGAAAATGTTTGCGTTTTTATTTTCAATTTTTCCATCACATTACTCTGGAGAATGTTTGTTTGAAATAACAATCTATCAAATGTTAAAAAAAAATTTCTTTTTAGTATTTGGTTTTTTTTTAATTTCGTTTCATCATGTGGATCACATCATCATTTAGTGTAAAATGTGATTGGCTTTCAGTTTTTTTTTGTTCGTTTATTTGTTACTTTGAATGAAACTTTTTGCAAATCAATCAAAACAAAAGAAAAAGAAAAAAACGTTCGAATAAAATGTTTTGTTATTGAAATATTTTTTGATAATGATTATCATTACTAATGATCGATAATGAAATAATGAAATTTTCCAATCTAAACATCATATTATACCAATTTCATCTTAATTAATTTCTTTATTAAAAATGAAAATTGCAAATATCAATACCATCATAATACCCAAGGTTAGAAATTCATTTAAAATGACTTGATTGAACTACGACTATAATAATGAAGAACAATAAACAAAAAATATTGGAAATATTATTACCACTGGCAATCAATCGAAATGATGATGACATAATATCGTGATCCAATGAAATCGGATTTCAAATGATTTCTATTTTATTCATTAGGAATCGGTAATCGGTTTTTTTGGGTTATTTTCTTTTGATGATAATGATTATTATTTCACCACAATAATACAACAATGTTGTTGTTTTATCATTGTGGTGCAATAATAACCATTCATGACCTTGATATTATACGCATACGGAAATTACGTTTTTTCCGGTTTATTTTTCACTCATTTCCGTGTCCCAGTCATGCGTGAATGTGTACAATTTTTAGCAAAAAAAAAATCAATTTTTTCCGTCAACTTTTTTCATACAAAATGTACGGGGGTGAAAAAATCAATTTTAAATATTACATTATCAATAAACAAAAAAAAACTGAAACCGAAACCGGTGTGTACTACGCCCATAATCATCATTTTGGATATTTGAAATTGCATTAAAGAATTGCAATTTAATGAATAACAAAATTATCACTTACATTTTTCTGATTGTTCTTCCAATTGTTTATGAAGAAATTTTTGTACCGAATCCGTTGTTACAAACATTTCACCTTCAAATGGTGATCCAAGACAATCTGCAATTAAACCGCCAAGCATACAGCCACGAAATTTTGACATTAATGAAATGATAATGGTTGTTGGTTGATTACTTGATGACATGATGATGATGATGATGATGATAAAAGTAGAATAAAATTAAACAATATAAATCTTATAGATGATAAGAAAACAGTGTGGACAGCACAGAGTTTCAGAGTTGATAAAAAGAATATTCATTCATTCATTCATTTATCAATGGATGCGGACGAAAAAAAAAAAAAATTGTTTTTAGATGATAACGATGGAAACTACACAAAGAAAAAATAGGAAAAAACACTTAAGAAAAAAAACGGAAATTATAGAAAACGGAAATGGAGAAAAAAAATTACGATATATAAATGAATGCATGGAACGGTGAATAGAATGGGAAAAAAAAAGAAATAAAATGAAAAACTGATAATTAGACGAGCAAAAAACAAACAAAAAACAAGGTTGAAGAAAATAAACAAACAACACTGAATTTGTTTTTCATTTTATTTTACTAGCGATGTATTAAAATGCTAATGATGATGATTAATGATGATGATGATGATGATGATAAATAGAATTATAATTTGAATCAAAAACAAAACAAAACAAAACAAGAAAAATTCAGTGATAAAAAAAAAAGATTGAGAAAAATATAATTTACACGCGCACAAACACAAACATGCGTTTTTTTCAAAACAAAACAAAACAAAAAAAAATTAGAAAGCGCGCATTTTGTCAATGTTTATTCATTGTAATTGTGTAATTATATATTATATAATAATATAATGAAAATGCAAAGCAGTGTAAAACAAATGGCAAAATCCACATTAAACACAAAACACAGTCACCACCACAAAGCTTCGAAAAAATGAACAAACAAACAAACAAACAAACACATTGAGAGAAAACGAGAAAGAATAAGAATAATAGAATAGAAACTTTTATTTCAATTTTATATAATAGAGATTTGTTGTTGTATTTTTTCAATTCAAAAATTGTCATTTAATAACCGTGTGTGTGTGTATGTGTGTATGCATTGTATATGATACTGGATATATAATGATAAAATATATTCAAGCTATTCATTGGTCCAATGATTTCATTTCATTTCATTCAATTCCAAATGAAGCTATGAAAACTAATCGAAAGATATACAGAATCTATGTGCGTGCTGCGATTGTCTGTCTCAAAAAAAAACTTGGTATATGTCGATTTTTTCTCTACGAAAAAAAAAATAAAAGAATAAAAGTAACTTACACTATGATGAAACTATTTTTTTTTGTCAATATGAAATTACAACTACTGTAGCTGTAATTGGACATTGAAAATATAGAGATATTATATTCTATATTCTATGACGTTTTGAAAATACAGTAGGAAAGAATGAGGAATAGTTATAGAAATATTTATTACTGAATAGAAACAACATCTGTGCACAACAGAGATATTATTCTTCTTAATGGTGGTGGTAGTGGAATCCTTTCGATATAATCACATCAGCAGCAAGCAGAATATCTATGCATTGTATGGAAAGAACAAATAATGATAGACGAAAAAAAATTCTGTTCAAAAAAAAAATCATAGAATTGTTATTGTTATATTACACAATATATGCGTGTAAAACATTATGACGTAAAATGATTTTTTTTTGGATAGGAAACTTCTTCCCATTTCAACAATGATATTCTGAATGAAATATAGGAAGAAGTATAAAAAAAAAGAATCAGCCTCTTACTACTACTACTACTATCAAATTCGATGAAATTGAAATCTAAAGAATTTCTTGAATTACCGAGAGTGTTATTTTCGATAACAACAACAACAACAACAGTATCTATATATTTCAATAGAGAATCGAATTTTAGGACAAAAAGGCAAAAAAATATAGGTCTCGACCGACTAAACAGCTAACCGACCAAATAAAAAAAAATATATAACCGGATGACAATTTTCATTGCATGTTGATGATGATGATGATCACCAATTCATGATTGTCTTTTTTTTCCTATAGGCATAAAACATCTATACATTTACAACATACACACACACATATATATACAAAACAGAAAACCAATAAAATTGAATCGATCAAAACCACATTCAAGAATCAAAAATAACAAAACAAAAAATTCTTCATCAATGAACAATAAAGTATTAAGCAATTCAAATTCATCACCATACACTATTATAAAAAGACAACGAAGAGAGAGAGAGAGAGAAAGAGAAAAATAAAGAATTTTCTCATCAAACAATAACAATAACATTCGATTCTTGATTTTTTCACTATGGCCAAAAACAAAACAAAACAAAAAACACATTCTTATGAATGTATAAAATGTGTCCCAATAGCCCTATATATAGATAAGAAATATATTTATTTATTTTTTTTTTGGAAAATTCATTATATAACCTAACAAAAATATCTGAACAGCATACATTGTTGTTGTTGTTGTTGTGAAGCACTTGATTAATGTTCAGGAACACAAACACCCATCGAAAAAACAAAACGGTGTTATTGTCAAACAAACCAAAAAGAATGAAAAATAAAAAAAAAAAAGAATTTAAAATTTGATAAATGCTTGTTTGAATTTGAAATGAATCGAAAAAGAAAGTTTTTTTCTTCTCATTTGCTGTCATCCGAATAAAATAATTCAAATGTAAATATTGAAACAACACTAACAACAACAAAATAAGAAAAAACATCGAATACACAACTGGTTAATAATTATCGATGATGATGATAATGAAACTGTCAATGGATTTACACATCTCGCCAAAATCGCGAGTACTCGCAAACGGCATACGACTAGCCGACTAACTATCGATATATCGATAGTCTACTCGCAATTTTCGCGAGTACCATATTGAAATCATCGAGCTCACCGATTGTTGCAGCAATTTTGACCCCCTTTCAAACGATATATATTGAAATTTAATTGATTTTATTGAAATATTAATTCATTAAAAATTTTGTAAAATACATCCATATTTCACATCCAAATTGCGCCATAAAACGTTAATTGTCCCGTTTGACATAAATAAATCGTCATCCGTGGTTCGAGATTCAATTTCCCAATTGTTCGCCGGCGATCATCCAATTAATCTATTCATTTGCTTGAATTCCAAAGATTCAATCAGCATCAAATTCAATAGGAAATAATTCAGACCATGTTCCTAAGCCTAATCTAACCCTAGCCTAACCTGATATCATGTGTTGAACATGGTCAAAAATGCTGATGAACCCATAAATCATCATCGAATTTCAATTTGATGATTGTAAAATTTCAGGAACAAACCTAATAAAAAAGATAGACCAATCTTTATTAGATATGAAGAATGAATATGTCGACTTACCGAATAAGTTGTTCCGACAAATGCAGGCATGTTCTGAATATACGTGTTAGAATTATTGATTCCAAAGTTACCTGACGACGAACATAATGTTTCGTTGGACAAATGTTAGTGACCAGATATCCACCAATAAATTTGTAATGCTCGGCATCATTACCATGATCGTTTTTCTAAAGACGGCACTAATGATCATTGATCATCATGAAAATTTTATGCTTCAAAAGACAAGGAAAATTGTTAGCATTTTCAATCAAAGGCAATCATTGACCATGTTTTCATATATTAATCCGAATTCCAATTATCATACATCAATTATAATAATGGACTCTGAAAAAGAAAAACTTGAAAAGGATGTGATTGAATACAATTTGAACAAAATGTCATAAATACATTTGAAAGTCACCGAAAATGGGATTTGTTCGCCAACTTGAATCATAATCGAACCAAAAATTTCGGGGCCAATTTTTGATCTTAGACCGCAAAGTTTTAACAACGATAATCTTGAATCGATTAATTTCTTTGTTCCAAAATTTACTGCAAAACACGATTAAAATAGAAAAAATGAAAAATAAACATGATCACGAAAAATAGCTCGAAGTGAGGACAACCGTCTTCGACGACCGTTGAGTTCGAATGTTGATTTTCCAACGATCAAATTCAAATTTGTATGGAGAATAGAAGGGGAAAAGAAGCGCGCGAATTTGCATTGAAAATAGTTAGCTGCACTACCACTATTTGACTATGCGCAGTTGCCCATTAGTTGAAATTTTTGGAATTATTTTTGCTGTAGACTTAGCATGAAAAATTGAAATGATAATCGATGCATAATTGATGAAAAAAAATTATGTAATTTCAAAAATGATTAGTGATTTGAGCAAAGAATTTTCGCCACTGTTTGATAAATTGGTGTCAATTTGTCAGGATTAATTTTTGATGGACAGTTATTTCATTCAAAGTCGAGCTATTTATTTATTTATTCATAAATTTTAAAATCATATTTAAAGAATTATAGCCAAATACATAAATTCTCTTCATGTCGTCATTGATTTTCAATTAAAGTTCGAATAAACAAAAATGAATAGAACTTTGAGCAATTACCACAAAACAAGACGTCTTATAACGAAATGCAGATCAAAAAATTTATTCACTCATTATCCATCTTATATTATAAATCATGATCATGATATTTTTCAAAAGATATAATGAAATGAATGAGAACAAGTGAAAACAAATATATCGATTCTGAAAAATGTTTGGTTTTATGAGACGAAATAATGACCAACAAAATTGAATCAATGTTGAAATCTATCCAGTGACAATCGAGAAAATGACAAATCCAACCTAACACGAACAGTTCAGAATTCAAAATCAAGAAAATGACAAATTCCCAAACTAACACGACCAGTTCAGAATTCAAAATTGAGAAAATGGCAAATGTCCAAACATACACGACCAGTTTAGAATTGTGAAAATGACAAATCACCAGCAGCAGTAATAAACGAACAAGATGAAGTGACAAAAGAAAATGCCGTGGTGTGGGACCATAATATCACTGTGGACAGCGATGAGCAAATCGAAACCACTACAATCATTGGGAAAGTAATCAATAAAGCATCGCCAACCAATTCTGAACTGGTCGTGTTAGGTTGGACTTGCTATTTTCTCGATTTTGAATTTTGAATTCTGAACTGGTCGTGTTAGATTGGATTCGCCATTTTCTCGATTCTGAACTGGTCGTGTTAGTTTGGAAATTTGTCATTTTCTCGATTCTGAACAGGTCGTGTTAGTTTGGAAATTTGTCATTTTCTTTATTTTGAATTCTGAGTGTTTTAAAAACAAAAAGCAAAAACAACAGAATTGATCAACAGATGACCAAGAGTTATCACTTTGTCCTTCCTTAGAATTAAATAAATTTATAGTCGACCTCGGACAAAATATCGTATGACACTCATCGCTTTTTCTTGTTCTATCTTAATCATGATAGTCATGAACGATTAAGCTCAAACAATGTAACCATTTTATTTATAATTGACTTATAAAAATACAATTTAATTTATAAAGGATTCTTTTTCATTTGTCTTTCTTTTTTTAGTCATTAGACCGTTTGATATTTTTATATTTGTACCATAAAAATTTCTGAAAAAATACATGAAATACAAATTCCATTTTTTTGCATCACAATTTAGTTCATTATATTTTTTGGGTAAAATTGGGTAATTGGCGTCTATTTTATTTAAAATGATGAGCATCGTATTTTTAGGAATGCTTGTCATATACAAGCAGTCGTTACTTGTTCCGCAAATATGTTTAACGATTGATCTGATAATCGAAAGAATAATTGAATTCAATATCTTAAAGCTGGCAATCGAATTCGGATTCAGCAAAAATACGTTTAAGTCATCATCAAATACCGGGAATTCATAATTATCCGGCACAAATGTGCCATTTGAATTTATAAGATTTCCTTCGTAATACTAAAATAAAATAAAATTCAACATTATTATTAACATAAATGTCTGCACGAAAATATCATATTCAACTTACAGAAAAATTAAATGTGAAATCTTTTTTCCATCACATTGAAGACCTTTTTGAATTGGAATAGTTGGATCGTTTTGTACCAAATTACCATTTTTATCGACATAATTCTAATCCATTAGTTTATGATTCGAAATAATTCCGTATCCAAACAAAAATTAAAATGTTAAACATCGAAATCAAATTAAACAATCGAAAACTTTTGTTTACACACGATTACCGCGAGTACTCGCGATTTTTGCGTGTAAACAGGCTATTTACACTTTATTTTGCTGGACTAATTGAGTGTATGTAGCCAAACAATCGAAACTTTGTGAGTACTCGCGATTTTTGCGAGTATTCGGCTATTTTTTAGCGACTTTTTGTGTGGATATAGTCGGAGTACTCGCGAAAAATGCGAGTACTCGCAAAATTTCGATTGTTCGGCTATATACACTCAAATAGTCACCAAAAAATAGCCGAAATACTCGCCAAAATCGCGAGTACTCGCGCACTTTCTTTTCTGTGTATGTATAGTGTGTGTTCATAATTAACCAAATACAAAAATCTCTCAACATATAGATATTATTAACTAAGCAAATAATTAGAAATGTAACACAAACACAAATAAAACACGAATTAGGATCGATTCTTGATGATCAAGATGATGATGATATATAGAATCGGCTTCTAAAACAACATGCGTATTTAAAAAAATTATAATTAATTTCGAATGATATAAACAACTGCGAAGAATTCAATGTTGTTGTTGATAGTTTTTTTTTGGGATAATAATGGTGTCAACACCATATACAAGAGGGAGTTACTGTCAATGTTTTTGTTTTGTCTTTTTGGGTAACCAAAAAAAAAAAAAAAAACAAAATTATCACGTGACAAACATTAAATGTTCTTATTTTTTCCAATGTCTCTCAAATTTTGATATATTTATTGTGATTGATTGATTAACGATCTGTGATCAAAATTAATGAATTCTAATAAATTTTAAAGGATTTTATCTAAAATATTTTTTTGTTCAGAAATGAGTAAATATATCATTCTTATTTCGGCCAGTGTTTCATCAATCTGTGGGTAATTTGTTTTTTTTTGCAATAAAAATTGTTTATAATCAAATTGATTTTCATCATCCATTCAAAATGTAGTGGTTTTGTATACCTAAAAACCAATCGTTCGACAACGACGCCCACATCACCACCAGATGAATACATTGATTTACCGGAAATTTTTAGCCAATACAATAATAACAATTTTGGTGAAGCTGATAAAGTTGACGATAGTGTTGATTTCAGTAAAACAATGGAAAATTGGTTTCCCAAATGGGAATTCCTGATAAAAGTTAAAAATGGTAATGCTAATAATGATTTCGATGATAATGACCATGGAATTAATGTTTTTTCATTTTAATTTGGTCAAGAACTCGATTGTTTAAAATTAGCACAAACAAATGATTATAATCAAAGTTTACGCGCAGCAAGAACTATTGATAAAATTGATTTAAAACAATTTCGTCGTCCATTGTTGTTAGATAAAATTATCATAAAAATTAATGGTCAAATTCAACATTTTGAATCTTTACATGAATTGATGGTACATTTATTACGTTGTACATTGGAAACAAATTATCAATCTGAATGTGCAAATTATCTAACAAGGCAAACATTGGTATTATTTGAACATAATAATCCTTTAACGGATTTTTCATTCTATCATGAATATAGTACTACTAATCACCGTCAGAAATCCGATGATCTCAATTATATTCAAATGAAACGATATAAAAATCTTTATTTTCAAACATTATTGCAGAATATCATGAGTAATGAAAATTTGGCCACCTGTTTGATCAATAATGGTCTATTGATTGCTTTGTTAAAATTTCTTCAATTATTTACAGATCGTGATAGTATCCGATGGATATCGACCATTATATCAGCTTTAAGTGTGTACAAAAGTATTCATACGCATTTCTATCATACCGGTTGGATTGGTATATTGGCCGAATGGTTGCGATCATCTGATTGGCATCTTAAACTTGAAGCTGGAAAAACATTGTATAATATGTCGATGACAATGAAAACAAATGAATCATTACATCCATCAACCTATTTATTATGGCCATTACATGAAATTGATACATTACGTCTTGAATATGATGTTGTTTTCATACATGGATTAAAAGGTGGTGTATTACGTACATGGCGACAATCAGATTTGGCTAAAAATTCATCTGATTATACAGAATTATGGCCCAGATCATGGTTGGCACAAGATTTTCATAATTGTCGTATTATTGCCGTACATTATGATTCATTTCTAAGTAGTTGGAATATTAATTGTTCGAGTGATGAATTTACAATCAAAGATCGTAGTGTTCAATTAATTAAAGAACTACGTGAAGCTGGTATTGGATCGAAACCGATAATTTGGGTAACACATTCAATGGGTGGATTATTCGTTAAACATATGCTAACTTATTGTCATTCAGATATATCGGATAATCATCCATTCCTTCGGCAAACAAAAGGAATCGTATTCTATTCAGTTCCACATCGTGGTTCAGAAATGGCCGTTTGGTCACAAAATATTCAACGTATCATTTATCCATCGAATCATGTTTTAGAATTACAAAAAGGTAACGCGACATATGATGATATGATCACATTTCATTACCAATAATATCAATCGCTAATTAAAATTATCGTTCCAGATTCACCACAATTACTTCAATTAAATGATGAATTCATACGATTAGTACGTGATCGACAAATTGATTTGCTTAGTTTTGGTGAAACAAAAAAATGTACATTATTAAAGAATCCAATTGAATGGCGTGCATTACTCGGTAATTATTGTAAATGGAAAAAAAACATTTTGATTTTTATTTGTAATTTTTCTGTTACATTCACGTTTTGTTTGTGTGATTTGCTGGATATGTTAATTGTTTGGAAAAAAATTAGTCCCAGAAGAATCAGCTAATCCTGGAATCGGAAAATTTATACTATTGCCTGAAAATCATTTCAGTATATGTAAACCGAAAGATCGTAATGATAGATCATATCGTGAGCTAAAAGAATTTATAGCAGAAATATTATTGAAAGAAAAATTGGAATCAACAAAGAAATCATCGTGGCGAAAATATGCTAGCTTTTCATGAATATATCTTCATCGACAATTTCACAATCATCATCATCATCGTCAACAACATCATTTAAGCAAGTTTAATGGTAGTAATTCCTTTTTCAGTCAATAATTGTACCAATGAACCAGATTTTGGTCGTTCCTGTGGACATGTTGTCCATTTAACAAATAAATCAGCGACAAATGTTAATGGTGTCCATTCACTGAAATCAGCATTTGGCATAAATTTTCGATTCATCGGTGTATCCAATGTAACTGGTAATATGGCCAACACTGAACTGTTGACAGGAAGGCCACCTTTTTCCTGTGCTAAACTTGACACAAGATGATGTACAGCCGATTTAGCCATACCATAACCGATCATTCCTATCAATAGATGAATAAATTATTTTTTATTTATTTAATCATGTTATATTTCTATTGTCAAATAAAATATTATTCACCTGGTGTCGGTTCTAAAGCAGCTTTAGCACCGGTTAATGTAAGTAAACCATCATCTTTAAGAAATTTCGATGCCAATCGTGATGCCATTAATGAACTCCAAACACTTTGTCGTATCATTAATTCGGAATTTTTGATAAAATCTTTGTTTTTGGCACTACCACCAGCCCAACCACCGGCAACACAAATAATTGCATCCAATTTATCATCACCCAATATTTTGGTCAAATGTTGTATAACATCCGTTTCCTGATCAACTAATGATGTTGAATTGGCATTAATTAAAATATTCGAATCGGCTTGATCATTTTCATGTAGATCGATTGAACTGACCCACCAATTTTGTTTACGAAAAAATTCCACACAAACAGAACCTAAGGCACCTTTACCACCATAAACAAGTACACGACGTTGAACAGTAGTTGCCATGATAAATGATGATTATTTCGATGTTAATAAATGTCAAATGATCAATTCAAATCAAAATATATATATAGATTTTGTTGATTAAACAAATAAAAAAAAAATTCATATAGCAAATAACAACGACAACGATGAAGATATTATTGATATTGTCGTATATATACGATTTTATGCGTATGCATCGAATAAAAATGTGATGGCCAGATTTTTTTCTCTTTTTTAATACTTGCTTTATTATCGATCATACAATTGTATGCTCATGCGTTTAATGATGATGCTGATTTGATCTTGAATATTTTCTTCTTCAATTTGTCTTAAAAAAATCACGATTATCAAAACGAAATGAATGTTGCAGAAATGTTTTTTTTTCAAAATTAGGGAAAAAAATCAACCGGTTTTTCTGTGATTATTGATTCTATTCAACGACAATGTTATGATTATTATATGAAATTGATCATGATAATCATTAAATATATTTATTACTTGACATTCATTTTAAATCATATATAATATAAAAAAAAATGATGATAACAACAAGTGTAACATATTTCCATGTAATCAACAAACAACAAGAAAAATGTTTAATTGGACAAAAAATTAAACAGGGTCAAACAATATTTTGATCAAGAATTTTTTCATTTCTCGATTTCAATGGAAAAAAAATGAAATTTATTTATAAAAATTTAAAATCCATTAATCCAATAGCAAAAAAAAAAAAAATCTCATCACGTCATTTATGAACGTCGAACACAATCGAATGTTAGAAGCGCATGAATGCAAGCAAAGAAAAAAAGAGCCACTGCTTTTCTCAAAAATCCCACACACTGTGTGTGTTGTGTTGTTGTCGTCGTCGTCGATTGGATTTTTTTCTTTTAATTTGGTGTTGCGTTTTTCATTTGCTCCATCTTTTTTACCATCATTTTTTCATCATCATCGTTATTCTTGTAAGTTTCTTCTATAGTGTGTGTTTTGTATTTTACATCGTTATAATTGAACGATTTGGATATTGTTGTTTTTTTTTGTGATGAACACACAACGAAAGAGAAAGTTTTTTGTTTGAAGAAAAAAATTGTTGCTATTTTATTAAGTAAAAATATGTTTGATGAGTAGCATATAACACACACACACACAAAACAAACATCGGTAAAAAAAACATCATACACATTCATTAAAAGCGTGTAATAATAATATACGCGTATTAAATTCAATTGAAATTTCTTATACCGTAAATGATGATAATTATGATGATCATCACATAAGTTTCATCTCCTTATGGTTTACATATGTGTTTGCCGTGGCGGTATTATTTGTATGAGTGTATGTTGTATATTTTTTTTTAAATGAAATCAAATGAAATGATTTGACTTTTTTTTCTTCATAGAACTGAAATTTTATGTTCGTCTTTTTTTTTCTTCCACATACAGCACACATATTGAGTGAATAAATGAATGAATGAGTGAGTGAGTAAGTGAGTGAGCGAATGAAAACGATAACAAACAAACAATCACATCATTTTTTTGTGAATCACATTTAAATAATTAAAAAAACTCGATCGATCGATGTTTGATTTTGTTATTCATTGTGTTTGTGAGTTTATATCTTCAAATTTTATCTTATAGAATTTTGTTTCTTTAAATTCTTGAATTTTGTGTCTCTCCCCTTGCCCCCACATACAACAATCAATTTTTATTTCACTGCCCATTTTTTTGACAAGAAAACACTAATCAATTAAGAAAATTTATTTCAAACAAAATACAATACAGTAAGTATTTATTAATTGTGAATCAAAGAAAAAATAGCTAATTTTTTGTTGTTGCATTTTATTTCATGCATAGGAAAAAGATTGTATTCAAAAATTCATTTCTGTATCATCATTTTTCTTTAATTTCAATTTTACATTCATTTTATTGTTTACCCTTTGTCTGTTATTCAATTCCTTTTTCATATATAATTTCTACATATATTCTTTCGTTTTTTTTTGTTTTGAAAACCAAAAAAAAAAAAAATTTAAAATATAGTGAACATTAACACAACGACGAAAACATAAATGTGATTTTTGTTTTGTATTTTGTGCGACAAGAAAAGAAGATATATAATAGAATTATAATTTTTGATTAATAATACGATAACCAACCAATCGATAGAAATAACAATGTCTCATCATCAAGGTTTGTAGATTTTTTTCTTACAATTTTTTTTAGAAATTTAATAAATGTTTAATCTCTTCATTTATTTATTTACAATTGCATAATAATTAGGCGTTACTTGTGATACGTGCCTTAAACAGAATTTTCGAGGAAAACGATATAAATGTTTAATCTGTTTGGATTATGATCTTTGTTCATCTTGTTATGAAACACGTACATCATTTGGAAGTCATAATAGTAATCATCCAATGCAATGTATTCTTACCCGAAGTGATTTAGGTATGGAATTTTTGTTATTTTTTTGATCCAATGGTGTTTTTTTTATTGCTCTATTTATTAATTTGCTTTATTATAGATTTATTTTTCGCCGGCGAAAATCTAACCAATGATCAACCATATTCATTTACATGTCCAATTTGTGGCCGATTAGGCTTTACTAATGCAACACTTTATGAACATGTAAATATTATTCATAGTGATAATTCAATCCAAGTGGTATGTTTTGTTTTGTTTCATTAATCGATTATTATTAATTATCTCAATTTTTTCATATGTCAAGGTCTGCCCAATTTGTGCCACATTGCCGAATGGTGAACCGAATCAAGTGACCGATGATTTTCTTAGTCATCTTAATCTGGAACATCGTACAAATAATAATAATCAAAATCGTGAATTGATATCCTTTTAACTTAATAATTTTAAATTTGATCATATTTTATCTTGTAGACAAGCCAAAAAAAATCTTTATTTTCCTTAATTTCATCGTTTTTTCTTTTCATTTTTATTATCGATTAATCCAAATACGAAGAGCCTCAAACTGTTCGAACCAGACAGCGTCATGTACGGATGGCTAGCAATCGGAATAGGAGGAATACTCAGTTATTCCATTCTACACCTTCTGGTGGTGGAAACGGTAGTTCAGTACAAACATTGGGTGTTAACCTTAGTAATAGAAACGATGCATTGGATCCAATCGCTCAGCTTCTATCACAATTATCGGATGTTCGACGAGTGAATTCAGCTGCATCATCATCGTCTTCATCATCTGGACAGAATCATTTTCCTTTCGAACGTCATTATGATCGAACATCATTGCAACGAATGTTTCGTCAACGACGACAGATGCCACCGACACATTTTTCAACGTTAGCATCTTCAACTGGTGGCAATAGTGATCCATCATCGTTGGCCATCCATTCGAATCAATCATTGCCTTATGTATTATTGGATTCAGCTGTACCTAGTCCTTTGACAACAAACACTTCGTTCAATCCTGCAGCCAATTCATCGTCTTCAGTGAACACAAATTTTCTTCTAAATTCGTAAGTTTTTATTCATTATGTCAATTTTATTATTATATTACTTTTATTTAAAACAGTGCTTTATTTTCATCATCCTTGGCGTCGGAAACTGATTCAAAGAAAGTTGAGTCACTTAATGCTGATCGAAGTATATTTGTACAGGAATTGATATTTACTTTCCTGTCATCTTCAGTGGCCAATTTGCAGCCTGAACAATTTATCCGGTCTAAATCTACACCTCCATCGATACAATCTTCTGTCGAAGAAATTTGTCGGACTACAGAATCAGGACAATCCATTAATAATGAATCATCGATGATAAACAAAATTAACAACACGAGCCAACAACCATTGCAGATGGCTCAACAACAATTACAAACAGCCAATTCCAGCAACCAACAAGAATCTAATCAACAACCGCATATAATTTCTATTCAACAGCACTCTGATGACAATGTTATGAAAACAAGCGATCAAAATGGTCATAAAAATGATAACAAAATGAAAATTGAAACGATAATATCCGTGAATAATAATGGTCACAATACTGCTCCTAATCCTCCTGTACCTCCAATTTCATCAAATGGCAGCAGAAATAATGAATCGAATGAGATTAATAGTCAACAACGACAAAAACCAATGCCACTTTTGATGCAGCCAACAACCAATGGGACAGGTGTTGGAACAGCTTCATTTCTTGGTACATCACCTGTACTACCATCTTCAACGGCAATGAATAATGTAAATCACCGATTGAACAAAGTAAACAAAGTGAGATCATCACCAGCAATTGTTCATCATTCAACTGGTATACGGCATTCGAGCTTGCATTCAACAGTAACTGGTGGTTCTGTAGTTAGCCATGGAAATCTAGTTGTATCACCTAATGGTGGCCGTAGGAAAATTTTACGGCCACAGCCACAACCTACTGAACCACCTCCTCATTATGAATAATTAAAATAATAATAAGAAAATGAAATTATGATGATTATAAATTATTGAATTATGATAAAAACTAATAACAAATGATTTGAAATTCACTCATATATCTATGTATCACTCCCTTTTTCTTTTTGATGAGAATCATCAACACCTTTACACACAAACATGAACACATAAATATTTAAATTCATTGAAATAAATTTTTGAAAAAACGATAACAAAAACAATGAATACACACCCACATAAATATACAGCATCTTCTTTTGAGAAAAATATCAATATGATAATGAAGATAACCCGAATAATCTGTTGTTGTATTTTCTTTCTTTCTTTCTTCACTGTTAGCCTGTTATATTTGGAATTTTATTTCTATATTTTTTTCCATTTATTTCCACAAAATTCGTTTTCATTTTATCAATGAAAAATTATATTTTGAAAAATCTTCCTTTATTCTCGATTTAGTTTGACACCCACATGAACACAAACAAACAAATGCATCACACATTTGAATCAATTTGAAAAATATTTATTATATATCAACACAACAAAAACAAACGCCATCATCATCATTGATGATTTATGAAAAAGAAAAAATTCTAGATTTTATTTTTGAAAAAAATAATAATTTTAAACCCTGTGAAAATATATAATTTATTATTTCCTTTACGAATGGTTGAAAATATATTTAGAAAAAAAAATCATTTTAAAAAATTTACTTTGTTAATACTTTCAAGAGATCCACCGTTACACGACACAATGTGTTTGGTTCCAAGAAAATTTTTCCAATCATTTCGAGATCTGTAATTGGGAAAAATGGTTAAGAATAGTAAAAAATTGATAAATGGCCATTCAGGCTTTATTTCATTTATATTATCAAATGCTTATTCTGATGATTTGCTTTCAAATTGCTCTTTTTCTTTACCGATTGAAGGCCCAAAGGGCCAGGGGAAGGAATTTTGGGAAAGGAAATTGGGGAGAAAAAGGGAAAAAACAAAGAGGAAATGAAGGGAAAATAATAAAGATCACACATAACTAGTATGTGAATGGGCACTGAAACTACAGAAAAAAAAACATCGGAGTTAGGTGTTTGTGGTTTTGTAACAAATGTATCTATATTTTTGTGTGGGTGTGTCTGTGTTTCAATTTTTATTTCATTAGAGAATAAAAGTATAGGAGAATCACAGTTTGAACACCACAAATAAACAGATGAGAGAGAGAATAATAGAATTTCAAAGATTTGCTTGATGTTGTAGTTCAAATTGGTCAGAATTTTTCGATTTTCTTAATAGAACTAACAATGTTTCATCATTATCTGACACGTTCAATACGTAATGTAGCTACAAATTGTTTGTTGTAGTTGATTGTTTCTTCTTCATTTCTTTTATGGAAAAATGTTGATAAACCAGATAATATTGTTTCTACATTTTTTAAAATTATGTTGATAGTAAAAAATAAAATTATTATTATCTACAGGTGAATTTGCCAAATGAAGGAGTTTGTTGTTGTTTAAACTGATGAATAAAAATGAACGATATTCATTGGATAAAAGGAAGTTCGGATTCAATTTTCTTGTATAATCTGATGGTGTTTGTGTATGGTAGCCAGATTGTTTCATCTTCTTCATATTTAACTGATTATAACTGATGTTTTTTTATTCAATCTTCATTTGGTCATTTCGATGTTCAAACGGTGGCAGCTGTCAACACTTGAATACAAATGTCTACACAATTTTTTTTTTGAAGAAGTTTGAATTAAATGATTGATGATTGATACACGAAGAAACAGAGAGATGAAATTAATAGTGTGAAAATCGTAAACAATCACAAACACACCATTAGATTACAAAATAAACAATAAAAAAAAATTCAAATAATAAGAATGAAACAAGAACAAAAAGAGAAAAGAGATAGGTGTGTCTTGTAGGTGTGTGTGTGTGTGGTTGTGTAACAACAATGATAGAACATTTTCTCATAATTAATTATAGGTTCGTTGCACATCTATGATTCACAACAAAAAGGAAAAAAACATATGTTTAACGTTCGATTGTTTTTTTCTGAAATGAAAATGACAAACACAAATACCAATTGTTGTTGTTGGATAACCAAAGTGTGTGTGTGTATAGAGATAAAGATGTATGTTGTAAAAAAGTAAGAAAAAAGCCAGAAAAAGTTGTTTTTTTTAAACAACAATGTTCAAATTTATCATAAGCCAAATGATTCATACATTTTGATCAAGATCATATCTATTGAAAGCGAATCATTATTGTGTATAAAGTGTGTGTGTGTGTGTGTGTTTATGTGTGTGAGTATCTATTTAAAGTCGAAAAATTTAAAAATGAAAAATAATTTGCTTAAAATTTTTTGATGATATCATAAGAAACAAAAGAAAAAATAAAATAATCAAAAAAAAAAAATCGTTGTTGTTATGTTTGTTTGACTGTGGAATGGTATCTTGATGAGTTGCTTTCGAATTGATTTCAATAATCAAATGTCAAGTTTCAATTCAAACAAAACAAAATTAATGACAATTTTATGTGGCTGGCTTTTTTCTTTTCTTTGAGAAACAAAAAAAAAATTTACAAAGTGTGTGTGTGTTTTTGTTATAGTTGTTGTTGATGATGCAAATTTTGGTCATATATAATTATGATTACATTATATTAGTTGGTGGGTTTTTTGAAATTCATTATATTTTATATATATTCATTTAGCAATTACCATAAAGATTGAATACATATCTTTAAAATAGATTTTTTCAAGTGATGGTTCAATCATCATAAAAACAAATTTTGCTTGTCGCAATAAATTCTCATTAAATGATTGATTGATTGACCAAATAATGTATGAATAATGAGAATAAATATTCTCAATCTTTTTCAAATTGTTGCAAATTAATCTTGATGATAATGATGGATAACATTATTTACACGTATGGAAAAAAAAAAAAAAAACGGAAAAAAGAGCAAATTTCTTGACAAAATTCATAATTCTTGATGCGTGATTTTGTTGTCGTCGAAACATAAGTGATGATTTTGGATGTGAAAAACGAAATGCCAAAAACAAATTAAACAAAGAAAACGAATAGCTTTTTTACAGTCAACAATTGATCTCTATATACACCAGTATAAATTAGATACTACACACATCCATGCATCAAAAACAGATGGATTTTTGTGAATAAAATAGGGATCAATAATTGATATTTTGATCAATATTGTTTGATTAATCTAGTATTGGCCAGTGCCGTTATCGGTTGCTGCTGTTGTTTGAATATGGCCATTATTTTTGGATTTGTTGGCTGTTTTTGTTGTTGTTGTTTAGATTTCGTTTCCTTCTTTGAATCACCACATTTAACACCATTTCCAGCAATCGAATGTACTGTTGTTGTATCAACTGTTTTCAATCGAATTAAATCTTCGAATTTAATGGATGTTTTTGTCGTCGATGCTAATTGTTGTTTGCTAATAGGTGATTTACGATCATCATTCTTATCATCATCAATAACAACATTGTTAATGGTCCCATCATTCAATTCCTTATTGTTATTATTATTATTATTCATAACAATTGTCATCCAATTCTGTGGTGGTTTAGGCAAATCCGAAGGCGATGGTGTCACATAGGATTTCGAACCAGCAAATAGATTTTTCATCATTTCCGTTTTCATTGTCATTGTTGATGTAGAAGCATTTTTATTATTATCAATCAATGAATGATGATTATGATTATGTTGTTGATGAAAACTATCGACATTCAATGAATCATAGAATTTTTTTACATTCGAATTTGATGCCTGTATCTCTTTCAATGGTGAAGTTCTATTTATCATCAAGGACTTGGCATGATGATTTTGATTATGTTGATGATGATGATGTGGTGAAGAACGAAATTTTACATGATGATTATTATTATTAGCTTTATGATTATTGTTATTATTAACATTGTTGGATTGTTGCATAGAATCATGTTTTTTATTACGAAATCGATTATTCTGATGTCCATTATGATGATGATGGACATATTGATCCATAGTGCCATTGTTCAACGGTGGTGATGATTTTTGTGGTGAACGCATCGTATGATGATGGGCTGCCGCCGTTGGTTGTTGTCTTGATATACGAATCATTTTCTCTTTTATTCTTTTCAATGTAGCCAAGTTATTTGTTCCTGATACTAATGATGATGTTGATGAATTTCTTACAATTGTCGTCGTTGTCGATTGAAACATATGTCGTCCACAATGCATCGATATTATATAACTATAATGTATTGTTGAATGCATTGTTTTTTGTTGTTTGAAAAGAAAAATTGAACAAAAATTAGGTCAGAAAAAAATTAAATTTTTTTTTTGCTTACAAATAATTCGATTATTGATTGAGACAAACGGCGGTTTGGTTTTCTTATAAAATTGGCGACCAATTTTAGTGGATGTGTGTGTCAAAAACACCAACAACAAACACAAATCCGTCAAATATTTAAATTGGAATATGTGTGTCTTAATGCTCTTGAATAATTTAGCGAATATTGGCTTCAAATTTATAGAAAAATCAATTATCGTGTGTATAGGTATAAATAGAAAAAAAGGATTATATCCTCTTTAACGTCGAAGGATTTCAATGAAAAAACGGATGCAAAGAATAAGATTGGCCGATCTGGAGATCGAATAAAATGAAATGGAAAAATTAAACGCTTTGGAATAGCGTTCGATTATTTTTATACTCTATTATATTTTATATGCAAAATATTTACAATTCCAAAAATCAATAAAACGTAATGATGTGATGTGATTTAAAACACACACACACACACAAACACAAACACAAAAAACTAAAACTTTTTAGTCGTTGATGTTGAATCTTTGTTGTTAATTGTGTATGTAATCTGCGATTATTTATCGAATCACAAGAAATGATGATGATGATGTAATATTTTGAAATTATAATTTTAATAATCCAAAAAACAAAAGTGAATAATTATAATACATTAATAAATGTTTTAATTTAGTTAGGTATATTGTAGGTGTGTGTACATGAAAATCATCGTTGAATTTATATTTTTATCTTTTTTTTGAAATTGAAATGACGACGTTTTTTCTATAAAAAAAAAAAAAAAAAACACAAAGGATGCTTAAGATACAAGGATATAAACGATGACGATGTCGATGGAAATGATGAAAACAATGGAAATAGCAATGAGCGAGTGAGCAACGACTTTTAGTCGTTTTTTTGTGTGTGTGATATGCAGTACATATAGAAAAAAAAACTACATTTTGTCACGTTTGCACACATTCATTTTAAAAATATATATAGAAAAATGTATAGGCGAGGTGGTTCGGGTAAAAAAAAAAGGTGGAGCCATGCTGTTGTTGTTAAGGCCTTAAAAAAGAGGACATACATTCGAACAGCGCATTAGCAGTGCAAGTGCTTTAATCGTTTCGTTTGAAATATTTTTGTCTTGTTCATAAACACTAGGACTTTTTTTTGTTACCTTGATATTATGCCATTCTATTCTATTATATATTTGAAAATGATGATAAATTCAGTCAAAATTATTGATTTTTTTAACCAAGGATTTTCTTTCATGGATGCAAACTACAGCATAAATAATTAAATCATTGATTTATGATGATGATGATGATCGTTGAATCATCGGATGTATTTTATTTTTACCACCGATCCATTGTTACAATCGCAAAATAAATGATTTACAGCCAGTTTTTCAAAAAAAAGAAGAAAACATGACAGTCAATTACGCAACATATGATGTTGCCAATAAAGATAAAAACAAATCAATCCTGGATCAAAAAAAAACCCTCGACGATAAAACAAAATCCTGAAATACAATTGTCATGAAAAAAAACAACAATAATTTGTCCATAATCATTCAATCAACAAAAAAAAATGATAGATTGGAAAATAAATACATACGCTTTTTGTATTGAAAATCCTCCTAGTATAGTTGTTATTGCAATATGGGATTGTAATTTCTGCGTCTAAATATTGATGATGATGATGATGATGTGTGTATAATTTTGTCACATGATCGATGTTGTTTAGTGTCACAAGATTGATCATCATCAATATTTAGATTCGAATGAAAAAACATTTGCCTTTTTTTCATCAATATTATCGATTATCGATCATAAATAATAATAAATATATAATATATCGGAAAAATAGATTTCTATTGATTGATTGATTTTATTTTTCCAAAAAAAAACTGTATATTACATTCATTTTTTGTTGTTGCTATGTAAATGGTATACACACATTCGATCATCGACATCAACAATATGGTTAACGGATCAAATCAAATGGTTATCGTTAACAAAAAAAAAAAAAAATTTCTTCACTATTTTCATAATTTATAATGATATTGATAATCATAATGACGATGAGGCACTTCAAAATCGATATAACCATAGTTTTTAGCCAATGTAACAGCAACGCATAATTTTTCATATTGTTCATGACATAAACAAAGGATTGAATTTGAATAAACATATCCGGTATGTGGACTAATGAATTGTCTCAAAAGTTCAATATTCTATCATTATCATAATGGTTGTTAAATGGAAAACCAAAAAAAAACCGAGAAAAAAATTATGGAAATTGAAAAGATTTTAGAATATTTTTCATTATTATTCATAAGAATCATTATCAAACCTTATGATGTAAGACAAGATAACGGTCACGACATATAGCACACGGATTTGATGTTTTTACAAACCCATCATCGCCCACACAACTAAGACGTGGTACGGCCGGTGAAAATTGTCCTTTGAAATTACGGCGAAATAATTCCCATATTTTATAGTCTTGATATGTTTCTTTGAATGCTATATGATGATTGGAATTGAGAAAAATAAAAGCTGAGTTTCTAGCCGGATTTTTGAAATGAAAAAAAAACTCACTAACCATCACTTTTCATATAACGAATGCTTGTGTCCAGTTCGACCGGAATTCGACGATCACGATTTTCACGTTCGATTTGTTTTCGATTTGTTTTCGTATCATCATTTCTTTTGTCTTGTGAACAGAATCGAATTTGGTTAGCTAAATTTTGTTTGAATTTAATTTTGACAAATTTTTCCCACTAATAAACATTATCTTACCATTCATTGAGATAATTCTTCTATAGCTTGTTATTGTTGACAAATTTTGTCGCAAAAATCGAGTCATTGGAATTATTTGATTCATTTTTTCAAAAAAAGAAAAAATTCCGATTAAAATTCGTTGGACAATACGAAAACATATGGAAAACTTTTTCGAAATTCATGACCGGGAAACTTTTCGGATCACATGTTTTTAGGCGAGATTTTTTTAGGTTATTCAAATTAAGATATTTTTTCATTAAAAAATTAAAAAATTGATAATTATGAATATTCGAAATTCAGCTTTTAAATTATTTCGTTATAATTTTCTGGTAAGTTTTTTACCAGATGAATTTTATCCCCACTTTTAATCACCTAAACCACTTTCAATTCGATAGATTGAACAATTGATCATTCCGACACGGTATAGACATCGTATTGTATTTGAAAATGATCTACAGAAAATTCGTAATATTGGAATATCAGCACATATTGATAGTGGAAAAACAACGTTAACCGAAAGAATACTTTACTATTGTGGCCGTATCGATACAATGCACGAAGTTCGTGGTAAAGATAATGTTGGTGCTAAAATGGATTCAATGGAATTAGAACGACAACGTGGTATAACGATTCAATCGGCTGCTACATATGTTAATTGGCAAGGTGCCAATATTAATATTATTGATACACCGGGACATGTGGATTTCACTGTTGAAGTGGAACGTGCTCTTCGAGTACTTGATGGTGCTATACTTGTACTTTGTGGTGTTGGTGGTGTTCAATCACAAACATTAACGGTTACAAGACAGATGAGTCGTTATAAAGTACCATGTATTGCATTCATTAATAAACTTGACCGTACTGGTGCTAATCCAATACGCGTGATTAATCAGATACGAAAATCGATTGGTTTTAATGCAGCATTCATGAATATACCAATTGGATTGGAAGGAAATCTTCGTGGTATTGTCGATTTAATCGAACAGAAATCCATCTATTATGAAGGTTCAAATGGTGAACAGACTCGTTATGATTGTATACCAAAAGAAATGGAAACCGAAGCAAAAGAAAAACGACAAGAACTAATTGAAGCCATATCAAATGTTGATGATTTTCTCGGTGAACTTTACCTAGAAGAAAGAACACCAACAAATGATGAATTAATGGTTTGTTGAAAAAAATAATTTGATTCAAAAATGTTCATTATTTTTTCTTTCCAAAAAAGGCTGCCATACGACGTCAATGTATACAACGCAAATTTGTTCCTGTATTTACCGGAAGTGCACTGAAAAACAAAGGAGTACAAACAATGCTGGAAGGTGTTGTTGATTTTCTACCCGATCCATCAGAAGTGAAGAATTTTGCCTTCATACATAAAGAAGGTGAAGATGAGCAACAACAACAACAAGTGGAAGCCCATAAAAAAATTCAAATAAAACCAGATCGTGATGACAAAAATGTATTTATTGGTTTAGCATTCAAATTGGATGCAACAAAATTTGGTCAATTAACCTATATGCGTGTATATCAAGGCTGTATACGTAAAGGTGATCATATTTATAATTCACGAACGAAAAAAAAGGTTAAAGCATCACGATTAGTACGAATGAATGCTAATGAAATGGAAGATATTGAAGAAGCATATGCTGGTGATATCTGTGCATTATTCGGTATAGATTGTGCATCCGGTGATTCATTTGTAAATGATAGAAATTCTAATCTATCAATGGAATCGATACATGTTCCTGAACCGGTAATATCGATGTCAATAAAAACTATGACGAAAGATGCAATGGATCAATTCTCAAAAGCTATACAACGATTTACGAAAGAAGATCCAACATTTCGTTGTCAATGGAATAATGATAGTAAAGAAATGATTGTCTCAGGAATGGGGGAATTACATTTAGAAATCTATGGACAACGAATGGAACGTGAATATAATTGCCCGGTTGTGTTGGGAAAACCAAAAGTTGCTTTTCGTGAAACATTACTTCGACCGGTTAAATTTAATTATCTTCATAAACGTCAATCTGGTGGTGCCGGTCAATATGGTTGTGTTATTGGTGTCCTAGAACCATTGCCGATAGAACAAAATACGAAGAATGTATTTTCGGATGAAACTTCTGGACCAAATGTACCACGATGGTTTGTACCGGCCATTCGTAAAGGATTCGATGAAATGTGTGAAAAAGGCCCATTGATTGGACATAAAATTACTGGTATTCGATTTCGACTACAGGATGGTAAACATCATGTTGTCGATTCAAATGATATCGCTTTCCAGTTGGCCGCTCAAGGAGCAATGAAACAAAGTTCGTTAACCATATAGTAATTTTTTTCTCCTAAATAATTGACCTCAATAATTGTCATTATTTATTTTTTCCTAATAATGACAATCTGATTTTATGATTATGATGATGATGATGATAATAATTTATTTCCGTATCTATTCACAATTCAACATTTAGCATTCGATGATGGTAGATGGATGGTGTTGGAACCGATCATGCATGTCGAAGTGAGTGCACCAGCCGAATATCAAGGCGAATTAATCGGTTTGATTACTCGACGTAATGGCCTATTACAATCAACCAATGAAGTGGATAATTATTTTATTGCCAATTCTGAAGTACCATTGAATGATATGTTTGGCTTTGCAACCGAATTACGAACTCTTACCCAAGGTAAAGGTGAATATACGATGGAATATTCACGTTATTCACCTACGCGTAATGATGTACAACAAAATTTAATAGAAAAATATCAACAAGAATTGGCGGAAAAATCATCGCAACAAACGAATAAGATGAGCAAGAAAAATTAATTTCCCGTTATAATAATCATCATTGATAAAATGTTTTTTTTTTGTTTCTCTGTACATTGTACATATAATAATAATTAGATTCTGTTTTGTTATAAAATTTAATGTTCAATTTTCAATAAATATGTGTCTGCTGCTATCAAATTGATATAGGAAAAAAAGTTGGCTAAATGCCTTGAATTACGATTTTCTTTCTGATCTCTGTTGTCATCTCATTTTGTATCATTATGTGGCTGAAGCCAAATGTTTATTTTTATAGTCATTCAATCTACGAAAAAAAAAATTTGTTAATTGTCATCATTTTTTCCTTGTTTGTTTTTGTTCTTTGTTTCCATATTCAATGGCACGGACCTTGATTTGACATGACATGATCATCGTCATAGTCATAATGATGATGATGATCATGATCATTGGCAAATGCTAATGATGTAGCGAGAGAGAGAGAGAGAGAGAGAGAGAGAGAGAGAGAGAGAGAGAGAGAGAGAGAGAGAGAGAGAGAGAGAGAGAGAGAGAGAGAGAGAGAGAGAGAGAGAGAGAGAGAGAGAGAGAGAGAGAGAGAGAGAGAGAGAGAGAGAGAGAGAGAGAGAGAGAGAGAGAGAGAGAGAGAGAGAGAGAGAGAGAGAGAGAGAGAGAGAGAGAGAGAGAGAGAGAGAGAGAGAGAGAGAGAGAGGGAGAGAGAGAGAGAGAGAGAGAGAGAGAGAGAGAGAGAGAGAGAGAGAGAGAGAGAGAGAGAGAGAGAGAGAGAGAGAGAGAGAGAGAGAGAGAGAGAGAGAGAGAAACTTTTTAAAAAGCTATTCAAAAAGACGAATGAATTATTATTATGTTCAAATGTACTAAAGGATATTGATGATGATGATGATCAGACTCAATCAATTGTGAACAATGACAAGACATTCGAATTTTGAATATTTTATCCAATAAAGGATACAATCATCAGCATTTGTACATTGTTCGTATGGTTGTGATGGTGTTCACAATAAATACAGGTATTAATTATCGTTTAAATAATTCGATATGTGAACATTTGATTCAATCGATCCAAAATTTTTGTTTCAATTCCAGTGTCCAGTGTTTTAAAAAGAGTGAATTCACTGTTTTATGTATTTTTTGCGTGTGTCCATCATGAATGTCATGCGTGTTCCACGAGAAAATATCTGCGAGTAGCAGTAACCAAATTATCCATACATGCATCCAGTTTTTATCTACTGCATTTCCAATATATTAACAAATGCTAGATATGCTGTTTTTTATCGTCTCTACTCTATATGAGATTCAATGAATGAAAATTTTCGTAGCAGCATGATGTTTTGTTGTTGTTTTTGATTATTGTGAATCCCTTGTGTTTGTGTTATTTGTTGTTCATATTATCTTGAATCATCATCATCACCATCAATGCCATTGCAATTTCAATTCATAAAAAAAAATTTATTAATTTTGGATTTACATTCTGACTACTACTTTTTTTCTCTTTCTTTCTCTCTTTCTCTCTCTCTCAGGGACTATACTATTATTCATCAATGTATTTAAAAAAAAAAAATGTTTGATTTGTTGAAATTGAGAAATTGCAACATTGCAATCCAACAATCTTCACACCACCACAAAATCCATGTGTAATATATAAGATTTCATGTTTTCTATATTTGTATATAATGATGAATTTGGTACATTATGCCATATATATGAATCAAAATGAATCAATGTATTCTCTCCTTTATTTTATTTTTTTTTTTTTTTCGTTCCAACAACGACAACAATGGAAAAACCCTTATGAATGGTCCATTATATAATTGATCATGTAAATTATTTCGGAAGCATGTGTCATCAAACAAAAGAAAAAAAACGATAATTGTAAGTATGATTATCATTTTGCTGTGTGAATATTTTAAGATTTGATAATAACAATAATAATCTTATGTATAATTTTCATATTCATAATTTTTTTTTCTTCATTTTATTGTCGTTGTTTTTGATAGATTTTTTCTCATCTAGACACATAAATCTTGAACAATTATTATCCTGTTTTGTTCTATTATAATCATTGTTGTGCATCATCATCATCTCATTTTTCTCAGCCACATTTGAATGAATTCGATGTTGACAAGACACATGAAACAACATTCCACATTGATAAATAATTTTTTCTGTAATATCCATCCGAAATTTAACAAAAAAGTGTGTGTTTGTTCATCATTCATCGGTTGTTCATCATATCGTACATTAAAACATTTTGATTTTGAAATTCAATACTTTTCAATGTTTCATCCATGATGATGATGATGATGATGATGATCATATTACCACATTATTATAATCAGAAGCAAAATCAAAACAATGTCACATATAAAATCACCGACAAATGTTTTGGAGACAAATCAACAACAACAACAACAAACAATAATAATAAATAATCGTGATAGATTATTACGGCTTGCCGAATTAGGAACATCATCATCGAATAATAAAAATGTTAAACAAAATAAAAGAAATAATAGTAAACAGAAGTTAAGGATACCATCCTTATCATTGGAACGTAATAATAATAATAATTATAAATCACCAAATTTAACCGATTTATCATTTACGAATAATATTGAACATTTAGTCAATAATTCAAATAGTAAAAATAATAATAAAAGTAGTAAAAAAGGTGATAAATCAAAAAAGAAAAATGTAATTATATCGAATTTGGACGACGATGATGTTGATGATAATCATGATGAACAAAAATTTTTCATTAATAATGAAAATAATCAACGCTATCGATCAAATAATCGATGGAAATCCATACATTCATCATCATCTTCACGTGATTCATCTCAGGAACATTCAATCTATCCATTATTACCGGCAGCATGTATAACATTAACAAAAAGTGTTCTTAATAATCATAATCATGATGATGGCAATATACAGCCACCACCATCATCCACTTCATTAACTACGGATAAATATTTTCGCAATGAATCATCGACTATCGTATCACGGATACCATTGTTTAATGGTCATTATACTGAACATGATCATTTCATTCATGATATTCATCATACTTTCAATAATGATAATCCATGCTCTGATCTATACGCAAAATATCATGAATTTCGTCGAAAAAATCTTCGTCAATTTTCATCATGTAAAGATCATCATTATGAACGGCCATCATTACTTCGAATGCAATCAGATTTACAGCCATCATCGTTATCATCGTCATCATCTGGTGCAATGTTATCAACCGTTTTATTAAAATCCAATAATGTTAAATATATACCAATTCAACGTGACAACAATGAATCTAATTCCAAAACATTTGAATCCAATCATATTCCATCCATAGCAACCTCTTTAGATTCAAAGGTTCATGACCAGGAATCCGATTTTGTTGTCGTCGACAATATTAAGTCGACTAAAACCATAAATCATCCAAATAATGATGGTGATAATAAAATATTATTCAATCAGCGGCAAGCATTTGTCGTTTTGGATGAAGATCATGGTTGTCCGAATACGCCTAAAAAGATTTCAACGTCGACGCCCAAAAAAGATGAATCCGAATTAGGACAGCAGCAGCTACAGCAGCAACAAATCAATACACAAAAAGTATTATTTTCAAAAGTTGACCTATTCAATTGTGATCAATATCCACCGCTTGAAATGACAAACAAAAAACAGACGGTGGTTGAATCAAATCAAACATTTAACGCTCATGATCTCCTTGGACAACTTTTCTTAGCCGATTCACAGAAGAATTCCATGTTATCAATGATAACGGCTGAAAATTTGAATAATGAAAATTATAATAATAAGTCATCTAGTTGTGATAAGTTGGACTCTTTGCAATCATTTCAGTTATTATCAACCGATAAACATCGATCGGAAAATGATCTATCTAAAAATGATATATCCGGTTTAGGTCATCTAGAAGAACAACCCGAACATCATAATGGTATGATTGATAGATTTAAGAAAAAATTTTCCTTACGAGCATCAAAATCAGCTGGTAATTCACCGAAACATGATAAAATCAATAACAATGATCAGCCAACGAATAATCGTAAATCATTATCACCACCATTGAATAATTATAATGTTAGTGAAATCGATATAAATCAGAATAAAATTGATTTGGAAAGTATTGAAAATTTTAAATATTTACATCATGTATTGAATGGAAAACATTCACCAAGCGAATCAAAACGCCGACAATTTATGTCAATCAATCGAAAATCATTGCGTAAAATTTCCCGTAAACATGGCCGTTTAAAACGATCACATACACAGCCATTCAATGATAATGATTTGGATGATATGGAAAGAATGAAATTGGTAATGAATGCGAATGAAGATCCTGAAATATTTACCACGACCGACAAAAGTTTGGTAACGATGAATGGTGCGAACAACAACATTATTATTGATGATGATAATCATACAAGGGTGAGTGTGTGTTAATGAATAATATTGAATAATTTAATTAATCTGATAATTATCATGTTGATAATGTCAATTATTTTTTCGCTCCCATATCTAATTATTATCATGGATCTATTTGTTTGATTGTTTATCGGTCGTTTTTCTGCAATTTATCACATGTATGTGTGTGGCCTGTGTTCAGAATGTCATCTACGCGGAAGCCATTTTTGATTACCAAGGCAATGATAATGAAGAATTATCCTTTCATGCTGGTGATTTGATCGAAGTAAGTGATACTAGCCATAAACAGTGGTGGTGGGGAACAATCAAGGCTACAACATTATCATCAAAAACATCGCAACCGAAATCAAACACCACGGCAACACCATGTGATGAAATTCGACACGGATGGATACCAGCTTCCTATGTTCGTGTAAGTCGTAGTATTTTGATTCTAAATCGATTTGTTGAAAGATTTTTATATGATTTCAATTTATTCGATTATTATCAAATCTTTTACTCACTAATGTTTGTTTTTATTCTCTCCATATTCAATTTCCTTAGTTAAAAGTTAGCCAAGAAGAAACGATTGAAGAATCATTACAGAATGCTACTGACCAACAATCATCATTGATTAATAATAATCATCATAGCGATAATTACGATAACAACGGCGTTGACAACAATAACGATATGTCACCAACATCATTGACAACATCACAAATATCAATGCGTACAAATATAACAACATCAAAATTAATGAGTGCCGAACAAGTTCGTGCAAATGTTGTACTTGAAATATTGAATACTGAAAAAGATTTTGTTAAAAATCTTAAAGATGTTATCGATGGTTATCTAAAACCATGTCGTGATCGTAATGATATGTTTGATTCGACACGTATTGCAACGATTTTTGGTAATATTGAAGAATTATATGAATTTCAATCAAAATTTCTTCAACAATTAGAACATTGTGTTGATATGAAAAATTTGGCAGCAAGTTGTATTGGCCATTGTTTTCTTGAAAATGAAAATGGTTTTGATTGTTATAGTGATTTTTGTAAAAATCATCCATTAGCCACTAGTGAACTACAGGATCTCTATATTGACCATAAATATGTTATATTTTTTGAAGGTTGTCGCCTTTTACAGAATATGATTGACATATCGTTGGATGGATTTCTATTGACACCTATACAGAAAATTTGTAAATATCCATTACAATTAGCTGAATTACTTAAATATACAAAACCAGAACATTCGGATTATATGGCCGTTGCTGAAGCATATCAATGTATGCAACGTGTAGCACAATTAGTTAATGAACGAAAATCACGTTTTGAATCATTGGAAAAATTATTATCACTTCAAGAATCATTTGAAAATTGGGATGGTCCGCCATTGTTGGATAAATCATCCATATTGATACATTCCGGTGAAATTACCCGTATTACACGAACAACTTGGTCAAAAGAATTGACTCTATTTATTTTTGATCATCTATTGATTATGGCCAAAAAAGATAGTCGTTTATTGAAGAAACGTGCCTATCTATTTAAAACACGTATCGAACTTGATCATATTGATCCGATTATATCGTTAGATGATAACATCAAAGATGGTCATTTTAATGTGTTGGCTAAAAATGCCTTTAAATTCTATTATCATCCGAAACAAAAATGGTATCTATTTCAGGCAAAATCTGCTGAAGATAAAGATGTATGGCTTAAAGCATTCGAAAGGGAACGACAACGTTGTCATGATGATGAACTACAAGGTTTTCGTGTAACTGAACAGGATAAAAAAGGTGCACGACTTGCACATGAAAATCATCTTAAACCGAAAAAACCGAAACAATTATATCATAATATACGAAAACCATATGCACCGAAAATATCTCGAAAACCGGATACAGTGATTGCCGAAATACCGCTTGGACCAATAAAAGGTTTTGAAATTGATCGATATAATCGTGCCGGTAGTTTACCATCATATATTCATCAAGAAAAACATCTAATCAATAATAATAATGCAAATAATTTACTGTATAATAATCATCATCATCATCATCATCATAAAATCGACAATCAACAATGCATAAAAAATCGACACGATCAAATTGGTTTCAATTTGGCAATAATAATAATGTTATCACTAATAATGGTGATAATGTTAAGAATCGAAAATTGAACAAATATTAAAATGATGGAAAAAATTCTCATAATTTTTATTTCGTTTCCAATTACATTCCTGTGTTTGTGTTTATGTGTGTGTGTGTGCAATACATTGTCATTATCATCATCATAATCGTTGTCGTCGTTTTTTATTTCTCATTCGAATGTTGAAGATGGAAATCATAATGGATTGTAGTAGATGAATCATTCATTCATTCATTCATTTTATTTCGAAATGTAAAATTATAAATTTTTTTCGTTTTTCGTTTTCTTCCATTCAAAAACAGGGTCAGCCTGTTTTTTTTTGTTTTCTTCGTGTGATTCATTAATTTAATTTGGTGGCTTTTTTTTGTCTGGTTTAATGTTTTTTTTACCTACTGTTCATCTTATGAATTTTCTTTTTCCCATCCCCATTCTCATCCGTTATTAATTATTCAGGTTTTTTTCAATTATCCATCTGTAACTAATGTATTTTTTATCTAATGTTTTTTTTCACTTTACGAGTATGTAATTGACTGATTATAATGATAATTAATAAATTTTTGATTCATTCAATTGGTGTTTACCATAACAACAACACTTTCGAGACACCCTATATTCAATGATATCATCGTTCGAATGATGAATCGAATTCATGACGAGTAAAAAAATTTTTAGAGTAGATAAATTAGTTATGAATTTTTTTTTCATTTATTTCCAATTATTAAAAGATGAAGAAATGAATCTTTTTGTTTGGTTCATTCGTTTCATTTCATAATGGATGTTATTTTTTTAATCAACGATATCTGGTGTTTGGTTGGTCACTTATAGGATATAAAATTAAAATCATTTTATTGTTTCAAGTCATCATATAGATAAAAGTGTTAAATTATTGATTTTTTTTTTTGGCTGAATATCTTTTATACAAATTATCATTATGTTATTTTAATTTGATTGATGGTTGTGTAAATGCAATTATTTTTGTAAAAAAAAATTGAATAAAAAAAGTGGTAAAAAATTGTATGATTGAACGTTTAACGAACAAAGTTACAGGCGTGAGGTGGAAAATGGGTATGTTTTGTTGTTTTTTTGGTATACTGCTTTTCTCATTATTGATGATGGTTATGATGTTAGTCAAAATTCACAAGTCAGTCATTTTGAAAAATTTATCGGTTAATTTAATTTTTTCAAGCAGTTTCTGGCTGTTCCTCTTCAAATAATTCTTCATCTTCAGCTGTTGCTTCTTGATATTGTTGATATTCGTTAACCAAATCGTTCATATTGGATTCAGCTTCAGTGAATTCCATTTCATCCATACCTTCACCAGTGTACCAATGCAAGAAAGCTTTACGTCGGAACATGGCTATAATAAAAGAGAGAACAGAATTATTAAAAAAAATACAAAGAGAATATAGTGATAATAAACTAACCGGTAAATTGTTCCGATATACGTTTGAAAAGTTCTTGAATTGCTGTCGAATTACCGATAAATGTAGCGGCCATTTTTAATCCACGTGGTGGAATATCGCAAACGGCTGTTTTAACATTATTTGGAATCCATTCAACAAAATATGAACTATTCTTATTTTGAACATTCAACATTTGCTCATCCACTTCTTTCATTGACATACGTCCACGGAAGATGGTGGCAACGGTCAAATATCGTCCATGTCGTGGATCACATGCGGCCATCATATTTTTAGCATCAAACATTTGTTGTGTCAATTCGGGTACAGAAAGGGCTCGATATTGTTGTGAACCACGTGAAGTGAGTGGTGCAAATCCAGGCATAAAAAAATGCAATCGTGGAAACGGTACCATGTTAACGGCCAATTTTCTTAAATCAGCATTCAATTGGCCAGGGAAACGAAGACAAGTAGTGACACCAGACATTGTAACCGAAACCAAATGATTTAGGTCACCATAAGTTGGTGTGGTCAATTTTAATGTACGGAAACAAATGTCATACAAGGCTTCATTATCGATACAATAGGTTTCATCAGTATTCTCAACCAATTGATGAACAGAAAGCGTTGCATTGTATGGTTCAACAACAGTATCGGATACTTTTGGTGAAGGCATTACACTGAATGTATTCATGATACGATCCGGATATTCTTCACGAATTTTCGAGATAAGTAATGTTCCCATACCGGAACCAGTACCACCACCCAATGAATGAGCTAATTGAAAGCCTTGTAAACAATCACAGCCTTCGGCTTCTTTACGTACGACATCCAAAACGGTATCAACCAATTCAGCACCTTCAGTATAATGGCCTTTGGCCCAATTATTACCAGCACCACTTTGACCAAAAATAAAATTATCCGGTCGAAATAATGTACCGAAAACACCTGAACGAACAGAATCCATTGTACCCGGTTCAAGATCAAGCAATACGGCACGTGGAACATATTTGCCACCTGATGCTTCATTGTAATAAACATTGATACGTTCCAATTGTAATGGGCTATCGCCGTGATAGGTACCAGTAGGATCTATGCCATGTTCATCGGAAATTACTTCCCAAAACTAATCGAAAACGAGAGAGAAAAAAAGCAGAAAAAATACGACCAGGTTGAAAATCGTTGGCAAACAAGAACAAAAAAAAATTGATGAAATGGAGTAGAGTTTACCTTGGCACCAATCTGATTACCACATTGACCGGCTTGAATATGAACAATTTCACGCATTATGATAAATAATATTTTAAGATGATTTTAATAAGAAAAATTTAATTCAATTCAACACACACACACAAAAACACCAACACGTTCACCGAAACGGATGTAAATTAGTGAAATTTCGTTATTGAATTCAATTAATCGTTGATTTTCTCGTCTTATTTCTGATGTCGTCGTGTCGTTGTGTTTGAACAAAGGACGAAAAAATAAGAACAAGGCAACAAAAAAACACGCCGATCAAAACGAAAAAACGTATGGGTAAGAAAATGAAAATTTTGAAGAAAAAAATTCAACCGATCACAACCGAAAACGAATAATAAATGTGAAAACGTTGACGATGAAGGGCTGCTTTTTGTAGACAAAGTTCGAGTGTTTGCTAAAAACAATCTTTTTACCCTTATTCACGTTTATATTACTGGCTTGATTTTGTAAGTTTAGTTTTTTTTTCGTTGTTTCTGGCCGCGGTTTTGACTTGAGTTCAAGCATGGGAGAGAGAGAGATAGCACAAGAGTTAGTCAGCAAGCTAACTTGGCGACGACGAGGAGGAGGAATGATTTTTTTTGAAATCAACAAATCAGTGGTAAAGAATTGATTGACCCCAAGAGTAAGAGAGAAAGAGGGTGAGAAAAACGATCGAAAGGGTCGACGCCCATTTTTTTGAAAAAATTTATTCTTTTTTTTCGAACATGCGCAATTTGTAATTTGTTTAGCCTGTTGCTATGAGAGGGTGTGGGTGTGTTATGCAAAAAAATTGTATTTTTATTGCCTAAAAATACAACGACGACAGTAGCGACATTGGTGGTGGTGAAATTTAAACGAAAAAAACTTGACAAATACTGGGCGAATGTGTTTTCGGAATTCATCGATTCAAACTTGTTGGTTGGTTCGTTGATTCGGCAAGCCGTTGACCGATCGTGAATGGTCGGGGTGAAGTATATTCTCTTTTTTTTCGTTTTTCGAATATTTTCTCTATTCATTCTGTGCTTATCAACGTCATCATCATGATTGGGGGAGAAAAATGATTGCCAAGCATGCTAATATAATCTATCTATATTCTTATAGCATGCATGGCAATGAAAAAAAACGGAAAATATCAAACCATCCATCCATTCCATTACATGATTTGAAAAGATCGAAAACAATGGACGATGAATTTTTTCTATTTAGAGACAGAAAAAAAATTGAAAAAAACATTTGAAATGCTGTCTAAGCTGTCCATCATAATCCATCAATAATATAACATTCGATTTCGGTCGATCCGAATATAACAACAACAACAACAACAAAGAGACTGACGAGACAAAGACCAGAAGGCAAATAAATAATTTTTTTTTATTCCATCAATAATAAATAAAGCTCGAAAATATATTTTTCAAACATAAACACACAATCCAAATGAGAGATTCCATATGGTAGAAAAAAAACGTTAGACATGATTTTTGGAGATTTTTTTCCTTTTTTTGCATTCATCAAACAAACAAACTAAAAAAAAACTTTGGAATACAAATTGAATATAAAGAAAAGAAAAAAATTTTTTTCCTGAAACTGAACATGCATAATGATAAATAAATAAATAAATAAAGATTATATTCCAAATATAGAACAAACATGACATACCGACACAGACACACACACACACACATGAAACATTTGACTTATGGCAAATGTCTTCAAATGACGAAAAAAGCAAAGATTTACTGCAAAAACGATGATGATGATCCGTTCGGATTCTTAATGAATAATTGTCGAGAATATTTTGTTGTTTGTGAACTAAATTTTATTTATTATTTTCAAAATGTCTTTAGCTTGAATTTTTTTTTACTTCTCCTCCTTTGTTGTATTATATTATATTATTTTCTCATCATATATCATCTTATTATTATTATTATTATCAGGATCGTGCTTCAGGTCGGCTGGCTAATTTACCGGCTATATAGTAGACATTTTGATGATCATGATCGCCCAATCTCAGTCAACAATTTCAAATATTTCATTCCACGATTATTCATTCATCATCTTAAGATATAATATATGAGGAAAAAAATAATGAAGATTCATTTTTTGTTGTTTTTTTTCATCATCAACCATAAAGATGATGATGATGATGTATGATGATCTTGTTTGGATATAATATTAATATATTTAATCCATTTATTTTTTTTTCTTTTCTTTACTGATTTTTGATAATCGAGTTTAGCCATTTTTTTGGCTCTTTGCAATCAACGAATAAGGCAAACCTTTTTTTCTTTGCTTCGGTCCCGTCATAATGATGATGACGGCTGATGGTTGATGATGAAAGAATGGCTAAAAAAATAAAAAGATGATGATGGCTGATGATCATCACCCCAGCCAGGAAATGAGATTCTCATTCTTTGTTTTATGTTTATGATTTCTATCACACGCACACAATACAAGGTGATTGTATTCGATTTGATTCGAAATAAGAATTCTGTCTTGAAATTCATTCAACCAACCAACCTGCAAAAAAAGAAGAGGGAGTTGAGAAGAGAAAAAAAGTTATATTTAAAAATAATGATAAAAATGGAAAAATGTAGTTTGTTACAATTAATAATAACCACAAGGGTTGGAAGGAGGTGGTTGTTGAAAATGTGTGTCTAATGGGGAAGTCTTTACTATTTTTCGGCTATTGTTGTCGTTGTTGTTGACTCGAATATTTAAAACAACTCACCCTTGTTGTTGTTGTTGTTGTTGTTGTTGTCGTTGTCGTTGTTATTGGAAAGGGTTGTTGACTTCCGACACAATTTTTTTCTTTCTTCTCAATTTCGACTTATTTTAGCTTCACTTATTTTTATTCATTTCATTCATAGATTCAAGTTGTATTTTGTAGGGAGCAAAAAAATTATTTGGTTAATGTTGTTGTCCGAAAATTCGTAAATCGCAGCATGTTATGTTCATCATCAAAAAATACTGGTTCGAAATTCAGATTGAGATAGAGAAAAACAGAGAGAGAGAGAGAGAGGGAGAGAGCCAGGCTAAAATATAACAAGAACAGAATGATGTGCTTTTATCTAGCAGCAGACATATGTTTTTTTTTTTTGTTGATTCGTTTGTTGAACATTCTTCATCATCATCATTTCATTTTTCTTTTTTTTGAAAAGTTTGTTCACGCCACAACACATACAATTGATGATGTTTGATATCTCATTGAATGAATGTCGTCATTATCATCACCGTTGTCATATTGTCAAGAGAGAGAGAGAGAGAGAAAAAAAAAAATGTAAAATTTTGTTGTTTAAAATTATTTTTACGAATAAAAATATCCGTCTGGTTTCCGATTCGAAAAAAGGATTGTTGTTAATTGTTCGAATTCGAATCAATGGTTAAAATAATAGCATTAGATTATTTCGACAGGAAAAGGATCCTTTTCACACATTTTTTTTCTTATTAAAATATATTTGAAAATTAGCCATATCCGTTGTTAATTAATTAGGTGAAAATAGTTTATGAAAATTTGATCATCACACAGGAGGAGAAAAAAGGGTGGATTAGAAATCTTTAGATCCTAAAATGACCATTTCATTTTTCGTGCTGCTTTCATCATCTTCATCGTCATAATCAAGAAAAGAAAGATTTTTCTTCGTGTCCAAAAATGTGTTGATGACTTTTTTGTTCGTTTTTTTTTCTTTTTCATCCCCTTTACAGCCAAATTTTTGTGAGAAAGGAGAAAAAAATAACGCAAACGTCGGTAAATGCGAATACGTCTCGAACAACTATGATAATGATGATGATGATGATGATGGTCGATTGGTTGGTTGGTTGCTTGATTAGTTATTTTGATGTAATATAGCCCTAAATAGACTATATCGACTCTCTCTCGCTCACTATTAAATGTCTTGAATGAATGACAAGACATGAAACCCGAAATGATAATAATAATAATGATGATGATCATGGATGTCTATTATTAGGCAAACTGGCTAAACCATCATCTTGTTGTTGTTGTTATTATTATTCGAAAATTCGACATTCGAATCAGCCAACAACAACAACACGATATAGACATGGCTTTAAGCCATCGAAAGATTCTTTTTCTTCTTTCATCATCGCTAACTGGTGTTGGTTGTTTGATGTTGTAATGGCAGCCATAAACCAGCTCCATCGTTGAACTTGTTTCTGTGGTAAGATGATGAAGAAACAAAACAAAAAAAAAATTTTATTCGAATTGGACATCATCATATTCGTGAATGGAAATGAATTCGTAAATGAGAATTTTTTATCATGACCCATACCATCTTTAACAATGGCAATAAACTTTTTTTTAATAGTCAATTCTATAAGATATATCATAAAAATGTTTGCGAATATTTCCTGTTTTTTTTTCTCATCTATAAATTCATCAAAATTCTATAGATATGTAATTTCGGAAGCTTAAAAGATTAGAGGAAAAAAATTGTTCAATCAAAATGGATTATGATTATCGTTATTCAAGATTAACAATATTCTGTCATCACAAAAAAAATCAAGAATATTTTGACCATCGATTTTTCTCTTTATTTATATGGTTGATGGATGAGTGGCACTTACACAAACATTCGAAATTTGAACGATTTCTCTCACAATGTGAACAACGAAACGTTCGAAATATTTGGCCATTCATTCATATATTCAATATCCGTTGATTTGTTTTTCCACTGATTTTCATTCAACAGCGAGTGGAAAAAATATCGGGATCAACTTTTTTTAGATATTTTTTTCGTTTTTTTATCATTATTGTTGTTGTTGTTGTTGTCGTTGTTATCAACGAAAAACCCGTTCGTCATTGTTCTCTTTTTCTCTCTCATTTTACTTGGCCATGGCCATTTCACAAGACACTGCTAACTGAATTTATGAGATGAAATGACTTTTAAACATAAAACAAAGACCAAATGATTGCCACACACACACACATTCTTTGTTGGAAAAATAATGCCAATATCGTGTAAATATCGCAAGTTACCGAAAAAAAGTATTCCAATAACAACATCATCATGTCATAATGGTACTTGTTGATCATGACCTCCTAAAAATAGATTTTAAAAAAAACACAAATACTTTTGGTATGCAACAACAACAACAACAACAACAAAATGGTTCCAATTATGTCAAACACAACAAAGAGAGAAAGAAAGAGAGAGAGTAGGTGAAAAAAATCGATTCAATCGTCATCATTATAATAATGATAATCATTATCGATAAGAATGGTATGACACAAAATAAAATAAATGCCATAATGGACATGGATTGATGAACTTGGCCTATTCACGATGTTGATCTTGAACTAAATAATTCTAAAAAGGTTTAGCATTCGATATTATCGTTCTTTTTTTTCGATATCCATATTTCTATTCTTTATATTCACATTAAATTAAATTTGAAAAAAGCCGGTCGTTAATTGGAGGCAATCTTTTTTTTTTCTCTTCTCTGTCCATGAAGGTAGATAACAACAACATGAAAATGGAAAATAATTTTCCACATTGTGTGTGTGTGTGTGTGTTTGTGTGGGTGGAAAGCAAAGCAAAAAAGAAAAACGACATCAGAACCGAATAAAAATAAACACTCCTACATCAATCCATCAAAATCTATTTAAAAAAATGTTTCATCAACAACAATATGAAAAAAAAATCAATCAAAATGAAAAATGATATATGTAGACAGTAGTAGTCATCATCATCATCATCATCATCATGAATGGATGGATATATAATATTTAAATTAATTTTTTTTGACATTCAAAAAAAAAAAATAATTCATTTAATAATCATCAATATTGATGATGATTATGATCATCGTGTCATCAAATGTATGTAATGTTATGTTATGTTTTGTCGTTTGAACAAATTATACATTGTATTATTTATTCAATAGATCTAAAGTTTTGGTTCGAAATTTCAAATTTACATTTTGGTCATCATCATCATCATCATTATTATGTCGATGAACAGAAAAAAAAACATTTGAAATTCAAACGACAGGATCACTTTTAATAATGATGATGATGATGATAGTAATGATAATGGGATAATCTCGTTCATGTTACATGTTACAACATCATCATAATGATAATGATGATTCGCCAAATGGGATTAATAATAATAATGAGATTATAGTAAAGTGGGAGCAAAAAAAAAAAATATAGATAACATCCAAATTGAACAGAAGAAGAGAAAAAAAATTTTAAGGTTAATTTAAATGAAAAGCCCAGAATTCATCATCAACAACAATTGTTGTTGCTTAAGAACAAACAAAAACATCAAAGGCCTATCATCACCATTAAAAAAAAAAGAATAAAAAAATGCTAACTGTTCTCTGTGTATAGACATATCATAAAATGGATGGATATATGATTATGATTTGTGGATGACCATGTAATTCTTGATGATGATGATAATGATCATGAGTGCAAAAACGGGGAAAAATCAAATGACGGACAACGATGATTCTTCGTTTTGTTTCGAATAATATTTATAACAACAAACCATCGTGAACTAGAAAAAAGCTATAATTATTATACTAAACAAGTTTTTTGTATTACTAACTCTTTCCCTGTCTTCTTTTTTGTTCTTCTGTGTTCATCATCAAATTTATGGCCAATGATTATTATGATGATGATTATCATCAACGTTGATTTTTCAAAGCACATTTAATTTTCACTGCATAATTCAATGATAGGCAATATGGCTTCAGGGTTCTTTAGGATCTTCGAATGAATCAAAATGTGCCGAATAAACATGCCTCGATCGTTGTTTTCACCTGATTGATTTTTGTTGTTTTTCTTTTTTTTTTTTTCACCAATCATCAATGGAAAAGATCAATGGATGAAATTATCTTATCTCTTTGATGCATAAATGTCTAATGATTTTGTTTGTTTGATTTTTGTTTCTATATTATCATTATGACCATACGTCCAGCATCATCCATGTCCGTTCGAATATAAATAATATCGATTTTTTTGACAGATTCAATAAATTCGTATCCATCGATAAATAAAATGATTTTGGTGATGATGATGATGAACATCGTGATCCATTGAGTTCATTAAATGTCAATCATGATCATCATTTGGCTCGATTTAGCCACCGCCATTACCAATTTGGTTTCGATCGGTTTGATCTGGTTTGATCGTTAATTTTTTTCTGTTGTGGAAGATAATTTATTGCGTAAGTAAATGTTGTTGTTGTTGAAGCTCCTGCTGTTTGTATGTCCCGAAATATATATGCTATGGCTATTGATCATATCATATTGATTGAAAGATTGAGATGCGTGATAAATTCGATATTTGATTTTATACCATGTTTGATTTTGTTGTCGTCCAATATATATCGAAGAAATCGATTGATCAAACATATTGTCAATTTCTTTTGATTTGAACATAAAAAAATTGGTGTCAATGAATCTTGATCACATCTTGTTCATAATGATAACAATTGTCTAATATTACAAGCATGATCATCATCAAAAAACACATTCAAGTTGATTACGATCATCATCATCATAATAATAATAATGGAAAACATAAAGAAGATGAAGACAAATCACGACAATCATTCAAACAAAAAATTGTTGATGATTGACATCACGAACCAATTTTCTATTATTATTATGGTCGTCATTTTGTCGTCGTCGTGTTGGTTGAATTCTTAACGATGATGATCATGCTGGCAGTTAGATTAAATCGAATAAAGATCAAAATGTTCAGAAATGTAAGTTAAATTTTTAAAATTAACAAATTTCCTAATTTTTTTTCTTTTGAATATTGAAACGGAAAGAATTTTTTTAGCGAAATTAAAAAAAAGGATGTATTAGAATGAGCGAGAGTTATCCTGTCCGTCCTATATGAAGTGATTCACTAAGTTTCTGTATTTTTTATACATGCATGTAAAAAATATAGCCTGACACTTGACCATCAATAAAAACTTCACTTGTTTTGATTTTGATATTGTAACATGTGATTCGGATAACATTTACTATACAGAATCGACTGTATTAATCGATTAAATCAATTCAATAATGATCAATGGCGTGGATCAACACACAGGATCTATGTGTGGTTCTGATCACTCAGGTGAGTATATGAATCATTTTATATTCAATTTATTTCAATTTCAACATTTATTATAATCTAAACTTGGCCCTTATTTTAGTTATTATTTTTTGCATTCGGATGGTATATTTTTGTTAAGAAATTATTTCGTGATTATGAAATCAACCATAAATGGGTACAGATATTGTTTTGCGTTACGTTGTCCATATCATGCTGTATGTTTGAATTGATTATATTCGAAATTGTCGATTTTCTTGATACTAGGTTAGTGAAAAATGTGGATCTGATCATTTTAATTCGATCTAAATTTTTTGGCTTTTATTTCAGTTCACGTTATTTCCATTGGTATCTATCCATATACCTGATGCTATTTATGCTTTTGGTTGCCTTACCATTTTCGATTTCTTATTTTCTCATTGAAAATTGTTTTGCCGATGGCCGTTCACCTATAAGATGGCGTTCCAAGTTTATTCTTACCGGAATCTTATGGTTAATTTTTATTATCATTTTCTGGGAAATTGGCAATCCTTTCCCAATATCATCGCCACGTCACGGAATTCTATCGATCGAACATCAGATTAGTCGGGTTGGCATCATAGGCGTTACTTTGATTGCCATGTTATCAGGTTTTGGTGCGGTTAACTATCCGTATGTTTCAATGTCATATTTCACGACAACTGTTACGTCAGCCGATCTAGCCAATGCCGAAAAACGGTTAATGCAAACGTGGGATAAAATTATTATGAAGAAAAAACAAATCTCCACGGCATTGCACAATCAAAAAGTATCGGCAAGCGGTGGTCAATCGATTCAGAATTCTAATTCATTTTCAAGGGTATCGTTCTGGTCATATCTGAAAAATTTTGGCGCTTCTTTCGATTCAACGGCCAACGTACAACAATTACAACGTGAATGTGCCAACCTAGAGGAAATGTCACGGCAATTGTTTCTGGAATATGTTGATCTTAAATGGATGGAAGAAAGATTTGTACAATCCCGAACAATCAAAGGTAAATTCTTCAACTATCTCGGCTACTTTTTCTCGATTTATTGTATTTATAAAATCATACTTGTAAGTATCAGTAATTAAGTATCAAGTATCTCCGTTCTGATTGATTTTTATCCTATTGTCTGTCGATAGTGTACGATAAACATTGTATTTGATCGTGTAGGCCGTATGGATCCAATAACACGTACACTTCAATTTCTCGTCAACTACATCGGTATCGATGTTGATGTAAAATTCTGGTCACAACATTGTTCATTTCTTGTTATTGGCGTTATTGTTTTAACGTCAACACGTGGTTTGCTCATCAATTTAACAAAGGTAAGAGATATGAGAGAATTTCTGAAAACACTCTAATCTATATTATTGATATAACTTAGTTTTTCTATGCCATTTCTTCGTCCAAATCATCCAATATCATTGTTTGTCTATTGGCCGAATTAATGGGCATGTATTTTGTCGCATCGATCCTATTGATGCGTATGAACATGCCGTTAGAATATCGGATGATCATTACCGAGGTACTTGGTGATCTTCAATTTAAATTCTATCATCGATGGTTCGATGTTATATTTCTGATCTCAGCATTGGTCAGCATCGGTTTCATTTACATTAGCCGTCAACAGATGATGAAAAAAGAATTGTGATGGATAAAACATATATATGATCAAACAACAACAACGAATCGAAATCTCATTCTATCTGTATATGCTGTGTGTGTATTGTTCATTGGACCAATTAAACAAATTAAATGCAGCCTAATTAAATTATCAAATTAATAATATAACAATAAATTGTTTTTGTGAATAAAAATTCTATTATCCTAAACTTTTATGACAATATTTCTTTTTTTTTGAATTTTTATTTTCTATTTTTATAACTGGTTGTTGGCTATTTTTTATTTTATTTTTATTTTTTTTTTTTTGAAAGAAAAAATTCTTATCATCTCATTGCTGTTTGTGTGTGTGTGTGTGTTTGATACGAAAACGACTTGAACAAACTATATATCAGATCCACATCGAACAAGAACTATCTTTTCAAGTTAAAAGATGGCACCATCATCGTCATCATCGCAATCAGCTAGATTAGTTTTGAAATTCGATCCAGAAAGTGAACTACCATTTCATGGTCCATATTCTAAACCATCGACAGTAACATTACGATTACGATCATTAGCATCTGATAGAAATATGGCATTTAAAGTGAAAACAACAGCACCGAAATTCTATTCTGTTTCACCAACACATGGATTCATTGCACCGGATGCTGATTGTATGATACAATTAACATTTAATGGTAATGAACAAGATTTACGAATTTCGAAAATAAAGCACAAATTTCTGGTACAAGCAACAAATGGCCCAGAAGATATTGATTCGATAGCACCAGATCGTTTCTGGAAAGAGCTTAATAGTAGTAATCAAAATTCGATAATATACGAACAAAAACTTCAATGTCTATTTGATCCATTGGAAAGTTTGGAAACTAGTAACGATAATAATATGCAACAGCAATTCAAATCGTTTGTTGCTACGGCTACCGATAAGAGTGAAGGAATTTTGAATCAATTGTTGACACCATTAGAAAATGATCATAATTCTGTATCATCGTCAACTTTGGCCAACAATGAACAACAGCAACGACGATTTTCGTTGAAAACATTAATATGGGCTATATTTGCCGCTATTATAGCCATTGTAGCTGCATTACCCATCTATTGGAATCGATTACGATCGAAACAATCGCCATCGTCCACCGAACACCCATAATTCAAATGGATCAATCAACAACAATGCTGGAACATTATCGTTAACGAATTCTAATGAATCTCGATTAATGAAAACAACGATTTATATTGGTGCTGCAACATTGGTAGCCGTAATTGGATGGGCCATATATCAATGGCGTAAACGTAATTCGTTGTAAAAAAAATTGTGTTTTTTGTCTATGTGTGTGTGTGTGTGTGTGTGTGATAGATGAGATGTGTTGAGAGTGTGTGAATAAAAATTGAAATATTATTTCTTGAAAATTTGTTTGTAATGTAATGTCATTATATAATCATAGATTCGGTTATTATCATTTTATACAATCATATATTACTTTTTATATATATTACATAATACAAATGGTGGGTGAATGTGGTCACAGGGCACAGACGTGTTGTTTTAATACTCTTTCTTGCCTTCGGTATCCACAATGGAAATTCAAGGGTCAGTTCCAAATTTTTAATGATGTATCCCATGATCCAGTCGCTAATGCAACACCATCATCGGTAACACCTAAACATGCGATACGATTATCATGTCCACTAAGTACGGTAACCCGTTCTTCGCGAAGAACATCCCAAACATAGCAATTAAAATCATCATAACCACCGAATAATAATCGACCTGATTTTGAAAATGCAACCGATGTTAGACCACAACTAATATCCGAATGTTGATAGCAGGCCATCTGTTGATCGGATCGTATATCAAACAATCGACCAGTTGCATCGTCTGATCCTGTAGCTAAAAGCTGTGAATTAGGAAAAAATACAACAGCATTCACATCATTATCATGACCGGTAAATGTTTGATGACAAAGACCATTACGTAGGTCCCATAATCGTGCCGAATGATCACATGATCCAGATACGAATGATCGTTCATCTGGTGCTAATGATAATGACATAACATCACCTGTATGTCCTTCGAATACGGTTAATTGATGACCAGTTTCAAGATCCCAAAGAGCACAAGTCATGTCACCGGAAGTGGTTAGAATTTGATTATCATTAAGGAATCGACAACATGATAGGTAACCATCATGACCGGTTAATTCACGCACGATACTGACACGGCCATCATTTGCACGTAAATTATAAACAGTGCAAAGATTATCGAGACCACCACAGGCTACATATGAACCGGATGGAGCATAAGCACATGTCATTACCCAGGATGATTTTAATGGTATTGCATGAACTTTATGTCCAGTATAGCCATCCCAAACGATAAGTTTACCATCTTGAGAAGCAGAAACAAGATGACGAGAATCACCTGACCAATGAATTCCATATATTTTGGCTAAATGTCCTCGTAGTGTTTTTCTTGCCTTTATTTGTAATCGACCAACCGATTGTAGATTTGCTGTTTGTTGTTTAAGACTGGTATCGGCAGCCAATTTACGTACGGCAACAAGTTTTGCACGTAAAGTTTCGGCTTCACGCCGTAAACGTTCTAGCTCATCACCCATTGTTTTTTTTTCTATGTTGAAAAAGACGACCAGAGTAATAAAGGTGACTCAGTGTTAGGTCACCACAATTCACGAAGCAAGATTAGGAATGATGATGGTGATAAAGTCGAACCAAAAACACAAACACACACACAATCAAATGAAACAAAAATTTACACGATTCTATGAGGTCCGTTGATGATCCAATCATCAAAACTATACTTCGAACATAAAGATTTAACTGGAAATAACTGGTGGAAAAAATCGAATCACTTTGTGTGTGTATATGGTATAAAACGGCAATGACAATATCGACAATCATATACAAACGATGATTCGACAAATGATGATGATGACTATCATCTCAGCACCAATCATTCTAAAATCTCAATCCTCATCGTCATCATGGCGACAATAATATTGGTAAATGTTAAATATTTATACGACGACGACGGCAACATATTTTATAAACGGGATAAATGTAGAATCGTGTAGCATCAACCAAAAAAAACCATACTACGTTGTCCTACATATCCTTAATATCAACCAGACGATGGATTCCAATAATGAAAAAAAGACATAAGTCACAAAAAAGTGATGTTTTTGTTGGTGGTGGTTTGTACAATTTTGTTCTTCTGTTGTTGTTGTTGTTGTTGAAGTATTAGTTTGTCATATCACGACAACCATTTGATGTTGATGCTGTTATTGTTGTTGATGATGATGACAAAAATAATCTTATCATCAATAATAATATAAGATTGGGTGGTGGCTGCGTGTGATTTAGTTTCGGGTTTTGGGAGGGGCGGGCCAGAGTGATTGTGGTAATTTTGTTTCCCCCCCGGTTTTCAATGATGGTGGCGGTGATGGCTATAAATAAATAATCTGCTATGTCACTATCATATGGAGAAAAAGAGAGAGAAAAAAGCTTAACAGTTACGGATTTCTAACATTGAGTGTCGCATTACCGTTGTGTGTGTGTGTGTGTGGCCATGGTAATTCAGAATCATCCACAATACCGATAATAATTTCATTGCGAATAAATTTAACGTTTTTTTCTGGAAAATAATAATGAATATCCTGTCATCAGATATCACAATATCCGGTTCCTGGTAAAGTTTTTTTTTCTTGTTGATAAGATCGAGAGAGAAGATCCATTCGACTGATAGCCAGTAGTGAAAAAAAAAATTCGGTGTTACTGGCCTCATTTTTTTTCACCCTACAACCAACGATAAAAAAGGGCTCATAATTTTCACGCCCGTCAGTACAAGGATAGATAAATAAAAAATAATAGAGCTACTCCGAACATGATCCAGGAACACATGTCATAACACACCAAATGACAAGCAAGATAATGGGGTTAGACAATATTATGATATTTGTGTGATATTTTCCATCAGTGAATGCAATCCAATATACATGTATATGTTGATGATGATTAGTACCAGCTTAGATCAATATATATATAGCCACCACGATGATCCATCATTCGTACCATGATGATGATCCAGAAAACATAAAAAAAAGAGAAAGAAATTTCTATTTATAATGAGATACATATTATAATTGGATTAATTCTTTGAAATCATATAGAAATAGAATGTGTGCGTATGTGTTATATGTAGAAATGAGAGATGATCAACCATAAATTGTTAGAAAAGAATAAAATGTGACACTATTAGCCTAGATATTTTGTATGAAGTATGTACTGGTTATGTTCTGAGATATGGTTTCAAACAGACGATAGGAGGGTAATGTACATTATGTGTGTGTGTGTGTGTGTTGGGAAAAAATATATGTGCTTAGAATTCATAATTAAAATCCAATATATTTGACCCGATTTGACCCATTCATACATTGGTCATAATCACGTTAAAATGATTATACAAAAATGAATTAGAAAAAAAATCTAGCTTACTAATCTCTAACTATCCTTGTTGTTGTCATCGTCGTCGTCGTCGGTCGAATCATTGATTTTTCGAAATCATCAAAACACTTGTGAAACACACCGATTTGAGATGATGATGATGATGAATGGAATGACAATAGAAAATGTTCTTCAGTTGTCAATAAACACACACACACACACACACACATTCGTGTGTTGTTAGTTGTCGTCGCTGTTGTTGTTGGTGTTGAATCGCGTGATCCAAAATGATGATTATGCCGGTTATGTTTTTGTCGATGATGATGATAAGGCGTTTCTTGTATGACCATCAAACTACATTTTTCGACAAATATTTTCGCAAGCAATAACAACAACAACAACAAAAACGTTATTTCGATATATATTTGCATTTCAATTTTGCATTTGATGAAAGACTTGATGATGAATTCATTTTCGCTTTCAAATTTAAATCATTGTTGATGAATCGCATGGTCGAAGGTCGTAGCAAAAATACTGAATGAATGAATGGATCACAATCTTGAATCTTACAGCTGAAATCAAACAGAAAAAACCGAATCGAAAAAATAGCCACAACAAATGGTCATCATCTGCAAACATTTAAGAACGAAACATTTATGATTTTGATAATAATGATCCTTAGATATACAATCGATCAATGCCATTTTTGATTAAAAAAAACATCGGAGATAAGATCGATTGAATCAATTTTCTATCGAATTTTTTTTCAATATGAAAAAACGGCCCAGATGTTAAATAGTAATGTGACTATATTAACAGCAGAAGATGGTATTTTACAAATGGGATCGAATGGATTGTACGTTCGATCTGATTGTGTCATACATATTGTTTCATTCAGGAAAAAAAAAGAAAAATGTGATTGATGATTGAAGGAATCTTTTTTCTTGACTTACCGTTATTTATTATTTCCATTCACATTCATTATCATTGGTCAATTGGCCCGTTTCGCTCATTCCCCCTTTTCAATAATAAAAATACTATTCAAATGTGTGTGTGTGTGTTTGCCTATTTCACCAGAAAAAAAACCTAACTGTTTTATCCGAATATATCTGCTTTATTATTACACAAAGACTTATTGCATTTATCCAATGTTTAATCTTTATTATTGTAATTATTATAGCAACATAGAATGATTCACAACTGGACACCACTACCAATACCATCACCAGCAAAAGTTTGCCTAACTGAATTTCCCGACTAATGGATGGCCATACCTAAAATATAACTCCATACGTATGGATGAAAAATATTCTTTTGTTGTTGAACGCCCAGGTAAAATTTACTGAAGGAAAAATATATACAGATTTAGCCATTTTTTCGGGTTATTCTTGTATATTACGTGCTGCGGTTTTTCTTTTTTAATGGTACTAACCATTTTATACAATACGAAAGAATCATCACGAAAAAAATGTTGACGTTCACCATATCAACCAAAATGAAAAGAAGAAGAAAGAAAAAAACGGTAACGGTCATATTATAGATCATATTACTGATATTGATACGCTCCAGTTACTGCTGAATGTAATTAGCACCCTGCTTGTGCATGGGAATTGCTGCTGTTTTTTTTTAACAGTCATTCTCTTCAATTTTTTTTCCCTTCACTTTCTGTACTCCCTTAATGATATTTGACCATTTTTTGCATGTTCTGATCATCAGTAATAATAATAATAATGATTTATATATATTTTTTTCAACCACACACAGGAAATGTCACCAATCTATGTAATTCAGATGGCTTTGATTTTCGGAAATGATCAATTTTCACCCAATTCAACGCTATATTTGAACAATAAATACTTCGATATATCAATGTTAGATATGTGGATATTCTTCGATTTCTTTAATATATAGCTAAAATTATTGATTTTGAAACATCATACATTCCATTCATCTATTAAATGTAGGTCAAACATAACATATCTTTACATTTATCATTTAATCATCATAAAAAACGATCACAATGAATGTATATACACGAATCTTGATAATAATAATCAGAATACATAATTGATTTATGTTTATTTTCGTTTTGGTTTCTTTGTTTTTTTTGGTTTTTACATTCCGCATGGATTTATTCTAGAATTCAAAATCAAATCAATCTCACCGGTTATGGCTATATATACTCGTGAATGAATATAACAAAAAAAATATAATCTCCATAAATATATGTGATCACCGATTCGATTTTGAATTCCAACATTTAACGTATACGGAATTTAAATGACATTTGCATTCACCATTCTTTCTATGACACAATGGATTAATTCAATTGAAAAATGTAGGCTGAATTTTTTTTTAAATTTCTAATGTTTAATTGCTTCGTTCATTCTATCAGCAATTCAATCCATAATCAGTATGTTAACAAGCTCGTGTTTCAATGTCAGTATTAACCTTTGTTGGCTATGAGAACAATTGCAGCACGTGTTGACATCGGCAACAACAGTAACACATATCGGGGGATACTACAATGATGATGACAAATGGACAAAAATATGTGTGTGATACGAATCATACTATAATCAACATTACAATTGATAATTATTAATTCGACAATAACAACTATATGTAGTAGCTAAAACGACTTACGCCCAACTTACGAACAACAAATTATGCCGAATGTATCCTAGCCCTTTTTTTTCTTAAAATGATGATGGATATCTTATTGCTGGCCATCATCGTATTTGTGCGTATGTGAATGTTGATTATCATTACTTGCGATCCTAATCGCAGATAGCCTTCGTTAACCCGTAACTATATGTACTTAAATAAATATCAATGAAAAAAAAAGAATGGCTAAAATTGAAATGAAAATTTTCGGAAACAAAAGTAATCCTGAAAAAAAATTCTAAAAATCAAAAAATAATTATGATTGTTTTATTGCGTAGGAAGAAGAACAATTGCAACGTAACACGTTACATCCTGTTTCAATAAAAACAATATATACATGATCACCAATCAACTGAAAAAGATTTGGATTGATTACCTATCCGATTATTATGAAAACTGATTTTGATTTTCAATCATATCCGCTATATCGAAATAAGCTTCTGTGTATGATGATAATTATTGAGCTGCTGTAAAATAAAAGTAAATATATATGTTGTATATATCGTATAGATCAGATTAGATGATGATCAATGATGGTGGTTTTTTGGATTCATCATCATCACCTGTCATTTTCAATCACAATATCCACTGATGATAATGATGATTATGGTTAATGATTTTGACACGAACCAATAGTGAATCATCAATGTATCTATGTTGTGTATGTGATTGCTTCATTTCATACATTCATTCATACATTCAATCATCATCATTAAACAATGCTCATTCATCAATTCAAATCATCATCATCAATCGACCAGCTAAAGAGAGAGAACGAATGTTTGCTCCAATTTGGTTTTGGTTGTTTTTTTTTCTTTTCGTTCCACTATATTGTTTGAAATTTGAAACTCCATTTTTTTACAAAAATTTTTCTTTGTTTGATGTGTTTGTGTGTGTTTTTTTTTTACATACAATTTAAATGGCAAAATAACACTTTTTACATAGTGTCATTTATTCAACATATGATTGTTTTTTTTTGGAATCATTATCATACCTGCTGTGTAATCAAACATGGTGATTACACACAATCAAAAAAACCAGTATCATCATCTTTGGTAATCATCGCATCACTTTTAAGCAATGTCGCTGTGTGTGTGTGTGTGTGTGATTATGTGAACCTAAATAAAAAAAACCTAAATGGTAAAAGTCATCATATTTTTAGTGAAAATCATCCAATCTGACAAACATTATTCAACAGAATGTCATCATCATTTCTATCTGCACTATGTAAGTAAATTATTCGAAAAAAAAAATTTAACAAATAATAATAATAATAACCAACATTCTAATTTCGGAAATGTTCTAAATGATGTTCCGATTTTAAACTTATTTATTATTCTAAACTTGTTTCGAACATACATTTAATGGTCAAGGTTGCTATGTATATCAACTTGTTATAATTGTTTGACTATATTGATATATTAATAACAATAACTCATTGGCACTTTATTAAGATGTTCTTGTTCGATACAAATATAGCACCCATTATAATCAGGATTTAGGTTTTTTCTTGTTGGAACACATACACCGATAATATTATGATTACAATCTTTAATATTAGTATAATCCATATTTATGTTCCAAAAAGTATGGTCCAATTGTTTTATGTTTTAGGATTTAGTAGAATGCGTGAATATGTTTGTTGTTGTTGTTTGAATGAATTGGGCGCGCGCCCTGTCTCTTTTTCCATTTTTCACTGAGTTGAAAGTTGGGACAAAAATCCTATCTGTGTGTGTGTAAGTGTGTTTGTGTGTATCTGGGAAAAAGAGAAATTTCATAAAAGCTAGTGGCGTCTCCCTTCTGCATATATTTGTCGATCATATCATATGGTTATAGTCATTTGTCGTGAATAGTAGTTTCAACATTTTTGATAAAATTTTCCATTTTTTTATTCTTAAGTTAATCATCAACATCATAATTCATGGTTTTTATATAAATTTGATCACTGTGTTAGTGAATGAATGATGAATGCAAAATGTTACCTAGGTAATCTCTCTCTCTCTCTCTCTCTCTCCCTCCACCCACACATACACACAAACCATATCAATGGTTGTCAGTGATTGTCCAAATAACGAATATCAAAATGGAAAATCAGCTATCTATTTCTATTGATTGATTAATCCGTGAATCTAATCATCAACAACAACGACAACAAATGTCTAACTATCAAATAAGGTAAGATTATAAAATCATCCAAGTAATCTCGATATATATCTCTCATTTGGTAGTGGTTTTTTTTCACAAGTTCTTACATGAAAAAAAAATTCTGAAATTACTGGATAGGTAGGAGTGGTTGTGGTGTTTTATTATAATATCCAATCAAATCGAAAATGAAGAAAATATAATTTATTGTGATATAATAATTTGAAACATGGAACTCGAAACCCGAAAATGAAATGAAAATGGTGAATTATTCAAAAACGATCATCATTTAAAATGTGTACCATTATTATGATGAACGGTATTTTTAGTCTCTCTCAATAATTTGTGTGTGTGTGTGTACGAATATCCGGCTAGAAAGTTTGAAATCAGTTTTTTCTCTTTTATTTTCGTGGTTGGAAATATTGAAAATTCTCGACGATCACATTACACATTCATAAATATTTCATGAATGAATCATGAAACCATTTGATGAAAGTAAATTAATTTTTTTTTTGAATATTTTTTTCATTCATTCATTTCTTTTATGATCATTTTAGTTACCTTGGTGGTTTTCACAATTGTCATATCACATCTTGACATGTTGTTGTTGACCATGGTTATTGGGTTGCTGACCTAAATTCTTATTTGTATTATTATTGAGATTCAAGTATTCCCCTCTTCAATCGATTGAATCATCGATCTAATCTAATATTATTAAGGAACAATCAAAAACAAACATTATTCTCACAATCATCATTAAGGTAGAAATAGGAATTACTTTTGATTTTTTCAAAAATCTTTTTCAAACTCATACTAAGTGACTCGAATACCACTTGTCCACTTGTCCACTCATTTTACTTTTGAATGAACACTTTTTTGATTTGTGGGCCACACATTCCATCAAACAATTGGGCGTTTTTTTTGTTTGTTTGTTTATGTGTACGAGATGAATGGTATTGTCCATCATCATCATCATCATCATCCGAAAATCCTTTTTAGTGATGATGATGATCCAATCCAACGATAATGATGAGGATGATGATGATTGTGAGATATTGTATTTGACCATTCAAAATACAAAATATAGATGGATAATAATGATGATGCCCCACTACCAATATCAACACATCATCATTAGATCAAATATCCATATTTCATTATCGGTCAATCGATATTTGTTTGATGTCCACTACACACACACACACGCACTCATATGAAAATAAGTTTGTCGATGACCAATGTCTATTTTCTCATCAATAAAATCTCAACCACAAGTAAAAAATACATTAATTTCCGCGATTGATCGATATCAAAGAATCCGGAAGAATTGAATTTTTTTTCTTATGCATGGTGATGATGAGAAATATTAGATCAAAATAAAAATCTAAATCGAAAAAACCAATTATCTTAATTCGATTCAATTTGAATTGAAAATTCGAATCTCTTTTTTGTGTGTGTGTGTGGCCGTTGTCACATCTTTTTTTTGAATGTTAAATTATTTAGAAAGTATAAATCAATTAACTTGATATGCAATTCAATTCAACAAAATGAGTTGATACAAAAAATTATGACAATGGAATGATCCAAGATATGTAAACAAATAAACAAGAAAAAATTATAATGGTGAAAGTTGTCTATTTTTTCTCATTTTATTTATTTATTTTTTCTGCTTTCTTTTAGACATGAAAGTGTGAATATTATTTTTTTCCTGTTAAAATTTTTTTTTAAATGGTTTGACGTGTTTGTGTGTGTGTGTGTGATGATTATTTTAGGCAAGATCCAATTGTCCTACTGTGTGTCCTTTGTGTACGTTTCGGATAACGACAACGTGCAACGCTTAACGTTGTCCGGCATAACCTATGTATGTGTGTGTTTGATAATAATCATCAACTATTAAGTCATAGATGATGATGATGATGGCCAAATTCATTTTCACATTTAATATACCTGTTTTATATAAGCTAAAATGGCATTTTTGTTTTAGTTTCACTTTTTTTTGTTGGGCTTTGTCTTTCTCATTGTGCGTTTGTGTGTATTCGGTCATACAAGTCATTTGTAAAAAAAAATTTGTTTTAATCATTTCCGTTTCCATATATCATCGTATTTAGTTTGACTCATTTTTTTTTGTTTTCGTTTTTTACTTCATTGAACCAAAAAAGCTACCTAAAATGATCAAAATGTGTGCGTTGTGTGTGTGTGTGTGTTTTAAATGATCAACTGTTTTATTTATCCAATTGCAACAATAGTTTGTGTGTGCAAGTTTTATGAACCGGATTGATAATGGAAAAAAATGATGTTGATGGTCGATGTCTGCACGAGGCACGAATGATAAAATCAATCAACAACAACTTGTGAACGATACACTATCGATAGTTGATCATGTCATGATAAATTTCAAATAACAAAAAAAACAAAAAAAAAGAAAAATCAGACATATCAAACTTTCAATCAATCATTCAATAAATCGATCGATCAATCAATCAATTATCTTTCATCGATTACATGTTTCAATTATCTTTAATTCTTATATCGAGAGAGAGAGAGAAAAAAAGAGCGAGTGAGTGAGTAAGGTTCCTTTAATCGGATTAATGGACATTCATTTGTATCAATGACATTGACAATGATTGGCCACACACACACACACACCACGACATTGAATTATAATGAAATTCTTTGAATTTTTTCGATAAAAATTTGGGACACTTGTTGCCACCATTATTATTCTTATTAAGTTCCGGTATTGATATCGATGTCTTGTTCAAAAATAAATGAATATGACAGATGCAAATGATGATGATGATAACTACCTACTAGGTTTGGAATTCTGATTAGATATGATTAATGAATTTTTTTTTCGTTCGTTCATTTCGTTTACTGACCTAGATTCAATGCGATTTTGTACATCATCATAAACAATACACTCACTGCCCACAATTTATAAATTACTTACATATATTCATCGTGAGATTCCAATACAACACAAATATATCCGTCCAAAGTGAATTTTTTTCTTGAAAAAAATGAATAAGCCACATGATTCTAGTAATGATGATCATGATGATGATAGTGATGAGAATGAGAATCGACAGCCATCATCATCTTCATCTAACTATCAACTGTCAATTCATCAGACAAACAACGTCGAAGACGACAATAACAACAATATTCAGAATAAATACAGCCAATCATCTTCAACAACATTAACAAGACCACCAAGTGAATATAAATACAGCAGCCATTCAGATGATGATGATCATTATAATAAGGAAAATAATGATAATAATCGAATAAATCAACAAAAGTTTAATGTCAAGCAACAACATGATAAACCTAAACGACGAAAACGTAGACGAAGAAAAAAATCAAAATTTATGATAATCAACAGTGACAATGATTTTAACTTACCCATGATGAATAGAACCAAAAGTATATTTGACCAAAGTGTTCATTGTGATGATGATGGAGATTATCAGCGCCCATCATTTATTCATCATCGAAAAAATTTTATCAATATAAACGATCATTTTTCACAACAATCAACTGATGATATTAGGCCATATTGTGCACAAAAAATGTCCATCTATGGACAACAACAATCATCTTTATCAAATTTTACAGTGTCATGTTCATCTTTATCATCGATAAATCGGTCACCAACATATACAACAATAACGAATAAACCGATAATGTATGACCAACACCACCTTCGTCACCAAGCTTTTAGGCCAGTGTTATCGATAATGGCCTCATTGATAATGCTTATGACCATATATTGTGATCATTGTTCGTGTAGTCCATCATCATCATCTTTGTTCATTCATTCAAATTCAAATTCAAATCAACAAAAACCATCATCTTATCATATGATGATGGTCAATAATGGTCGATGTAAGTAGTTAGTTTTTAAACCATTTACATACGCAAACACACACTAGCTTTTCATATATATTAAACCAATCAAGATGATGATGATGATCAATCAATAATAATAATAATATAATATTTTTGTTGAATTTTAATTTTAAAAAAACATTTACAATAGATTGTCACCAAAAAGTAGTGGTCAAAATCGATATGTTCTCACAGAAAAAATGAAATTCACTTTTTTTCTTGACAGTTTTACATTGTCAGTCTTTGTATACAGGGCGTCCGTAAAGTAACTGACTGATTTTAATTGAATCCTATTTTTTATGTATGAGATTTAGATGTATGAAGTGCTATGCAAAATAAAGGAAATTTATTAGGATTTTGTATTCCATCATTGAAATTTTTTATAAATCACCATATCGCCCGAAAAACCGATAATTACCGATCGATGTCCAAACGCGGTTTCACCACTGCCAGCCAGTGGCTGTATGTGACTGTGTGTGGCCGTACATGCCAGTACTGGCACATTAACAAATGACGGTAAAATTTTATGGAATTTTCATTCAAAATTATGCATTCTCCTCAATCAGTTCAACATTTAGGATCAAATGTTAAACTGATTGAAGATGATTCAGATCAATTCAAATTATTGATATTGATGGTACATGAATTGTCCACTGGTTTGAGTCAACGTATAAGGACCAACAATATTTTATTGATAAAGTTTTTTATGAAGACAATGAAAATGAATAATCATATTGATGGCATTCTCTTCAATAAGTTTAACATTTTGGATGAAAGCCGATGAAATTTCGATTATTTACAAATCAATAAATTTACGAACTGCGGTGGCATAAGTATCTTTCGCCATTTTTACCATATGAGATCAAACTTAAAAAACACTTTCACAGTGTTCATTAATTTTAAATTTCTCAAATTAACCAATTAACCAAATGGTGCACGAACAATTTCAGTAGATTCGATGATTCGGGTGATTGACATCCATTCCTTACTCCAAGAAATGACTGTAACTGCAACTGCGAAATGCCGATTTGACTGACGTTAACCAGTGTTTTAGATTTTTATCATCATATCTGACAATGTGAGACAACAAAATACCGCACAACTTGAGAGATCTTTTTTGTATTGATTAATACGAGTATTTCCATGAGTTTGGCCCAAATTGACAAGAAATTCGATCCATTTTTCTGAATATTCAACGTTTCTTGAAAAATTTGATTCCCTACAATTCAATTACGATTAAAGTCTGAACTTCAACCAAATTTTATTTTAACGCAATTTGTTTCGAATCATGGAAAGTTTGGCGAATATCTATCCCGTTTTGGCCTGAATAATTCTGATTGTTCATTTTGCTCCTTATCGATGCAGTCCTCGTTGCATTTGTTGCTCGAGTGCCCTGCTTTCCATTTGGAGAGATTTCGTTTTATGATTGATGCCAATATTGATTCTACTAATGTGAGACAACAAGTAATCGATTTTTTTGACTCACGATTAATTGTGATCTACCGTAAGTCAGGGGTAGCCTGGACATCTTTCTTTGGGCAGAAACCAATCGATTTACAAACATTATGGTCATCATGTCCCAGAAATATCGTAAGTCGAGGGTTACTTGCATTCGAAAAAAGTTGAAAAATCGCAAAGCTCCAACTGCGAAATGACTGACGTTATTCAATGTTTTAGATTTTTATCTGACAATGTAAGAAAACACGTAATTTTCGTGGTTTGACTTCACACTAGTCGTATGATGAACATGATTATCACCATCAACGTTGACATTGGAAGAACGATTCTCAAGATTAACAAAAGACAAAAAAATCCATAAAAACATACCGAACTTTTTGCTCCCTTGCACAAGTCGTGGACAATTCATGTACCATCAATATCAATAATTTGAATTGATCTGAATCATCTTCAATCAGTTTAACATTTGATCCTAAATGTTGAACTGATTGAGGAGAATGCATAATTTTGAATGAAAATTCCATAAAATTTTACCGTCATTTGTTAATGTGCCAGTACTGGCATGTACGGCCACACACAGTCACATACAGCCACTGGCTGGCAGTGGTGAAACCGCGTTTGGACATCGATCGGTAATTATCGGTTTTTCGGGCGATATGGTGATTTATAAAAAATTTCAATGATGGAATACAAAATCCTAATAAATTTCCTTTATTTTGCATAGCACTTCATACATCTAAATCTCATACATAAAAAATAGGATTCAATTAAAATCAGTCAGTTACTTTACGGACGCCCTGTATGTTGTTGTTGATATGAGTAACAGTAACAACTTAATTAAGAAACGTAAGTATTTACTGTTGTTGTATTATGCGTGTGTCTGATCGACGAATTCAACACTCGCAATCATTCGGGAGGAGAGATTGTCCGCGCTGGCAAATTTATTTATTCATTTAATGTATATAGAACAACAATGAACAACATCCAAAATATGGCGATCCCAAAATTTTTTCAATCAAGTTTCATATGATCGATATGCTTCAAGTGATCAAGTTCAAGGATTTTGATCATTGTTTTTTTCGGTTTTCAATAAACGATCAACAATTAAAAAAAATATTAATTACAAGATAAAGATCAAATTAACAATGATCATTGGTATAAGAATGATTATGATGATCGCGTGCGAATGAGATTGATGATCATGATGTCCAGTAATTGAGGTCATTCTACATTTTATTTTATTTATTTTTTTTTTTTTTGGCACATTTCGGGTGTTTCCATGATGATTTCTTCGAAAGTTATGGTCAAAAATCTGTCGAACAACAGGAATAACGGTTTTATTGTTTATCCTGTTTCTAAATTTGGAATTCTTATTGATGGATTGTTGATTGAATTTTTTTTTTTTTTGAAAGACAAAAAAAAACATTTTTTCCCATATCAAATCTAGATTCGAAACAAACAAACACAAAATTGATTCAAAACGAATGACAATAACAATGTTCGAATGTGATTGAATGGATATCAATTTGTCAAACAAACAAATAAAAGAAATTGATTTCATAAATATGACATGATGTGTGATTGGTCATTTGATTTTGATTTTCGAAAAAAAGAGATTCAATTCTCATCGATCATCATCATATACAACGTCCGCCTGAATGATCATTATGGTCATCATTATGCCATTAATGATGGGATTGGCCACAATTTTGAGATGTATGTGTGTGTGTGACACACTGTGTGTGTGTTTGTGTGTTCTATTTCGGGAATTTTTATGTGAAAGTGGCCAATTTACTTATATGGATCATTTGATAATTTCTTTCTTTTTGGCTTATAACGTTCATCGCTTAATTTAATTATTCATTTAAATCAATAACGATGTTGGCCAACACACACACACACAGACAGTCCTTTCCTGTTTATCAGACGTGAAATTCGAATAAATAAACCGATTCCGTAAGTATTTTATGTATGTGTGTGTGTGATCCGGATGTAATTCAAATTCAGAAAAAAATTCCCATGAATCATATATGGTCTATTTTTTCCAACATTTATGATATTTAGGATTGTATTGTTTTTGTCGAATTTCCGACTTTACTCAAGTGATGATCTATCCGGTTTTTTTCCGTTTCCCTAACATTCTCGCTGTACATCTATTGAACATGTCAACAAAAACAAATTAATTGTTTTTGAAAACATCGATCGCAACAAGTTATCTTTAACCAATTGTTATATTTGATGTTTGATGAATCTATAACGAATACTTGCAATCTGGACTACACGATAACAACATTAACAAAAACCAGTGGCTACTTAATCAATCAATCGAATCAATCGATAGATTCATCGATTAAACAATAGCCAGACATGTTTTTTCATCAACCATCAATTTGATTTGATCGTCATGACGATGAGTTTGACAAGTTTTCATGCAACAACAACAAAAAGGATATTAAATGAGATGACTTCATCATCATCAAAAAAAATACCGATGATGATGATGGTCTTTAGATTTTTTATTATTTTAATTCATTTTCCCGTTTTGTCTACAATTAATGCCAAAGATTTGTGTTGTGTGCTCCATTGAGCCAATTTTAGAATCAGTTTTCTTTTCCTATCTCTCTCTCTCTCTTCCATTCATTAGCATCGATTGTGAATACATCTTTTGAATGAATAAATAAATGAATGGATGGGCTTCCCATTTTTTTCTATCTTCTTTTAGTCAATCAAAGGCCTGAGAATGGATAGAAGATTTGATTGTATGTATCGTTGACATAAACACAGATTGTGGCGTCTTGTTTGTTACGACCGGTTGTCAGATTCAAGATTGAATCACGTTTTTTTTGCCTCTCTATTCTCGTCTATTGATGACAAACTTTTATTTTTCGATACACAATAATGATAATGGTAATGATGTGATTTTTTTTTGTTGGCAATAGTGGTGGGCCAGTTTAAATTTAAATCACCATACTGTTTGTTAAATTCTTTTTGGTTTTTTCCATTTGGTCATATATTAAACTAACCGAGTAATGATAGTTTGGGTTATCTTGTCAAAGAAGAAAAAAGAAAACAAATCCAATATTGTCACTTTAGATATGGCGATAATAGGTTTGTTGTTGGTGGTGGTGAATGATGAGAATAAAAGTTTGAACAATTTGATGAGAACTATTTGATCTTTGGCCAGCGAAATATCTTTCTCTAATTTGACGAAAAGAAAAACAACATTCAATAATCACACAGATCACAGGATCAGCTTGTAGTTTTGTTTGTTGTCAAATTTGGTCAACGGCCAAATAAAATCAAATAGCCGAAAAAAATGTGTGTGACAATCAGTATATATTAAACTAAAGATTCACACGAGTTCGCGCGAAAAAAAATAATCTCATAATACTAATACCACGAAAAACATGACCATAATGATGGACATTAACATTAAGGCCATTCTTCTTCTTCTTTATTATTGACCCTTTTTTCGGCCATCCACACACAATGGAATTCAATTTCCTTTTTTTTAATTTTATTAAGTGAAACTTAGAAAGCTGATGATTATAATCTCATTATGTTTTATTTAATTGCTTCTCTTTCTTTCGAAGAAGAGTTGCTTTGCTTTTCTTGTCAATTATAGTAGAGAATATTATAATCAGAATCAATGTGAACATATGCAAGGCAAGAAATTATTAGCAAGAAGATAATGTTAAAAGCCTTTAACCCTTTCTTAAAAATCAATCGATAACAATGATTAATTTGTTTGTTTGTTTGTTCTGACATACAGATGAAAATGCTCGATCATTGTCATCGAATAAGAGATTCGCTATTGCATCGCCAACATCATGGACATCGACACGATCGGATCGAATACAGAAGACCCTAATGTCAATGTCTTCGCCATATTATCAAAGAAAATCATTGCGACCATTGAATAGAAAATCAAACCTGAACAAAGATAATAATTTGTGGGCTAGTGAATCGAGATTACAGCTATATCAACAATATCCTTCAAATCAATCATCACATATCAAACCGAGACCGACCACTGCCAATACTAATGTTGATTCCATGGAATCGTTTGATGGTTCCATCGTCGAATCAATGGATCGAGTCGATGATGATTTCATTGATTATGATGAAGAAGAAAATGAAATGGATCAGGATATTCGATCGCCAGATGATCAAATGACCACAATGAATCGTATGAAACCGGCATCAATGCCTTTACGATTAATCGAACAGATACGTTCCTATCAAATGACTGATGATATGAATGAAACTAATCACTGTGATCATTTACTTGCATATGATTTAATGTTAAATCATTCAATTAATTCACCAATCATGGAACAACGTATCATTATTGAATCCGAACATTTAGAACTTTATCTACGATTACATCCGGCAACAAATCGTAAGTTTTTTAATCAGTTGTGTTGAATACATTTTTTAGATTTTGATTCGTTGATGTAGGCAAATCGACTGTAGATTCTTCCACAAGTGAATCTATGGTCAATTATGATAACAATGGCAATTGGAATTGTCGACAAATGCTTCAAGCTCAATTATCTTCTACCAAATCGGCCATATTCGATTTATCAACAAGTACATTTAACGTAAGCTGCTATTTAGTGTACGGACCTCAATTTCAGTGTGTTCTGTAAGTGATTTTCTGCTTTGTTTTTGGAAATGCCATATCAATTAATTTGTTTGTTGGGTAGATTTACGTTCACCACTCATCATTTCGCATCAATTCTTCGTTCGTCAAACCAAAAAGAACAATTTTGTGGTATGACAGTTTTGAAATTTGTAAGTGACATTCATCATTTATTTTCTGTTATTTATCAAAATGTCTTTTTTTTCATTCAAAGAATCTACTCGACAATCGATGCCAATTAAGCTTAACGGTCAAACAGATTTCTGCCACTGTGCATCATAAAAGCGGTGACAATATTGGTCATCGATTAATACGAAATCAGTTTTATCAGTCGATTCCATCGTCCATTTGGGAGATACTTCATGATACTTTACCTACAATTATGGCCGCTTCGACTAATATTACAACTACAAATGAACAATCTTCCTCATCATCGGGATCGACTGTGAATTGTATACGATTGTGCCAAACAATACCCTATACGAATTATAACGAGCGAATTAATCGTAAGAATCCTAATAATAAATCTCATCGTAATAAACCGGAATCTAATCATGAATTGATGGTGATTGAAAATACAAAGCCTAAATGTATTGTTCATCTTGATAACCGTAATGTAGTCAATTCAAATTTAAATCTCAATCAAAATCAAGCAGCCGCAGTTAGTAATCATTATTCGATAGCTTCGATTGGTACGACAGCGGGTATGGGAAATAGTGGATTATCAGTAGCATCATCTTTGGCTACACCTCAGATAAATGAAGCCACGAAAAAGACCTGTATTGAATCATCGAAACATGTACTTACGCACAATGGTTTAGTCATTAATCATCCCACGCTCAAATTGATCATTACTCGTCCAAGAAATGAGGATTTTGATCCAATGGAAAAAGAAACATTACAACCGTTAGAATTTTACTTGAAACTGGAGTCGAAAAATTTGGCTTCAAATGCACAGTATTTTGATCTCGTCCTCAAGGTATGTTTGCTGTAATTAACAGACCAAATGATTCACCACATTTAATTTTTCTATCAGAAATACAAATGGTCAGCATCGGCTAGCCTGCTCTATCCTGAAATTTATCCCGGTATTTTAACAGGACAAACATCCGTACCAGTCGAATCGGCTCATCATCATCAACATCATCATGGCCATCATGATCATGATAGATTGCCCAACGTATATTTTCGATTCATATTCAACAATTTAAAGATCACTAAATGGGGCTATCGTTATGTATTGAAAATAACACTCCGATCGAATCCGGCTTGTTACACGATAGAAACAACATTCGGACCGTTTAATGTTCGACCTGCAACAGATCAATCGGAACAGCAACCATTCACCAATGATACTAACAACAACGATGTTCATTTTGTATGGACCACTGAGAAATGTCATTCGGTTAGAATCAATCTTCAGGCTTCGATTGTGATCGATCGTGCCAGTCAACAAGTTATCGGTGGTCACACAAATGGCCATGCTCCAGTGTCCCGGTTTATTGATTATCTATGCGATTTGAATATGGAAAAATTGAACATTTTTCTGATCAATTTTTTAGCCAATCGAGCTGCGACAACAGCTTCTGATATGATTCCATCAGTAGTGAAAGCACGTATTGCCATGCAAAATTCTGCCAGTCATCGTAGTGAACGACGACGATTGATGGCACGTAGAGAATGGACGTTTACTCACGAAAATGACCATGCAAGATTGGTACATGATTTCATACAGGATAATGGTTTCCGAATTAACGGTACTCAATGTTTACAAATGTTGTTTCAATCAAAAAATGTATCCATGCTACATCATTTGGATCGAAAGACCAACAACAAATCGACACCAGCTCAATCGAATTCAATTCAAGAACAATTCAATCGATACTATGAAAGTTTTGCTCACTTTCAACAACAACAACTTCGTCAGAGATTGATCAACATGACATTCATATATTCGGGCGAGTTGTTGTTGAAGATAAAACAAATTTACATTAATGATAAGCCATTGTACATCTCACCTTCTCCCACTTCTACATCATCTGGGCCGAAAAAAGTTCATTTTGGGCTAGGATTTCATCGTAAAACAAAAGTTGTAGATTTTAAAAAGAATTTAACGAATCGTGCTGTCGAGAAAAGAAAATCAGATGAATCTACATCAACGATGGCTACAACCCAAGCTGAAAATAGCAACAATGAGGATGAAGTGGAATATTTAGGTAGTAATAATAATCAAGGCTCAATGACCACAACCAAACCACACAGAACTCGTGCTAAAGCAAGTGGTTCGAATTTAAATCGACATGCCACGACTGTGGGTCCATTTATGATCGATGATGATAAAGAGCATCAATTTTCAAACAAATCCCTTATTTGGATTCTTATTTTATTCGTTAACACTTTACTTGTTTTCGGTTTCATTATTTTACTGGCTGTTTGTTACTATAGAAGTTAGTATTTTGTTTGATACTTTTATCCCATTAATTAACGGTGTCTTTATCCATAGAAATTATCTATGATACCACGATAATGAAACAACAGCAACAGCAGATCAGTAAAATGGCGGATTCGCGTAGATTGGACGATGATCCAGCCAGTGTTCGACCTACACATCGAGATGATGTATTCATGTTGGGCACCAAAGATTATCATCCAACAAGTTCGGGTAGTTCCTATAGTTCTTACGGGTCCGGCCAACATTCTAGTTCACCACCACTTGGTTTTAGACGTAGTGCTTTTGTTGGAGCTGGTGAACGATCACTTGTCGATGAAATGATATACGAAAAGGCATTGAAAAATCAGGCGCTCAAAGTACAACACATGAATCGATTTATATCATCGGCAGCAAGTAAAGCCCGTTATCCATCACCACGTCAATTGCCAACTATAACGACAACGACAGGAATTTCTATTCAACAGGAACCGACAATAACAGGTATAACATCCAGTAGTGGCTTCTGTAGCAGCAGCAGCAGCAATAGTAGCGATAACAGTAGTCTTAGTAGACATAGAAGTAAAAGCCGTAGTTGTAGTAATCAGCATAGACAACCTTTGACCAAAAAAATAATTAGTTATAATAATGGCCATTCTCAACAACAACGTCGTTCACAAAGCTCAAACAAATCCATCATTGACAATGGATCCCCAGCACGAACAGAAGGAACTGACAGCAACAGACGTTCTCAACAACGAAGCAACGGAAGTGGCAGTTACAACGGTCCCGTCACCCATTACTATTACAGAGGTACCGGTAAAAGAGGCAGATTCTAATGACGATAAAAATCAGCACCCATCAATCTCCATCGCCACTACCAGTCCAGACAAGCAGACTCTCAGTCTGCCTCATGTAAAAGAGGAATCAACTAAGACTGAGAGATTGGAAGAAATCGAAACACCCAAACCAATCGTTGTCAATTACAATGAAGACTGGGATTTGCTTACACCTGTTTCGCCATCTACATCTCGGTCATCTAACAAAATTGGAAGTAGAAATCGACAACGACGACGATCTAGCTTACGTCCGATGGCCAATGGTCGTTATTCTACGTTATCATTGGCTCATGATGAAGAGGCCGAAGATTCATCAACAGGTTCAAGCGATTCACTAGACCGTACATACTCGTTGCGTGGTGATGAGAATGAAGATGAAAAATATTTCATCTACAAAGTAAAAGATATAAATCTGGTGCCCAGAAAAGAATGTGTAGGCAAAGTTATCGTTCCACGTGATATGTTTGGCGGCCGTGGCCATAATATTACCTTGGAGGAATTTCGAAAACTTATACGCCAATCTAGTGATGAGATGCTACGAGAAGCAGCACGACAACGATTCAAATATCTGGCCGAATCATATCATTTGGTTGCATCCACTCAGGAATCGGAAACACCTGTACGACAAATGTATCCAGCTCAAGGTGTATTTATAAAATTGGATAACGAACCCTATCCATGGCGTCGTGAAGTAGATACCAGTTGGACAGCTAAATTACAAGCCGAATACGAACGCAAATTCGGACCGATTCAGCTATCCTCATCTCGTCAACAACGTAAACGAAGTTCAATAAGTCCGGCACAGCTAGGACGATTATCACGTATACAAGAAGAAGATAAAGATCGTGAATGTGAGGAAGAGGAAGAAAACCGAAACGTTTGGGATCCTAAACGAATCATTCAACAAACACAACGGCGTCGTAACAGTACTAATCGTGTTGCTCCGTTAGCCATGAATGTTTACGACAATAAATTAAGCTCGACGTATCCATCACGAACAAGTGCCTTTCGAACTGCCAATCATATGGGCAAGTATGATTGGTTTCAATCACAACCAGCGACTACATCAACATCATTTGATCATCGTTATGGACAACGACGAAAACAACCGGTGGCCAGAGCTCGTTATAAAGGAGGACGTAAGTTTCAGAACTACTGTCTCTTTTGACTATAATATTAATATGATGATAATTTATTTTTTTTGTAATTGAATAGGGCCACCTTGGAGATTTTGAACTGCCTGCGATCAACGAATTGTTTTTTCTACTTAATATTTTTCTCATTTATTTTCATGTACATATCATTCATCACTGAATTTCAAACATTGTTTTTTTATTCTTTTGAATTTTTTGGATTCTTTTTATTATTATTATCATTATATAAAAAACAATTTATTATACTGATCATTTATGTGAATACAAAATGATTTTCATTTACAACAATGAATTAATTGTACGATTTTCTGCTACATTGAACAATCGACCTGATATGACAGCAGAAAGAATAGATGCTGAATGTTGATTTGAGCCAATTGCTAGGTATAGATCATGATTGAACCAATAATGATTGATGCTGATAATTTTCCATGGTATATGAAATTTTTTTTCTCGAAATTTATTTTTGTTTCCATCTAATCGATACATTTGTACATCTGAAGATGATGATATCATCAAATAAGTAATGGTTGGACCCGTTTGTACAACACGAATATCAATGATTGCTTTAATCGTAGATAATTGCTGGTAGCTATCCATCATTAGTTTTCCATTGTTCGATCGAATCAATTGAAATAGATCGATGTTAAATACATTGGTACCAAATGTTTGATAATGACAATCGCTTGATTTGGAATATAGAACCAATAATCGTTCTTGTAAAGGTATGATTCGTGTAAGATAATAAGTATCTGGTGCTCTAATTGGCTGAGAAATGTAAGGATCAAAACGTTCTTCATGATGGTTCCAATGATGTATGGCCATTGTATGATTGGTACCAACACCAACAATGATCGACAATAAAATAGCATCGGAAAATTCATACAAATCATAATCCCAAACCATTGCAAGGGGATTGTTCATTTCTTCAAAATAACTGCCACTGTGTTTGAACAGGACGATTTCACCGTGTTGTGATTGCAGCCAAGTTTTCATACGATAATGGATCAACAGGTATTCAATGGGGCCAATGGTGAATGAACGAGCCGAATGGATTTTGTGACCGTTTTTAATGGGTAATCGATATAAAGTTTGTCTCAGCAGGTTGTCATCCAATTGATCAGTAGACATGGAAGATAGAAATTCGAAAGTATTCCAAAATTGCACATGATACGATGATTCGACAATTTCAGTTGGCTTTGACCCATCATTTCGATGTATACATTGTGTCGGTTTGGAAATAATCAATGCCAATGATTGAGGTGATAATGGTGATTGAATAGCTATGATCGAAGTATTGAGCCAAAATCGATTACTATCATGCAATAGACCTGATTGCCTGTCCAGATGATAATAACCGGATCGATGAGACTGACATTTAGTCATGGATTGAGTATCGCCAACATGACCATTGGTAATCATTGCAACAATATTACGACCATCCATTGTGATTGGATAGAAATTGCGAATAGCAATCGGCAATGTTTGATGTAATCGGAAATATCGAACATCTAGAATAAAAAAAAATTTAATTTATTAAACAGGTTAAATATCGATCCAAAAAAAAATTTACCGCTAACAAAATATGAAGTAAAATTGTGGGTAATTATTTGTTCATCACGTTTTGTTTCCCGCAATTGTCGTTCAACTTGATGCCGATAATGACCAATATCATGCTCCATTTGGAGCAAATGTTGGTGAAAACTTGAAACTGGTATTCCATTCAATGTTTTATTGATACGTATCGTTCCAACATGAATCGGTTGTTCGAATATTAATTTACCATTGATCATAGATTGATTGTTTAAGATCCGGCGATCAATCCATTGATCACGAATGTCACGAAATAGATCAACATTGTTGATCAAGTTGGTGCGAACATTCAAACGACCTTGGATAATTAAAGGGTCTTTAAAGAATTTTTTACCAGATATTTGTATTGGATCAGAGCGATTCGATAAAATAGATTTGAAGATCAGATCATTGACTGGGATGTCGTTAATCCGGTGATGAACAGCCAGATTACGTATTCGAATGGGATGTTTAAATCGAACGGTAGCCAACACTCGACGAGGATTGGTATCATTAATCATTATTCCATTATGAACGAATCTTGTTACATTGATATGATTGATCAATTGAGCATTCAAATTTCTATGAATGTGAACTTTACGTCGAAAGTTTGTCTGACCGGTAATCGTTTCATTTGTGTAGGTAAGAATAAAATCCGATGGAAATCGTATTCCATTCAAAGTTTGGCCCAACCGAATCGATCGGCCAAATGTGATGTTACCGGTAAAGATTTTGTTTCCATGAATAGGTCCACTGTTATTGACACGGACGACATTGGTGAACATATCAGTCAGATTATAACGATTAAAACGACCACTAGTTGTCATTAATCTACGGCCTTTAGCTTGATCAATATTGCCTTGAATCTTCAATGGTTTTAGAAATGTTTTCATACCAGTTATCTCTTGTGGTCGATCGGTAACGACAGCATCAGTAAGCAAGAGAGACAGATTACGTCGATTTATAAGATTGTTGATGTAGATACGACCTACTGTTACATCTTCGACAAAATACAAACCATTCTGAATGTGCCGTTCACCATTAATCAAATTTGGCAGAAAATTATCTTGACCATTGATATTGGATAAGAACCTGACATTGCCGCGAATAATCAGTTTTGGTACATGATATTTGCCGGTCAGATTGAATATCGCACCATGATGAACAGATTCTCGTTTGATCGACGTTTCAACCAGATGATCAAAATAGCATCGATTGATCAAGCCAGTGACATGAAGATTTTGGATTTGTTGAAGATTTTCAAATATGATATCAGTGTTGAACCTATTTACAAGACAAGGAAAAATCAAATCAGAGGTATAAGAATTCAATGTTACTTACACCAATGTCGGTGAATTGAGCCAAACATAATTTCGTATTGGAATCTGATTGATTTTAACCGTATCAATTGGGAGTCTTAAATTCATGACGGATAATGGTTTAAGAAAAACATGACGAGCAGTAATGTTTTGAGAACCATGAATTGAGAGTTTCTTCAATGTTCGACGATTAATATCGATTATATCGTAGCCATTGAGTGTTCCACCATTTGACAAAGTCAGATAAGTAACATTCCAATTACCAAGTATGAATTCAAGGCTACCAGATTGACTTGGATAAATGTCTATAACATCTGAATCTTTACGTAAAACCTGTTCGAAATATGTTCGATCCAAATGGTTGATCGTCTTGAATTTTTCAATGTGATCAAACGTCGCATTCATAAAATATAAGATCGATCCAATCGTTTGACTAGAATTCAAAGGTATGGCCCAATGCATTGCTTGATCAATGTGGACACCATCAATGGTCCCGTTGATCATTTGTATCGATTCAACATGGAGACCATCTGGAAAATGTTTATTATATAGTTGAATTATAGGATATCCTTGACCGGTTGGTTTTTGAACTGAATCGGTCCAGAATCGTTCATAGTTGACGCCATTGACAGTTCGATTGATTATCAAAGCTTGAAAAAACAGTCATTTATTCGACAAATAATGAAATTTGCATGAATGGAAACTAACCTTTAACGCGTAAATCTTGTAGAATGATTATATTGGTGAGCCACAATGGCTTTTTGATTGTTTGCATTGGCGCATCACTGCTCACATCGATAGTGTCATTCAAATTATGGCCACTGATTTTTTGATCGCCTATGTACAGATTACCTGTAATCACCAAATCGGTGAATGTTTTATGACCAGCGATCATTTCATCGCCATTTAAATGGACTATGGATTCAAAGTGTTGACCAATACGAACACCATTTACCGTACCGTTTGGTCCAAGATGGATATTCTTAACTGTTATAGGCTGTTGAAAATATTTAGTACCTGAAATGACAATATCATCACTTGTTTCATCATTTCTGCTGATAAAATCTTCAGGGAATCGAAGATTATTACTGCCATAATAGTTAAAAGTTAGATTCGAAACACTCATAGGGCCAGTGTATGTCAATGGAATGGCAAATATTTGCGGTTTGTTTCGTAGAAGAACATTAGACAACTTTTGTCGTACATAAAGCCAATCGAATTGATTGAAATAATTAGTGTACACGGCCTGATCAACAATTATATGTTTGGCTACGACAGGCGTACTCATCGAAACCATAGTATCCAGTTTGTAATATATATCAGATAAGTCTACATTGTTCGTCAGGGAATCTGGTCGCATGTTAACATGACCTTGAACCAAAAGATCATTGTTGAAATATTTTCTTCGTAAATAAACTTTGTGGGCAGTTGATTTTCGACGCAAAAGAAAATTTTCTGGTCGAAAGCGATTGTTCAGGAATTCGATAGTCAAATTATGAAATTTGGTTGAAAATGTTTGAAACATTAAAGGCTTTGTATACAGAGGTTTTCGAGTAAAATCTTGATCGCCTTTGGTGAGCAATACATCGTCATTGAGATTCAATCCATTTATTGTACCAATAACGGTTAAATTGCCATTGACTTGGACAGGGTTTTGAAAATGTAACGGACTTTCGATTATGATCATCCCTGTAATATCCATACGAGCGGTATTGTTGATGAAATGATGGAAATCGATCCGTTCGTTGATTCGATTCAACAACGATAAATTCTGTATCCACAATTGTTGGCCACCAAAACTCCAGCCATCACCTTGCAATTGTTGTATGGTTATATTAGGATGATCTAACCATACAATTTTCGATAAAAAATCGTGGAAATTTAAATCATTCACATTGGTATCGATAACCACCTGTTCGACCGTTAAGTTTGCAAAGGTTTTCCAACCACGCAACAACTGTATTGCATAAGGCCGATCTTGATACAAATCAACCAGACGAACATCGTTAATTTGAGTAGCCGTAGTTCCGTTGAACAATTCTAACCGTTGATAATAGTGTCTAACATTTGCGGCTACAAATTGTGTTGGTGCTGTCACAGTCGTTAACATGGCTGATTTCATAGGAATTCCATTTATTTGATAAGCATTAAGTTGATTAATTTGCATACCATTCATGAATCTAAGTGGCACTTCAACTGTTTGATCACCATTGAGGGATAGTGAGCCATTGGCATAGATATCAAAATTGATGTCATTTAAATAAAAATGTGATTCCATCGATGACACCATCAATGATTCGGTTCGAATCGGATGATGAAATTCAATGGGTGACGATATTGTCTGATTTGTCGATTTCAACATGACTGTTTGATTAATGCGGTTTTCCAGATGATCAAGACGACCATTTACGCTATCCAAGAAAACGACCACACGATCACCTTTTGTTACTTTGCCTGAATGTCGTTCCACAAATTAATTGAATGGATTTTTCATTGTACTGAGCATGGACTAACCTGGTATTTTAAGTGAAACTTGTTCAGGTATCACTCGGCTTGTTTGTAATGTATCGACTTCAATATCGACATCGATATACGGTTGTTCTGATGATATGACCAACAAATTCTCTGATTTTCGTTTCAACGTCCTTACAGTTTGTAAGCCTCGGTCGATTCGTTCTCGAAGATCCATCAGGCATGTGTCCAGATTATGTATCTGTTCATTTGATTCAGGCTGATGAGATTGTACGCGAGCGAATTGGCAATGATAACCTGGCTGACCTTCGTCGTTTATATTATCAGTGACAAATTTAAGCCATACAAAATATTGACGATTCGAAGTAAATATTTCCACCTGATCCAAACGATTTTGATTCCAATCGATCATTAAATCTAGCTGATGATGAATGAATTTAGAATACACTTTATAATATAGATTTAATGATTTTCCATCAGTAGACATGATTAATGGAGGTTGATCTAACAATTTAGCCAAAGCAAATGATCGTATCCAAGTGTTATGACCAAACAGATTATCCTGGTCATCGATAATCGTATCATAGTAAAGAAGGGAATGGCCATCCCACCAATAAACATCAATATCATTGAGTTTGACGAGGAAAATGAAATCATTGTTACCAGATAGATGATGAATGGCTTGTGGTTCATTATCTAATCTGGTTAAATTATTTACCGATGATACAAAAAGTAAACGATGAGCTCCATAATGGCCATGATCATTACTATAATCAACATGTTCGGTCAATTTGAATACGTTGAGAAAATTGTCATGATGCCCAATGTCATCATCATGGATATAGATCGATGTCGATACTTGATGATCATACGAACAAATCAGATAGACCGAATTATCCATTGTTACCAATTTCACATGAATAGCGTTCAGAATGTAATCAGATATTTGCCAGGCAATTTTATCAAAGATTTTATCATTAATCAATTGATAAACGCTTAGTTCATATTTATAGTTAGAATCTTCGGAATTTTGTATCAAACTTAGATAGATTTGTGATCGTGAATGGTATAGGATATCGAAATCGGGAATTCGTTCGAATTTGATCACTTGTTCCTCGATGAAATTTGTCTGTAGGATAATATTGTTCACCCAGGACGGTGAAGAACCTTGTTGAACTAAAAAATTCAACGAAAGAACCAATATAAAATCGCCAATGCCCACTGAAAATGGTTGTTTTTTATGCTGAAATAATGCGATTATTTTGAGACGATATTTCTGTCGGCCAGTACGAATGACAAATGATTTTAATTTCGCACATTGATGATAAGCCGGATCACCACCCACAACCATTGTCGTTTGACCAATACGGTATTTATCAATGAATATGACCATTGAATCGGAAACGAATTGCCATAAATTCAATTGCTGTGTACGATGATCGACCGATATCAATAATTGGCTATTATTAACTGGTAGATTAGGTTCTGGTACGGCAATCAAACGTTGATTATCCATCAATTCCAGTTGATAATCTGCACCGGGGAGAAGTATATCGAATTTGACATCTGAAATTGAATTCATGAAAAGTATTATCAATTAAATAAAATAGACATTGAAAGTCAACGAAGAATCAATGTTACATTCATAATCACCGACAGCTGGTCTTTTCTGCTGTATCAATTCGAAATATTGATTTTGAGCTTCAATCAATTTGAACACTTTTGTCTTGAATAATTGTATATTCTCCAATGAACTTTGCATGAATGGACTGATCAAATCATTAGTATTACTATCGACCGATCCATAGTATTCGTACGGAGCCTGACCATTGATCGAATTCCATGATAACAAAATTAAAAGACAAAAAAGCAGATAACTAAACATTGAATTAGACAAAATATAAAAATGATGATGATGGTCCATTGTGCTTCGACCATTCGAAATTAAAAAAAAACAACAAAATATGCGGATAATTTTTTGCATTTCAATTTATAACCTCTTCAATTGTGACAATTAATTAGAGAAGGGTGGATTTACAATATTTGGACATTACAAATCCACCCACATTTATTATCGCCATCTATCTATTTTAATTGGTTTTTTCCGATAGAAAAATTACAATTTGCACGCATGCATGCAAGCATGCACTGATCTAAAACCCGCCAAAAATTGTCCGAGCAAAAAGCTTTAAAAAAATCGGAAAAATCTCGCATGCAACATTATCACCAGAATTAGTAGCGGCATTGCCAATTTTTTTTGCATGTGCCTCTCCTTCGTAAAAAAGCTGGCAGTACCGTGGTCGATTTGAAGCTTTTTGCTCGGACAATTTTTGGCGGGTTTTAGCACAGTGTGCATAATGTGTTGATGGTTTATCATACAGCTGTGTAAGCCCTGTACATTTCGTTGTTTGTATTTTTCCACTGTTTTGTGTATTTAACTCAAATAATAACCTGTCCTTTGACCTGAAGACGGCCGACATTTAAATCATCAGAATCATTTGCCTTTACGATGAATAGAATTTGTTTCTGAAACATTAAATAAAATTATTATTCTTTTTTTTCGACGGATTATTAACACACCATATTAATTTAAACTTTTGATTTGATCGACGGGAATATCTCTATTATTATCGTGTAACATTTTTTTTTTGGAATTCTAATCATGGAACCTAATCAACAAACAATTGACACTGATGAATATTCAAACGATTCAGCTAGTGAAACAATCAATAATCTTTTATCTAATCGTATTTGTAAGTGATATTTTTTTGATTACAATTAATTCATTAGATTTATAAAAATGTTACTTTCTATTCAAGTACGAACAAGAAATCTCGAAACAAGTAAACAACCACCAAATGTTGAGGAACAAATTATTCGTAAACGTGGCCGTCGTCAATGGGAAAAATTAACACCAAAAACACCACCAAAACGTGCTGTAAAACGTACATTAGGCGATGATGATAATTCATCGGCAACGACAACATCAAGTCCTGGACCAAAACCAAAAGAATCACCATTTACGAAATGTTTACGTGGATTAATGAGTCCAACTCCGAAGGTAAGAAGTGAAGGATCATCATCAAGATCATCAGTAATCATAAATCGAGTATTGAGGTCGACCGAATCACATAAATCATACTATTATTCACCACATCAACCTTATAATCTACGTTCAAGAGATGTAAATTTCCGGAATTCAAGTAGAACCAGTATCACCAACGAAACAGATGATAGTGGCATTGGATTAACACCAGATATTGGCAGTAAAGATACTCCATCATCTACAATTATCAGATCAAATTCTTTGCCAAATTCATCATCCAATATTAAACGAATCAATCGTATACGACGAAGATTTGATTTTAATTAACGACAATTCCATTTGATTTTCTTGCAACATTGAACACTTTTTGATATTGAATTCAATTAACGAAACATTATTATTAGTCAAATTTATAATTAATTCTGATTATTGGTTATGACAAAAAACTAATGGCTAATTAAATTAAAATAATGTAATTTCAATTTAAGCCTTTCTATAATCAAATGATAATCGTGATCGATTCCATTGTGATGCTTGAATGAATGTTGTTCGCATGTCATGACTATGTTGACTTGTTTCAATTCTTGGTTGTTGTTGTTGAGATTTCTGTTGATCTCTTCGTATGGGATAGGCTAAACCTATTGTTGAACTTTTATCAGAACCTCGACTTCGAATACTTGGACTGTTGTACATGTGCAAACCAGCTGATGATAGCGGTGGTGCAGGTAGATTCGATTGTTGTTGGTTAGAGTTAAATTCCATAGTTCGACGTCGAAAAGCAGAGTCAACGGCATCAACATTGAAATCTAATTCCTGATGATTGAGAAAGTGATGATCCATGTTGCTTGCTGGTTGATGATTGCTCAATTGTTTATCAACATGATGCATAAATGTGGCCATGAATGAATCATTCGGTGCTTCCGATAGGTTTACCAATCGATGTGTTTGTTGTTGTTGAAAATCTCGTTGTTCTCGTTCCAATTCACTTAGTTGACGTTCCAGTTGTTCGATTTCTCGATCTTTTTCATCAATTCTTAACTGAATCGCAGTTCTTTCGGCCAATGATTTCTTCACTTTGTAATTTGCTTTCAGCAAATATTGTATACTTTGTCGATATCGTTTCATCTGAAATAGATACACTGAATTCAAACTTTTGCTTAGATGTGTGTAATCGCGAAAATAAATTCCCATTTCCAAGTTCAAATGTTTATCGATCAATTTACTGGCACAGTTTGGACCACAATTACTGCATTCTGTTCGCAATGATATACATGTTTTGCAAAATATTTTACCACATTTGGTAAAATAATAATCACCATTCAATGATGGAGTGTTTCTATTCACCAAAGCTGATGGATGGCAACGATCACAATAGATGATGCTGGATTCTACATTCATATTCACAAGCGAACATTGAACATCAAATGAACTTTTACATTTGACGACTAACACAAAGACCAACATTCAGAAAGATTCGATTCGAATCATTCGAAATGAGATATCCATAGATAATGTATAATTAACATCAACAACAAAAAAAAACAAACAAAAAGATTGAATTTTAAAATGTTTTTTTAATTAAAAATTTTATATCCATTTCAAAATACAAAGTCCAGTGATTTTTAATTCTTTTGTACCGAATTTAAAATTGATAATGATTGATGATGATTGGTGTGGTTGTTTATCTATTTATTTGATGTGTGAGTGAGAAGGAAAGACAAATGTGTTAAAGACAGATGGATTGATTACGAATGTCCATTTTGTGTTTGTATATCGGTATATGGATAGGGGTTAGTGGATGAAATATATTCAATAAATGAATAAATGTTACACCGGGTGTGTGTAGATAAAATGAATTAATATGGAAAAAAACTAAATATTTGTACATCATTGTTGTTGTTGTTAAACATCAAAAATTCTTGTTTTGTCCGATACAATTCACAATTTCATAATTTGTTGTACATTGAAATTCATCAAATACATCATTTTTTGAACTTTAAAAAATGTAGATTCGATTTCGTTAGAAAACAATGATAATCAAGAAAAAAAAACAAATGAAATACAGAAACCAACAAAAGAAGTAAGTAATAAAACAATTCATACAAGACTTTATTCCCGATTTTTCTTTGTAGAAATCTGAGTTTCATCATCATCATCATCATCATCATCGAAATTATTATTATAAATCAAATGTAATTTCCTGTTCACACACAGATAATAAATAAATCCATCAAATATGGGTGTGTTCGTGTGTGTGTGTGTGTGTGTATGTAAAAAATGTGTATAAATGAGATGAATGAATTTAAAAAAAAATGAGACGTGGTTTTTTATTATTTTGATGTTCTGTGCATTTTTTATAACCATATATATGATATATGATAATAATGATGATGATTTGAATATATATCGGGTATTGACAATTGTATCGAAAGTAAGAATATTTATATAATAATAATGGATAAAAATCAATTCAAATGAATAATGAATAATAATTTGTTGAGATCAATTAATCGGATAAGCTTTCATTGAAGTTGGAGAGTTGAACTTGAACACGAATAATAATCATCATTCTAGTAGTAGTTCTGGCCCCCACCCTTCCATAATTACTTATCACCTACAATGTATAATGTAAATTAGCCATGAAATAAGGTCATCATTTGAAAAAAAAGATTCTAAGTTGGGAGGAAAAGAATGGGACAAAGTTTAATTCGAGACTAAACAGTGTGTGTGTGTATGATGGTGTTTTAATAGAAAAATAAGGTCAAACAATACTAGGTTGGCATTTTGATTTTTTTTCTCGTTGCATCATGTTAGGAAAGAGGGTTGTTGTTGTTTGGCTTATGCTCTAATCTGTGAACCAGCACAAGGTGTTTTCATAAAGAAAAAAAAGTGTGGAAAAGATATTGCACTGAATTTAGGGGCGAATATGAATCGTAATATTATTATTATTATTATTATAATTGTCTGTGTTTGGTGTTTGTGTGTGTCATACAGCATCCGAATCGCATTATAGTGAAAAATGGATCGGATGACCAATCATCATAAGATTTGAAACATTTGTTCACTAGGTGGTTGTGGTTGTGAAGTTGATGTAGAAATTATCGATTGATCACCTGTAAGACAGGCAATCAAATCGGTTGTAACAGGTCCGGCACCAGATGAACCATCCGATGATGATTCAGATGATGTATGATGATGTAATAAGTGATGGGATGATGAATGTGGATTTAGGACAATAAATGAAGTGGCCGTAGTTGAAGATGTACTCGAAGGATCTGTTGGTGTTGTGGTCATCATCATGAATGGTGTCTGTTGTTGTGATTGTTGAAAAATTAGATGTTTGTTTGCCTGTTGTTGAAGAAATGTTGAAGATGATGGTGATAGTGGAAATGTTGATGAACTTGCAGTTGAAGAATTAGTCGCCGTAACCAGCATCGGCATGAAATCTGTATTGGTCGTTGAATTATGATTCGTATTATTCGTAATATCCATTTTGAATAGAGTACCACCAGTCGTAGAATTTGTACATGGAACAATCATTGATGATGAATGTTGTGGCAGTGTTTTTGAATGTTCCAGAATAATATTCGGATCATGATTTGTCTTATCAGTGACATTGGTGGGTAATGTTGATGTTGTATTCGTATTTGTAGCAGATGATAATGAGTATGGATGATCAACATGATGATGGCGACGATTATGATGATGCTGACTCAGTACTAATAAAATAATAAATCAATTACATTGAAATCTTTTATTTGTCAATGATATGTACGTACAATCTATTTGTTGTTGAATTAGTTGATGCCTTTGAAACGACATGGACGATGATGATGAGCCAGATGTATCCAACATAGGTGGTGGTTGCGTGGATGAATCCATCAGACCAATAATAGTACTAGTTCCAAATGTCGATGTCAAATGAAGTGAATTCGAATCATTCGATATGGATGTAGATCGTGTAGCTGATGATGGTATCGATGCAGTCATATCGTTACTTGTCGTATTAGTACTACCATCGGTTGTACGACGAAAAAATGAATGTTGTAATGCTTGCCGTGGCGTAATTCGTGTTTTAGGGTCATAATCTAACATTCGCATGATTAGATCTTTGAATTTAAGATAATCGGCCATTGAATGACCAGGTTCACCAAGCCGACGACCACCAGGACCACCTGTTTCAACTCCCAAAATGTCGGATAATTTACGGCTACCAGGTAGTTTGTACTGTTTATAATGAAAAACCAAACACAAATTAGATTTAGATTTTGATAACATCAAAAAAAAGAATCAATCGATCACAAACCTTCATTCCATCAACAGGTTTCAAAACAGTTGAACCATCAGGTAATCGATCAAAGTATTTGAATGTACGATTTCCTTGCATAAGCATGTGTTTAGGTGGTAAGCCTAACACTTCAACGATCTTGTTCATCTGATCGGTTTCATTCGAACCTGGAAACAATGGTTCACCAGTATGCATTTCGACCAATATACAACTCAATGACCACATATCAATGGCCATATCATATGGTATTCCAAGTAATACTTCGGGCGATCGATAAAAACGGCTTTGAATGTATTGATATAACTTTGAGGGAAGAAAATTTAATTATTTATTTATTTATTAAGTTGACAAGAAAAATGAAAAGAGAAAAACAATGAAATTACACTTACTCGTCTACCGAGCTGACAAGAACTGCCGAAATCAATAATCTTGATGGCACTTCTTTTCGGGCTGCATAGCAATATGTTTTCCGGTTTAAGGTCACAATGTATGATGGACATATGTTGATCTGATAAAAACATTAATGCCGTACACATTTGATGGGCAAATTTCCTCGTTAGATTCAATGAAACGCCACGAAAATTTGTATTCCGTAAAAGATCATAAAGGTTATATGATAGTAATTCAAAGACTAGACATAGGTGATTACGCCACATAAAATAATCCTTTAGTTTTACTATTTTGGCATTAGAATAAACCGAATGATAATTAAGACAACATCAAGGATAAATTTCTTATTTCTTACCGATTTTTTCCTTTCCCAATTGTAATGATGTTCCATTACATTCATAATTGTTCATTAATTTTAAAAGCTTAATTTCTGTTGCAGCTTGATTCAGGAATGGCTTTCGATTTTTAATGATTTTAATGCCTACATGACATTGTGATGAATGATCATAAGCTTTGACCACCTGACCAAATGATCCTTTCCCAATCAATGATTCGATTTCATATCGATCAACAAATTTCTCTCCCGGTCGAATAATGTAATCATTAAATTCATCATCATAGCCATCATTGTACAATCTTCGTTCTTTTTTATTAAGTTGTTGTTGCTGATGATGGCTACCATGATGATGATGATGGTGACCACCAGTATTCGTAGTCGTTTGATTATTACCGCCAACACCAGTTCCATTATTACCATTCGATGACCAATCACTACCACTATGACCTTCTGTTTGAGCTTGTTGAGCTCGACGTTTCTTTTTTGCATAATATACCTATCGTCATAAAATAATATAATTTAAAAAAAATGTATTAATAAAATAAAAAAAATTAAAATTCATACACTAGCTGTATAATTCATCGTCAAATTAATATAACAATATATAGCAATTAGAATTTAAAAATTCAAAATTTTCAACAAATCAAATTCAACAAAAATTCAATATCACAAGTTTGAAAACTATTCATATATGACATAGCAAGGATTATCGAACGAATTAATCGTGATTTGAAAATGAAGATTTTAAAAGTTAAATTTCTAAAAAAATTCAGAACAAAAAATCAATTTCGCAAAATCTAGATGGCGTTCGTCTGCCATATAGATTTGAGCAATTCAATTTAATATATAATATCAAAATTCCTTAATATTTCACATTTTTTTCCGTTTTATTTTTTTTTTTTTTATATTATTCGAAAAAAATCAGGTTTTTACACGGGAGAGAAATAGAAAAAAAATTCCATCATTGCTCGATATTTGAAAATTTATCATATGAAATTATTGATTATTTATACATACATACACACGTAGAGTGAAAGAGATGCATATCTTAAAGAGAGCCGAAAAATGTTAATTAATATAACCAAACGAAACATCATTTAGATTATACCCTTCCTTCTCTTTCATCAATGAGAATTCTTAGAATTTCGCAACGATGTACTTTCATTTAACACATTTATACAAAGAGTATAACATTGAAAATACCATCATCCTGATTATCATCATCATGACCTAAGCATAAATTTTTACCCACCACATACATCAATGAATTACATAACCCCACATACGCAGCAACCAGCTAACTAAAATGGATTGACATTGACATTGCCAGAATGGTGGAGAATCTGCCATATAATTGATTAGGCTTGAAACAGACAACACAAGTGAGTAAAGAGATAGCGAGAGAAGAAAATAAAAAATGAAATAATCATTCAATGTCTATAACGAAATGAATAAAAAAGCCGCATATATACACAAAAATATTAAAAGCGGGTCATTCATTCATTGGTTGGTTAGTTACATTGAAATCAATTTTGAAATCAAAGTTTTAACAGAAAAAAAATGATGAAGAAAAAAATTAATGTGAAAACACTGCAAAAAAAAATCTAGTCAAATGTGGCTGAATAATAACATATCATTCTTCTTTTCATTCTTTTATTTTTGCACAATTTTTCAAATTGTCCTTTTTGATTCATTGATTCATTCATCATCATCATCATCATCATCATCATCTTCTTCTTCATAATCATTCAAAGGATGTGGTTGACCTACCTGTCGACTAGACCACCGACGAATTAATTATAAAAACAACAGCAACAAACCACACACACTCGCACACAATTGTTCATTCAATTTGCCTCACAATCACTTATTCATACTAAATTCAAAATTTGATTAAATTAATTTAAAATCGATCATAGCTTTTGCTATTTCCCCAACAACAACAGCAACAATCTACCAGGCTTTAGGCTATATAAAAATGTTGGGATTTTTTGACCATACATTTGATCGTGTTTTGGATCAAAAATAATAATAATTTGAACCGAAAAAAACCAAGAAAAATATGGATCAAAATCAAAGTAAAGAAAAAATCGTCATTAATAATTTGATTGATAATCTTAATATATTAGTCAATAAATGTGAACAGAAAAACATCACTACTACTACTACTACAAATACGACTACTACAGGTGATAATGATAATCATCAGAAGAAGAATGAAAAAAGTTCAACAACAATAAAATTGATAAAATCTGATTCAATGTCCAAATTATTAATTAAATCAAAATCAAAATCAAAATTATCATCACCATCATCATTATCATGTTTGACAACAATGAAATCGGTTATAATCGAATCGAATATAAGTGATCAACAGCAGCAACATCAACAACAACAACAATCAATAATAAAGAATATTCAAAGTATTTCCAGTATTAGCCGCAGTGGTAGTGTTAGCGTTAATGGTAAATCATCTTCATTGATAACATTGAAAACATCATCATCATCGGAAACTATTGTCGAAACATATCTACGTCGTAAACATTTGGAACCATTAGAAATTATTGGTGAAGGTGGATTTTCAACGTAAGTAGAAAAAAGCAGTGGCAGTAATTCATTTAAATTAAAAAATTTTTGTGCTCCCTCCAACAACAACAACAGCGTTTATAAAGTTCGTCACTTGAAGAATAATAAAATGAATGATGATAATGATAGCAATCATATATATGCGGCAAAAGTAATACGTTTGAATGAATCAAATCGACTTTGGGTGACAAAATGTTTAAAACATGAAATGTACATATCGAAATCATTACATCATACAAATATTGTTCGAACACATGATTATTTCAAGACAAACACATATGCCGTAATTTTAATGGAATACTATACAAATGGTAATATACGACAGGAAATAGATAAACAAAACCATCCATATAATATAACAGAAGCGGTAAGATTATTCAATGGTCTTATTGCTGGATTACAATATATGCATGGAAAAAATATTGCACATCGTGATCTTAAATTGGATAATTTTTTTCTCGATAATGATCGTCAACCATTGATTGGTGATTTTGGTTTTGCTACAATCGGTACAAGACAAGGTCGAATGATAATCGAACATTTAATTCGACAAACTAGATGTGGTTCAGAAGGTTATATGGCACCTGAAGTGGCTAGAATTACCGGTAATAAAAATAATAACAATAACGATGATAATAATAATGAACCGCAACAATATAATGCTAAAAAAGCGGATGTGTATTCAATGGGCGTATGTCTTTATGAAATGCTACATCAAACATTGCCCAATATCGATACAGCAACAACAACGACAACAGGAAGCCCATCAACGCCATTATCATCATTGTCATTTGCACATAATATCAATCAAAGATGGCAGAATCTAATCAAATCAATGTTAAATATTGAACCAAATGAAAGGCCATCCGTTGAAGATATATTTTATCAGATATCATCACCATTATTTTCATTTATATTTATGGGTCAAAGATCATCATCGAAGACAGGAAAATCAAATGAACAACAACAAAATGAAGAAAAACAAAAAGAAGAACAACAACCACAAAAACAACAACGAAAACATTCGATGAGTAAAAAAAGAATCAATTGATGAGAATGACACACTCAATCGAATAAAATGAATAGAAGAAAAAAAAAGAAACAATCAATTTAAGATAGAAAATTGGAATTGAAAATTAAAAATCAAAAAACAGCAGCAGCAAAAAAAAGAATAAGGATTTAACCCTTTAGTTGCCCGTTGCCGTCGATTGCTTTCAATCATGATTAATTGTATTTGTCTCTGTCTGTGCGTCTGTCTGGAATATAATACGGGCCAACGGGCCATTCTCTCTCTCTTTCTTCCCCATCATACACACACACACACAAAACATTCTTTCTATGGTTGAGTGGTGGTGGTGGTGTTTGTTAGCTGGTCTTACACATCACACGCCATCAATCATGATATCGAAAAAGAATTGCTGCTGTTGCTGTAACTCGAACTCTATGATGATGATCCATTGAAATGAATGATGCTCAGTCGTAGCCGCGTAGTATTAATGTGTAGTTGGTGATGTATATAATAGAGACGAATGACGAATATTTTATAAACTCGATTTGCTCAACAACAACAGAAAAAAATAAAAATTTTGAATACGAATAATGTGTGTGTGTGTGTGTGTGTATGTATACTACTGGGGTTGAAATGAGATCCATTCTATTTCCACACACACACACACACCCAGTCATGAATTCTCTCTATCACTATGTGTGCGCTTATAATGTATTTGCATCTCATCAATCAATATATGATTTTTATATGATGATATTAATATTAATATAATTTTCTACTTTAAGAATGAATATTATATGATGATGATGAATATAACAAGCTTTAGTATTCTTATGTGAAATTCTTATTTTAGTGGGAGTTGGTATGGGGGAAAATAAATAATCAAAGTGTTTATAATGATGAACCGTTGTTGCTGTCGACCAACGAAGAAATTCATCTTTCTTTCTCTCCCTCAAGATTTAAATAAGTAAAAGTGTTAACGGTGGTGGCGACGGTAGCCAAATTCTATTCCATTCTTATCCTGCACAAGAATCTTTATCATCATTGAAATTTTTGCCGTACCGGAATCGAACATTTTTTTTTTTTTTTTTGCTTTGGGATTTTTGCCATTCCAAATTATATTTTTGGAACAAATAATGTTCAATTCAAGATTCAAGATTCTTCCATTTGGTAATTATCTGGAATGATATCGAAAACATTCACTATTAACACAACACACCACAATGAGCAGAATAAAAGCCGAATACAATAAAATAATCGAAAAAAAAAAACATGGGCTATGTTTATATATAAAATAAATACAGACTGTGCACATCCACCACCCTCGCACTCGAGAGTAAATTAAGTAAAAGTTTAGTAATATGATGATGATGATGATGATAATGGAGTGGCAACAACCAGAAAAAATAGACAAATTTAATTTTCAAAAAACTCCTTAATATATTATGGCCTCATGTGTGTGTGTGTGTGTGTTATTGTTAAAGTGGGTGCTCTTCGTTTGTGAATGAAATCAACTTTGGTCTTGAGACACACACACACACACTGATCAAAAAGTGGATTCGAATTTTTTTTTTTACTTTTCCACCCCCAACCAGTCACAATTGACATTTATTGCTGCCTGAATCATGTGTGTGATTGGCATATCAAATGAGGATTGAATTCTGGAACCATATGAAGATAATAATAATAGCAACAACAATAACAACAACGAAAAAAACCGCACTCATATTACATTAAACACGCAATGACATAGAAGCTTTCATTCTATAACTAAGTGAAAGTTAATTTTGTTTTTTTTCCATTCAATTGGTTGGTGGTTCAATGATTCAAGTTTCAATTTCAAAATCAAATTGAAATGAAGATTGTGGAAAGCAAAAGAATAAAATTCCGAAATATAATAGCCACACATGAATGAATGTGGCCGGTTATTGCTATATATTTTGCCAATAATTAAATGACAATAATCATCTTAATCACAAACTTACCTCATTAATATGTTTGTAAGTTTTGATGAGATCAACCGATAATTTACGTATTGGTGCCTGTGTTGCATCCCGATATTTTATTGTTGTTGATGATGATGTGGATGTAGTATTTGTATTAGTGGTAGTAGTAGTAGTAGTATTAGTACCGGAAACACAAGTAGAAGTAGTGTTAGCCACCGTTGATGAAGTGATGATGGCTGCTGCCGTTGTTGTTGTCATTGTGGTCGATGTAGTTGTCGACATTGTCATCAATGAATTCGATTTAGCCACAATTGTGTTGCCTGTTCTTATCAAATCAAGATTATCATTGTTATTATCATTGGTTGATTGTAATAAAATTGAATTTGTACCACCACCAGCACCAGCACCAGCACTACTAGTCCAATTACTACAACTTTGACCGAGAATTAATGCTGAATTACCAGTTGGTAGGTGTGTTGCTGATGATAATGATGATGATGATGATGACATAATGACCAGATTATCTTGTGATGATGATTGCAATGATGGCTGTGCAATAATTGATGATGAACCATGATGATGATGATGTCCTAGATGTATTGGATGTGGTAATGTAGAAGAATCGGATGCAGCTGCTAATATGGCAACTGATGCACCATTACCAGTGCCACCTGCATGAATATTCGATGATACCATAGCGGTGTTTGTCGTTGATGATGATGCTAATGGCATAAACGATGATTGCTGTACCGATAGTGGTGGTGGTGGTGGTAGCTGTTGCGATAACGAAACGGAAGAGGATGTTGAAGATAATGATGTTGATGAACTAGTCTGTTGTTGTTGGACAGCTGCTAAGGCCATCAATTGATCTTGGGTCACAATACGGCCATACATCCCGCAACCACCGGCTGTATCGCCCGTATTTGTCGTAGTTGTTGTTGCTTGAATTTGATTTTGGATTGCAGTAACGTTTGTATGGCTATTATTATAATGATGTTGTGATAATGGTGGTGGTTGATGATGATGCCTATGATGGTGGTGTGGATGATGAAGATGATGATGATGAAGATGATGATGGCTATTTGATGGATCATGACCTTTGATCTCTTCGCCTATATATTTTGAAAAGATCAAAACAAAAAAAAAAAAGACCAAATTAGTCAATGAATAAAACAATTCAACAGTTCAAATTATAAACTCTTCCTTTCTCTCTCTCTTTCTCTTTCGAATCTGTACATGACAATAAAGCAGATTGATGATTGTTTTGATTAAATCAAATTGATTAATGAAGAGTAAAAATTTTGAAAAAGGCAACAAAATAAACGATTTAATGATTCATAATCTAATAATCAAATAGGCCAAAAAAAAAAAAAAAATCTATTATGATTATATCAGCAAAGTCACGTGTCGATTATCCAGAATCGTGTTATATTCTGTTTTTTATAACATGCAAACTTTTTTTTCATTCTTATTGTTATTGTTTAATAAACATTCAATCAATCCACCATTCAATCAATCAAAATTTGAATGAATTATTATTGATTATCTAGTATTGTATATATATGTGTGTGTGTGAAAAATAGACAAATTAAATCAAACATAATACAGATTGACGACGTTCCTGGAACATACCAAAAATGGTTAAAAGCAAAGAAAATTATTATTAGATGTCGGTCGTCATGGAACCAATCAACCGACCAACTAATTAAACCAGAAACACAGTGACGTATATATTTTGAATAGACACTAACGCAACCATCGGGCCGGTCATTTTATTATTCAAATTATCGGACCGGTCATAGCGGTCTGCAGAACACTAAGTCCGATGATAAGATTTTTTTTTCCATTTATTTTGGAAAATAAAAGGAGGCGTATCTAAAATAATAGATCAAAACGATGGTGATCATGATGATGATGATGATGGTAAACACAAAGAGATTTTTATCAGATAAAAAATGAGATCCAAAAAGGAAAAATGCCCGACAACAAAAAATAATTACTATAGAAGAATTTTTTTTGGTAAAATTCATAAATGTTATTTTTTTCTCTTTTTTTTTGGTTCGATCATCGATTATCAATTCATTCGGTTGGTGATGCCCGAGCATATCGGATATATCAGTATTTTATGATTCATATTTTATTCGATAATATCGGACGACCAGAAAAAAAACATTTATAGCGAAAGGCGAAAAAAGAGATTAAGCTTTAAAGTTACATGATGATACAATACAAAAACTCAGATCAGACAAACAAACATCATCATCATCATCAATAAATAAATGAATGAAACGTAATAATATCCATCATTTCAACAACAACAACAACAACAACAACAAAAAACATTGCCATATTCAAAGCGAAAAGAAAAGAATAACCATTAACCAGAAACCAGTGGGAAAATCGTCGTCAAATCAATTCAATACAGAATGCAATGATGATGAAAAACCGAACTACAACAACAAAAAGAATATATGTGTTTCGTTAGTTATCATCATCATCATTATTATTATTTTAAAAAATGATGAATTCCAAAAAGGAAAACGAGAGAAGCATCATCATCCTGATGATGATGGCACCGAATACCAATATACATATTTTCTAATCGTTTTTCTTTTCTTTGAACGAGATCAAAAAAACATCATTAGTGAAAATCGAAGAGAGTGAAAGAAAGAGAAAAAATGGCAAAATGTATCGTCGAGTAAACAAACAAACAACAATGTCAGCCATGTGAATGAAAATAAGAATGGTGAAAAGAAAAAAACCACCAAAAAAAAGATCCTGGTGGTAGAAAGGGTTAATTTTTTTTTTGGTTTTGTTTTGTTTTGTTTTGAAAACATCATCAATCACCATAAGACTGTTCATAAAATCTGTTCATTGTTTGTTGGATGCATAGAAAATTCTGTGCTTCGATTCGAGAATTTATCGAAAACACACACACACCAAATTTATGAATGATTCACATACATACATTCATAGTAATAGATTCATTGAACTCATCGTCGAACAAAGAAAATTAGAAATGAAATTAGAATCCAATCGAAATTTGATTTCAGAAGTAAAAAAAACAATTTTAAAAACAAAAAAAGATTCTGTTTAGAATTTAATCGTAATTTAACATGTTAACGTTTGTCATTAGACATACATATAGACATTACACACTTGAAAACTTTAGTGTGTGATCATGGATAACTCTTCAGAATTGTTGGTTATATTTTTTTCCATAGTGGTTCCAATTCAATGATCACCACATATATATCATTCATAGAATCAGTATCAAAAATGATGATGGAGATAACGACGAATGAAATAAAATGAAAAAAAACCAGATTTTTCTCGTACATATAGTAATAATAATAATAATAATAATGTTCCATGAAAAACCAGTTTTATATGAGGAAGATGATGATGATTTTGGTACACATCTGGAGTGCTATACATGGGGATTTCTTTTTTTTTCCTTTTTGCGGGTAGTCTATTTTCAATTGGAATCATAATAAATGTCGTAGAACATTGCGTTGTACATTGCGACAATAAAAGTGAAATGTGAGATCAGATAGAATCTTATGGATTTTTTTCGTTGTTGTTGTTGAATCAAGAAGAATCAAGGGCGTTCGCTTTTTTTTTTGTTGGTTAGTTCTATGACGGTTGTTCTTTTAACAAAAGCAGAAAAACCAAAGCGCGAAAAAAATTATTACAAATTTTTTTGTTTGTCTGTTTGGAAATTAATATCATCACACACACACAGACAGACTATTAATAGCGATGATGATGATGATGACGACTACCACGACGAATTATTCCATTTTAGATCATCATAAACGGAATTTTATGTACCAGACTCAGACAGTTTGCGTGTTTAGGCAAAAGAATTCCAAGATCGAAAATGAAAAAAAAAAAATTCGACAACAACAACTAATACGTGATGGAAATGGATAATTTAAGAAATGAATTGTATTGAATTGAATGGATTCCCAAACTATTCCAAAAACGATGATGATGCCACGTATCAGCCATATCAGCATAAAGTTTTCGTTTTTTTTCTCCTCTCCTAAGGACCGGTAATTTTTTTCGGGATTTTATCTGTTCGATCGTTTCAATTTTTTTTGTAATTTAGAAAGAGTGGCACCATTGTGTGTCAAACAATCATTCGATTCTATTCAAAAGATGCCACACACTTACATACATATTATCATTGGTTTTGCATGGTTGATTAGGATTGGTGTTTGAGATTTTTTTTCTTTGTTTTGTTCGCCGATCAGGGACCCGAATATTCTGCATGTTTTTTATATACTATTATAATTGACTGATTTTTATTTCTCCCTCGTTCTCACTATTTCTCAATATCATAAAGTTAGTAGTAGAAAAAATTCGATTATCTTGAAAAATGATTGAAGCGACACCTGTACGTTTCAATCAAAAAAATGGGAGTTAACTTATTATTATTATCTTTTTACCGGAGCTGCTACGGTTGAATTCATCAACTAGAATGATAAATCTCGAATCATCATCATCGAAGCGCAAGAATCCGGTTCATATCGAATAAGAATTATACAACAATTAATAAATGTATATTTGTATAAATGATGGTGGTGAAGAAAGAAAACAAAAAAAATTCCAAGATCTAAAAATATTCTAGGCTAGGATTTACTAGTAATACATAGCCTGCCCCATTGATGATCCATCCATCAATTCATTTATTCAGTCATTCACAAATATTGTGATCAAACTCAAAGAAGCGTAAAATGTTCTTCCATATTTGTCGTTGTTGTTGTTCGGAAATATAAAAAACAGAAAAATAGAGAATATTCTCTTTCTCTCTCTCTCTCACACACACACACATAAAATGGTCAATAAATTCAATTGATATATACCACCATTGTGTATATATAAGTCGCATCTATATGTATGTAATGATGATACAATATTCATATTTTTTCAGAATAATTTCCGTAGACAGAATCGTGTTTTTCTATTTCTCTCTCGAAACAGAAATTATGTAATGTGAATCATACCCGAATTGTAAATCGCTTTCTTTCTCTCCCCTTAAATAATCACTCGAAGCTTTTCATGAGATTAAATTTTGCAACTAAAATTATCAACCCATTTCATTAATATTGCAATAACCGAAACAGACACACACACAGGGGTAAACAAACTGCTGCATTCAGTGTTCATAATCCTTTTTCTGCAATGAAATTCATCAAATACAAACGAGATCATTAACATAATTTATATAAATATATAGGGTTAATAAAATAAATTATCGATCTATTCCATTTTCAACATCATCATCTAATCAATTTGATCAGATAATATTTAACCAAAAAAAAAAAAAAAAAAAAAAAAAAAAATCAATTGCACAATAGGAGGCAGAAAAATCAAGGGCCTTAGATAAGAATTCGAAAATAAAATAAAGTCGGCTGAATCTTTTGACCTCTAAGATTATGATGATGATGATGGTTACTAATGATAATTATCCACATTATATGGCATCAAACCATCACAAATACTAAAATAATGGACAAAATCTGTCGCTGTTTGAATAGCCGATGACAACAAGAAAATCATCAGCGACACACACACATACATATCTTTAACAGATGTTTTCAATTGAGATCAATCAATCGATTGATCGATTTTCAATCCATGTGAGAATCCAAAGATTCAAATTTTATTTGATTGTTCCGGTGTTATGCGACAACATAAGGTGTGTGTTCCATGTGTGCAAACAAAAAAAAAACAGAAAAAAAACGAATTTGAAACCAACCATAATCGTTTGATTGTTGTTTTTGTTGTTGCTAGAAAATTATTTGCGACGCGAATCATTAAACCATTGTTCCAGTAGTAGGGCAATAAATGACCAGCATGAATTCCACTGTATCGATCACGAATTGGCCATTAAAGCGTGGGGCTTAATTTCGGTTGGAAAATTGCAGTTTTTTTTGTCGTTGTTGTTGTTGTTGTTGTGTTCTAATCGTGGATGTTTGGATGGAAATTTAACAGATATGACCATCGGAGATGGACATTGTGACCAAAAACAAAAACAAACACGCACGCGATTCAAAACAAAAACAATTATAATGTCTAATGGTAGCAGCAGTAGCAGCAAAAA